ATTAAAATGATAATTTAAATTCAGAAAATCCGAAAAAGAAACAAAGATTGGAGTTTATTAAAAAGATAATTTAAATTCAGAAAAGCCGAAAAGAAACAAAGATTGGAGTTTATTAAAAAGAATTTAAATTCAGAAAATCCGAAAAAGAAATAAAGATTAAAGTTTATTAAAAAGTTCTCACCCGCGGGTCCTTCTCGCTGTCGGAGTCGCTGCTGGAGTTGAAAAGTCGGATTTCTTTTCTTTTTTGTTTTTGAAACTTCTCCGAAAACTCCAAATTGAATTTATAAAAGTTCGAAGGAGTTAAACACAAAACAAATGCAGAAGTTCCCTCCCCAGCCACCCACTGGCTCGCCAACACGCTGCCGTCTTCCCGCGAAAACTGCCTCGCCGGAATCTGCAAATAAAACTTCAAAAAATTCCACTTTTTATTTCAAAAATAAAACTTCAAAGAAATTCCACTTTTTATTTCAAAGATGAAATTCTTGAAGAAGTTTCACTTTTTATTTCAAAATGAAATGTTTAAGAAGTTCCATCTTTTATTTCAAAAATAAAACTTCAAGAAATTCCACTTTTATTTCACAAATAAAACTTCAAGAAATTCCACTTTTTATTTTTGTTATATAAGTTCCATTTTTTATTTCAAAATGAAATGTTTGAGAAGTTCCACTTTTATTTCAAAAATAAAATGCTTGAGAAATTCCACTTTTATTTCGAAATGAAATGTTTGAGAAGTTCCACTTTTTATTATTTATTCAAAGATGAAATGTTTGAAGTTTCACTTTTTATTTCAAAAATAAAACTTCAAGAAGTTCCATTTTTTATTTCAAAAATAAAACTTCAAGAAATTCCACTTTTTATTTTTGAAATGTTTGAGAAGTTCCACTTTTATTTCAAAAATAAAACTTCAAGAAGTTCCACTTTTATTTCGAAATGAAATGTTTGAGAAGCTCCACTTTTTATTATTTATTCAAAGATGAAATGTTTGAAGAAATTCCACTTTTATTTCAAAAATAAAACTTCAAGAAGTTCCATTTTTTATTTCAAAAACAAAACTTCAAGAAGTTCCATTTTTATTTCAAAGATGAAATGTTTGAGAAGTTCCATCCTTTATTTCAAAAATAAAACTTCAAGAAGTTCCATTTTTTATTTCAAAGATGAAATGTTTGAACAAGTTGCACTTTTTCATTTCAAAAATGAAATGTTTGAACAAGTTCCACTTTTTATTTCAAAAATAAAACTTCAAGAAGTTCCATTTTGTATTTCAAAGATGAAATGATTGAAGAAGTTTCACTTTTTATTTCAAAAATAAAACTTCAAGAAGTTCCACTTTTTATTTCAAAGATGAACTGTTTGAGAAGTTCCACTTTTTATTTCAAAGATGAAATGCTTAAGAAGTTCCACTTTTCACTTCAAAGATGAAATGATTGAAGAAGTTCCACTTTTTATTTCAAAGATGAACTGCTTATATTATATATATATATATATGTAAGGACATGCAGCACGGAAACTTGAACGTTTGCTCAGTGCATGCGCGAGTGACACTATTGCTGCAGCAGCAACAGTGCTGCTGCTGCAGCAGCAACACAGTGTTGCTGCTGCAGCAGCAACAGTGCTGCTGCTGCAGCAGCAACACAGTGTTGCTGCTGGTCCACTGCAGGTTCGAACGTGACCACTGGTCAGTTGCTGGTCAGCAATTACAAAAACTCATTTCAAGTGGAGTTGTGATTGTCGAAACTGAAAGAGTTATCGAGAACAGACAAGAACGACAAGCGGGAGGGTCACTTCTTCGTGTTGTGCTTTATTTTATTTCTTTTCTGTTTCTATTTATTCGTGTTGTGCTTCATTTTATTTCTTTTTCTACTTCTATACTTCTGTTAATTAAGTCTTTTTGTTTATTTCAACAATTCTAATTCTCTTTTTGTGCTGCTTAAGGCATCTAATGAGGGGCTTCTTACTGATCGAACTTCGCGCCGCCGTCTGTGCAATTTCGCTTTGTTTTTCTCGGAATTTTCGGAGTCTTTTGAAAGTTTGTTATTTCCTTCTCCACTTTCTTGCTGAGAAGTCTCTTTTTGGTTTATTTCTGTGGTGAAATAGCCGTTGCGAGTGCCCAAGACGAACAGCTGTGAGCAGTCCGGCGAGAAGCAGAAGCTGGCGACATCTTCTCCCCATCTAAAAATGTTCGGCAAGAAATAAATCAAGTCCAAAGTGCCCACATCAAACACTGAAATCGAACTGTTGCTGTTCAGACACCCCAGACGCCGGCCATCCGGGCTCAACAACATGTCCACAATTGCTGCAAACAACACCCCGCAAAGCCCCGCTGCAGCGCATTTTCCTGGAATTTCAACTTAATTCCAACTTAATTCCAACTTAATTCCAAACTTAGTGAAAATAAATCTCTAAAATGCATTCATTTGCACAAAAAAATGTGTGAAATGCTCCCAAATGCACATCAAATGCTTAAAGTCGCAAAGTCCAGGCGCCGTGACCGCAGCACAGCGGCCAAGATTGAGCGGACGGCAATATGGGGGTGTATATATATATATATTTATATTTATATTTATATTTATATTTATAATTTATATTTATATTTATATTTATATTTATATTTATAATTTGTATTTATATTTATATTTATGTTTGTATTTATATAAACATATATGTATATATGGACATAATTGGCACAAATTGATGTTCATGAGATTGCATGCAAGAGAGATGCACTGGCTTGCATAAAACTAAACTTTGAAGACAGTCCCACAGGCACTTTCAGAGTTGCATTTTCGAGAAAAATGAATTTTCATTTTAAATATTTTAAAGAGTTCGAAAGCCTACGGAACGGCAGGTCCCGCACAGACGCAAGTTCCTGTCCAGTTGCAACTTTGAGAAAAGAAAGACAGAAAGAGCCTTCCCCTCCAAAGTCCCGAAGGGCCTCAGCCTCTCTAAGAGAACCAATTTCTTTGTACATCCACTTCGAGTCTTCCGCTTTCCCCCTTCCCTTTTGCTTCTTCTCTTCCCTACTTGCCGCACCCGCCGAGTCCTCCCCAGGGGCCCCCCTGGGGGCCCCCGCAGGGGCCCCCGCAGGGGCCCCCAGGGGGGCCCCCGGGGGGGCCCCCGGGGGGGCCCCCGGGGGGGCCCCCGCGGCGCAGCGCAGGCGCCGGTAGTTGGAAGCCCTTCGGCTTTTCTTAGAAAAGAAACAGCAGGCGAGAACGCCGCGCGACACGAACTGAAGAGCTGTGACCATCTCGAGGACTTGGCAGCTGCCCAAGCATTCCAAATCCCTGATTTCCAACTGAGACGAAAAGAGAAACAGAAAAAGTTCCAAAAAGTGGAAAAAAAGAAAAAAAAAAGTGGAAATGCGACGAAGACCCGCGCAGTGCGCAGCGGCCGCGGGCAACTGGAAGCAAGTGGAAAGCAGCAGCAAACAAGGCCAGTTGGCTGCAGCAGCAGACTTTTCGGAAAGCTTTTATTATTTTCTTTCAACTTTTGTTTTAAATGCCACTTTTGCGCAAATAAAGAAAGAGAAAACGCATGCAAAGCCGCGCACCTCCTTGAGGTGGAAAGCAAACAAGTGCAGCCCCTCGTTGCTGCCAACTGCCAACAACTGCCCGTCCTTCGCCAAGTCACAACAATTCACTTTTCTTTCTTTTTGAAGAGTAACTTTTGCAAGTTTCACCAAAGGCGGCTGGCGAGGGCTTCCTTCTTGCAAGTTCCCGCTGCTGTCTTCGACATGCCTGCAGCAGCGCAGCAGCAGCAGCGCAGCAGCAGCAGCGCAGCAGCAGCAGCGCAGCAGCAGCAGAGCAGCAGCAGCAGCGCAGCAGCAGCAGCGCAGCAGCAGCAAATAAGTCCGGAAACTCTGCAATAAGAAGCAACTAAAGGCCAAATAAACTTGCTTTTTATCTTTCAAGTGCGCCATTTGCATGCAGAAGCTGCTGCTTCCGCTGGAAACCAAAGACTCCAGGGTTTAGGGTTTAGGGTTTAGGGTTTAGGGTTTAGGGTTGGCAAGTGTGGAGCAGGGAGATTAAAGTAGCGAGAAAAAGGCAAAAGAGAGGCAAAAACGACTAAAATAAAGAAAAGAAAAAGACAAAAAGATTAAATGATTTAATTAAAAACGCAGCCCCACCAAATGCCCACTTCCGTCGCAGATGGACAAACCAAAAGCCGTTTTTTCCAAATCACTTTTGGCCGCTGGAGGCCTCGAAGAGAAGGCGAAACGCAGAAGGGCAAACAGGGGGCCTTCAGCCCCTGAAGAAGAAAAAACAAATTAAAAATAAATTAAAATAATTTCAAAATATAAAAAGATCAGATCTTCATGTTGAAATGTGAATTCCCATTCGGACCAGCAAAGCAGCAGCAGCAGCAGCAGCAGCAGCAGCAGCAGCAGCAGCAGCAGCAGCAGCAATTGGAATTCATAGGCTTTAAACTCTCTGAATTGAGCTCAAAATTCTGCAACGAGAAACGGAAAATTCAAAACTTTGGAAGAAAAACGAATTCAAAAAAGAACAAAAAGACTTCCAAACCCCACTCCCCGCATGCATGCAAATCAAAACAAAGAATTAAAAAGCCCGCATGCATGCAAAACAAAACAAAGGACTAAAAAGCCCGCATGCATGCAAAACAAAACAAAGAACTTAAACCCCAATTCCTGCATGCATGCAAAACAAAGCAAAGGACTTAAACCCCAATTCCTGCATGCATGCAAAACAAAACAAAGACTTAAACCCCCGCATGCATTATTATTGCATGCAAAAGGCCTACTGCGAGTTCCGTGAGGTTTCGCATGCACTTGATGCTGCCATCTGCTGCGCCTGTGACAACTAAAGAGCCCGGGGGGCCCCCCGGGACTTTGGGGAGAAAGGCCAGGGCCTGGCAGTCGCACAAATGTGGGTACCGGCAGGCCCGCACGGCCCAGCGGTCTTGCTGCAGGCAGCAGCAGCAGCAGCAGCAAAACGCGAACTTGCTGCTGCTGCTGCTGCAGCGCCGCAAACGCCGCCAATTCCCCCCCCAAGCAGCAGCAGCAGCAGCAGCAGCAGCAGCAGCAGCAGGACTACAAGTGCCTCCTGCCAGGGGAAAGCCCGCGAGGCCCCTGGGGGCCTCCTGACTGTGCAACTACTCGGAAAGCGAAAAAACGAAAAGTACTTCCACTTCTGCAGACAGCAGCAGCAACTCGGCAGCAGCAGCAGCAGCAGCAGCAGCAGCAGCAGCTGCAGCAGCTGACCTCCGTCCTGCTGAGGGCCGCGAGCTTGCCATCGACCCCCACCGAAAAAACAACTTCTTCACTTGTGGGGAGGGGCGGCGCGCGGGGCCCGCGGGAGTCGGCGAGCCAGCTGTCTGTACACCCCGCGAGCTGTACGTCCAGCACGTCCGCCACGTGCACATGCAAAGTCTGCACTGCCACTCCTTCCGGCAAAGTCCAAAGAGTAATACATCCTCTGCTGTCTCCACTCAGCAGCAAAGAGCTGCGCGGCAGCGCCAGCAGCCGCCACACCAGCGTGCTGCTGCCTGCAGCAGCAGCAGCAGCAGCAGCAGCAGCGCAGCAGCAGCGCAGCAGCGGGAACGCGGCTTCTTGCTGCGCGTTTCTTCTCAAGTCTCCTGAAACTCTAAATTAATTCACTTTTTAAGTTCAAATAAACAGAAAAAATCGCAAATGAGGGAAAACGCGGAGTCCGCGGACCCCTGACAGCGCCCAGGTGTCTGTACACCTGAACGCCGGCGCCACCCCCGCTCGCGCCGGAAGCGCCGACAGCCGATCTGCGTCTAAAGTGGCATCATTTTGAATAATTCTTTTTTTTAAATAAAATAAATGAAAATAAAACACAAAATTGGACCAAAAGGAACGAAAAAAGAACGAAATTGGACTCACTTTCCGGCTTTTCGCCGCCGGGGGGCCGGCTCTCCAGCGCCATTTGGCCCGCAGCCACGAACGGGCTCTCCTCGCCCGCGCGCCAAAAACGCAAAATGGAAGAATTCGAATTTCCGGCGAAGACCAAATTGCGGGAGTACCAACACACTGACAGCAGCCGGCCTGCAGCGCAGCACAACACACTCGCGCTTCCCCCTGCTGCTGCTGCTGCTGCTGCTGCTGCTGCTGCTGCTGCGGCTGCGGCTGCTGCTGCTGCTGCTGCTGGTGCTGCTGGTGCTAGTGCTGCTGGTGCTGCTGCTGCTGGTGCTTCTGGTGCTGCTGCTGCTGCTGCTGCTGGTGTTGGTGCTGCTGGTGCTGCTGGTGCTGGTGTTGCTGCTGCTGCTGCTGCTGCTGCTGCTGTGCGGACATTTGGTCTTGGGGAGAGTGTGGGTAATTTGGATTTGAGTTGGAGTTTCTTCTTCCAGGAGAGTCTGGCGGAGATCGCCGCTGCTGCTGCTGCAGGCCTTTGCTGCTGCGCCCTGCAGCAGCAGCAGCCGCACTCGGCCGTCGTCGCATGCAGCAGCAAAAGCTGGCAGCCCCATTGATGGGGGGCAGAGGCAAAGGGAGAAGACAGCGCCTCCATTAGAAGGGCTTTCTGCCTGCAAACAAAACAAGAAATGGTCTTCTCTCCATTAAGGGAAAAAGCGGGGTTTGAGGGAGGGGGCTCGGCCTTTGCTGCAGCACAGGAGAGCTGCTGCTGCTGCTGCTGCTGCTGCTGCTGCTGCTGCTGCTGCTGCTGCTGCAGGGCGCCCACCTCCACGCGAGTTGTGCGCAAGTTCCACGCAGTAATGACCCCGTGGAGGCCCGCAGTGACGAGGCGCCACTCGAAGAGAGAAACTTCTGCGAAGCTGCTGCGGGCGGCGTCTGCTGCAGCGCCGCCGGCCTCCGCCGCAGCCCAAAAGGCCGCCGCCTCCGCAGTCAAAGGCAGCCACAAGATGTTGCGGACGGAGCTGCAGGAGGCGGCGGAGAGTCTCTGCGAAAAACGGGAGAAAACGAGCGGAATATCGCGGCGAAAGACCCGAAACTGCTGCATGCATGCATGCATGCATGCATGCATGCATGCATGCATGCATGGAGTTGGACTACAAACTCTCACTCACCACTTTCAAATGACGACTCGCAGAACTAAAAACTTCAACTATTCCACTCGATCGGCCCGCAGCTAGCCAGCGGCCGTCGGGACTGAACTGGAGAGCCTCCACGCTGGATGGGGGCGGGCTGTCGATACACCTGAAGCCGCAGCGCCGGAGAGCACGCCAGTCCGCAGTAAACGCGCGGTAAAATTGCAAACAATTGCGCCAAAACAATTTAAAATTCATTTTAATGCCCACCTGCATGATAATATCGCCGTTTCCATCTTCGCATCCCGTCAGATCCGAGGTCAGCTCGCGGCGGTCCAGGGGTGGGCGGACCGTCCGGCGCCCGTCAGCCCTTTGTAGATACACCCGGTGTCAACACCCCAACTTTTAAAAAAGAAAAATAGTTTGCAAATGCCACTAAAAAGGAAATTGCATTGAGTTTCCACATGCATCGATGGGGACTTTGCATGTGCGGAAGCCCTAGGCTTCTCGGTGGAAACCATAGAAGGCCGTCGCCCTTTGCCCGCACTTCCAATCCTGTATTGCAACTTTCAAATGTTCAAGTTTACGTACAGCCCAGAAGATCTAGCTGCTGCATGCGGCAGCCACAAATTAAACTGCAGTTGAGGGGTGATGAGGGGCTGCAGCCCCAAAGGCAGCCCTAGCAATCAGCAATCTTCCAACTGCTCTATTTCCTGCAATAAAGCTTTTTAGCTCCATTTTCTGGTTTTTAAAATCTTTTTTTAAAAAGAACACAGCGGCGCTGTCAACTATTTAGTTATTTCACTCAATTTCTGTGAACTAATTGCCAGCAGCAGCAGTGAATGACCACCGGAAAGGTTACCCTCTAAAACATAGACTTTCTGTAAAGTAAGAGCCAGCCCCTACATGCCTATAGTGCCCACACTCTGCGCTGCTTTCTGCCCACTAGCCGCTGCGCCCTGCAGCACAGCTGCAGGCTTGGGAGAACTTGAGGCCGAGTTATAGAGCTACTTAAAATAACTTGTAGACTGGAAATGTTTTAAAATAACTTGTAGACTGGAAATGTTAAGTTACAGTTACAAATCTGTTGAAGGAAGAGCAGAAGGAGGGAACTGTTCCACCTACCCATTCATGTGCTCACTTGGCGTTGTTGAGGCATTCAGCTTTGGCCGTAGAGTTCTTCATATTTATCAGTAAACGGGACTCTCACAGAAGCATAATGGTGTAACTTGAAGATAACTGCCTTGGGGAAAATGTGTGCACTGCTTCCATAAAGAGGTTTGCATCACCCAGAAGGCCCTTTTCTAAAGCAGTGTAAGGCTGAAGGGGTGACAACGCCACCACTTAATCTTGCAGCTGCGCCACTTGAAGGCAATTGGTACCATTACTGCACCAAAGACAAGTTGTCTAAAGTGTTCGTGTTGGGCTCAGTGTGCATCGATCCTACGCGTATTGGCGCCAACGCAATGAATTTGCTTGCAGGAGCCCCTGAGTGAGTTTGCTTGGGTTTTGGTTAGGAACTAAAATTTGGAATGCCGCGTCATCATTCAAGTGTTGTTCAAGTCGAAAGGTTCTTCTTCATCTGTTCCGGAACGCAGTTCGCTCACCTGTCGCTTTCGAGTAGGCGCTTGCCAGCGTGTGTTGTTGCTTATTACGCATTTAAAGCAATTTTAGGCATTTTAAGTGCATAGTTTCCTTAGTGTAACATAGCCTAGAGAGATACAAGCTTTCGACGCCTTGTGCGGAGGCGCGCCACTCAGGGACTCTAGCCACCAAAATGGCTCAGCTTCATTACAAAATATCAGAAGTTCACATTAGTTGCTTGAAGCGTGCAAGAGCTTTTGCTTGGGAATGCTTATTTCTGTCGAGGACAGACAACAGTCAGGGTACTGCTGCTCTCGTACTGCGGGCATGACAGAGATAAGGAGCGCCCAAACTTCTAACATAAGAAGACCTTGCCAGAGTTCCAGGACAGTTTTGTTTCGTGGGTTGTTGCTGTTCATCCAGTTTCTAACAGTAACTGCATGAGACACTGTTTCGCTGCCACCAAACAAGTAATTGTGCGGGAGGCTGGAGGTATGCACTATTGCTCGATAGATACAATCAGCCCCTATGCGTACCTGAGCAAACACAAAGCTTTGAAATAGCAAGCAAATGCTTGCGGCAACTTTAATTGTGGCTTTAGTAGGAATTGAAGGTCGATTCCTCTACAGAGGTAATCGTCCTCTTGCTGTTTCGCTGCCTTGCTAGCGCCATTTGGCCAGATGAGCATGAAGTGCTTGGAAGAAGCTTGCTTTGCGTTCGCATGCCAGCTGTCGCGGAGCAATTTGAACACTGTAAAGATCTGTCGGGGAGTGCCTCCAACAAGAGGTTTAATGCCCTGCAATAGCCAGCTGACCAGCGCAATACGGGTCGGGCGGGGGTGGACAATATGCCTAGCGTCTAGCTCTACATTCCGCAGGCCAGCATTGGAGCTTTTCGCACTGAGCTTTGCAGCAGGCCATTACTCCTTGACTAAAGCCCTCACAAACACGGGGGCTATTACCCCGCTTTTAGAGGAGTTGAAAGCGGACGGTAAGCAATTTTCTTGCCATTTTATCAATGTCGCCAATTCGGTTTTATTCAAGAATTTGCTTTTCGCCTAAAAGACGTATTGCGATAAGGCTTTGAGCGTGCCTATGGTGTAATAGGGCCCAGCAAAAGTTATAAGAGGCAGGCAGTTAGGTGCCCTCATACATCCGTCAGCTTAAGGATCGTATTGCATTGTCCTACCAGGGGGAGCTTAAGCGTTGAAGTGTTCTGCTCTTCAGGAGGTTGCAGGCTCGGGAGTGGTTACTTAAATACGGTGCCAGGCATGAAATGCCAGCTATCAGTAAGCTGCTATATTTGGCCAAACTCAACAGAACCACGCATTGAGCACTAGCCCGCAGCCTCAGACGCAAAAATGGAGTAATTGGACAGTGGTTAGGTGACCCATAGCATAGCTGCACTGCGACAGAGGTGAGCTGTGCTCGCTGTGGAGCTCCGTCACTATCAGTAGAGCCCAATAACTCACACCTTCCTAGAGCAGTTTTCGCCGGACCTGCCAGGGTCAACTGCTAGCTTGCTTGTCTAAATCCGTGCCGAACAGAGATGCGACGGGCATCTACTGGAGTAGTTCTCCAGCTACAGTTATCTGCCTACGGTGTCCTCTCCTACCAGCATGTGCGGATTCTCGGTGCCCATCATACCAACAGTGCATACAGAAGGCTACGAAAAACCATAGAAACAGTGTCTAGAGAAGGCTATGAAAACGTCACTGGCTTTCGTCTGCCTGTGAATAGTAGGTGACCCCAAGAAACTCCTTCCACGGGATTTTGCCGGCCAGATTGCAACACATGCTAAATGGACAGTTGTGGTCCCGGCAGCATTCGTTCTGCCTGTTCAGCAATTTCAGCCTCTTCCAAATTGTATGAGTTTTCCCATATCTTTGTGCGAATATGCCTTGTGGCTTCCGTCGGTCGACTGGCGCTGTGCCTTTAAGGGCATTAATCAGGGCCGTTTCAGCTCAATCGCTTTGAACTTCATACTCCTCTTCCCAGAAAAAACGCTTGTTTCTCTTTCACATTTTCGCCTGTAGCCTTCCTGCGCGGCTGTTTGCATGCTGTGGCGAAAGTGAACCAATGATTATGCCGAATATGAGGCACTGTTTACATCCTTCTTGCATTTGCATTTACTGAGTGAGCAGGATGCCTTGCATCATTAACCATTTTTGTTATGGCTGCAGCAAAGTTTTCCACCGCTCCTGCTCTGCTTCACTTCTTTGGTCCGTGCATCGACTATCAGTAAAATAGTTTGTCCGGCGCTGTGTAAGCTTTTACTCTCGCTTCTTTTGCGCCTGCTGCTTCAGCAGCGAAATAATTCAAAGGAATGCACCTGTATTAGGTGAGATTGCACCTGTATTAAGTGCCACCACATTTGTGTGGTGCCGGCAAATACCTTAGCTCGGCTTGCAGCGCCCTGTAGGTGAAAATGCACCAATTACGTCTTCATGTCTTCTACATCACGAATATCATCACACGTGATGACGAAAAGCTTCACAACATTTTCCAAGCACCTCATTTCCCTTTAGACTTTTGAAGAGGCCTGTAGCATTCTCTAAAGAGGGCTCTTTTTACCAGTAACCCCAGCATCTATGGACATCCTGGGAGACGCGCTTTTTCCTCTCGTAATTGAAGACCTCCCATGGCCGCTTACACCGCAGCGCTGCTGAAATTCCCTCTGCAGCTCAGCTCCTAGATTGTATATCTTGCTGGCTACGTACTTCACTTTTGTCACCAGAAGTCAAAACCACCGAAATGCAAATTAAAAACAAATCATGGCATTTTCGGGCTCCAGACATTTTGGAAGAAGGAAACTTCTGTCTGTCTCGCTCTGTCCTCCTGTGACTGCTGGCAGTATCAGTGACGCGATCAGCCCCAAAGCCTGATCAAGCTGCAAGGTACCCTTAGCGTAGGCTGTTTTAGTAGCCGGCTTTCTTTATCTGATTTGATTCTGATGAAGCTTACGCTCTGCTACTTCACATTCTACAGCCGTTCAAGATCCTTCGTGTGCAGCATTCTAGTGAACCGCACTACAACCGTGTCGGAGCCGGCGGCATAATTTCTCAAGCGAAGAATCCTCGTAAAGAGCCCTGCCTCATTTTGGATAGAGGATGCTTATTTCGAAAGAAGGGAGATGCAGAATAATAGGAGCAAAAACAGTGGCTTAAGAAGAGGTGTCGGGACGAACTCCCTGATAGTCCACCTCCCGCACTAAGCAGCACCGCTTACATATTCTATCTCTTCCGCACCTCTCTATACAGTCGACACATGAGCCCCTTGCCATCGTTTTGCTGTGGCTTCCGGGTGCCAGGTAAGGCCAGGTGCAATGCCTTTTTGTCTCAAAAAGGTTTAAGGATGATCTTTGAGCACGAATAACGAATTCAGATTTGAAAATGCCGGCTATTACCTTTGCCGGTGTTCCCTGGAGCTTTCCCGCCGGGCTGAAGCCCAGCGGAAAGCCTTTAACGTAGTCAGATATGGCGGTACCCACCAGGGCAACGTTATAGTGAGATTAAGGAGCTCATCTATTCCTTACACCGTGAAATAAAGTTGTTTACTCGTAAAAGCAGCATACTTCTTTCGTCGCATAGGTTGGGCTGAGGTGGAGAAAGAGCAGTCGCCACGGCGACTTACCGGTGGCAGTCTCAGCCCATTACTAAGGGGAGCAGCTCCACTGTTTCGCATTTCGTGCTTCTTGCTTTGGGGAGAAAAAAGTTAGACATATTAGCTCTCAACAAGGGGTGCCTCGCGACGCATTTCTCATGCAACAGATGCATTTTGGACGACATGCTGGGTCGTCTCGTGCTATTAGTGTCCATTCCGTCTGATTGAGGCACGTCTATCAGATGACAATGAAAAATGCAAGTTCCATTTTGACGGATACATCTCCCTTAGCGTTTCTAGGTACCACAGTCCACGTAGACAGCTCTAGATAGTGCAGAGCGAGTTCAATTGCTATAGTGGCAGCCTAGCCAGCAGAAACAGACCTTTAAAGCTTGCATTCCCATAGGCCTTGCAATGATTGTCCAGGATGGCTTTGCCTTGACATGTCCCAAACGTACCCTAGGGGGGTTTCGAAGACACCTGGTGGGCCTATTGGCGGTGGGCTCGGACGACGGCGCCGAGTGGCAAAACAACCTGCCTCTACACACGCCTCTGCGCGTGCACAAACATAGCTAAAAATGCTGTTTCTACCAATTTGAACTTGAGAAACGGCTGACAGAACTGCTGAGTTGTGCTTGAGTGCAGTTACCATAGTGTGCTGACAAGAGCACCCTTGACACTGAGTTGCTCTTTGGAGCGGGGAGATCCCGCGAGACCACCAGAGCTGCCATTGATCACCCAAATAGAGTGCGTCATAACACAAAGGTGCAGTCTCTCTTCAGCTAGTACTACCGAAGGCTGCTGCTGTCTGCTTAAAGGCCAGAAACACCTTACACTGCGGAGGGGCTGTTGGGCGAGCTAGGTCCTGTGAGGTATCCTTTAAGGCATCTGTGCAAAGAGCTTATACTTAAGAAGAAACGGAGAGGCACTGCACTCTCTTGGTGTGTATAGCTCTCGGAATGAACGATTGTAGTGCACTAGTTCTGGGGGTGTGCAGAGCTGCTATGCGGAGCGTCGGCCGTGTGCGTATTACTGCTGCCTGTGTGGGGAGACATTAAAGCATATTTGAGTACAAGTCATGGTTTTATCGAGTATTTCCAGAAGAGGTCTTATCTAAAGAGTGAAGAAGCTTCATAGGGTGAAAGGAAAGACGCGACTGCAGCGCCGGCCGGCTGGCTGCTGCTGCCCCGCCACTGCAGCAGCAACACCGTGCAGCAGGAGGATCTGCTCTGGCAGTGTGGGGGTATTGTAAATTGCTTAACCACGGAAAATAGTAGACGCTTTTTCTCGGCCTTTCACTCGCTTCCTACGGCGCAGCGAGGGTAAGAAGTCGGTGCAGAGGAGACCTGCCCGCCTACATGATGGCAGCAGTGCTTCATACTGGGGTTGTTGTGCTTCCGTCTCCTGTCGTTCTGAATTATTTGGAAGTGTATGTCTCTAGACAGCTAGTTGGGCTGCATGAGAACCTGTTTATTTCTCCCACTAGGTCCGCAACCGTGCGGCGTGGACGGGGGCGGTCGACCGTCGCTGGTGTTGTGCGCGTTCAAGTTTCCCGCGGATAGTTGGTGACTGTCTTCTGTCACGCTGGGTACAGACACACAAGTCTGAGTTTAGTCTTCGCACTTTGCAGAGCCGGGCTGCCAGGCTGCAGCGAACTCCGCACTGGCTGACCCCGTGCTCACTGCGTTGGTGTCTGCATGCACTTTGCCGCAGATGGCGGAGTCCTTCACAGTAGAGTCCACCGACGCGGCCTCATCCGCCTTTACCCTCAACAGCGGGCCTTACAGGAACATTCCGATATATGTGCATTTGGCCAAGTGAGCCTGAGCTGCTGCGCTGCCGCCCGCAGCCCCAGTGTTTGTTCTTGTGGCTGCTGTGCATGCGCTTGCGTTGCTGCTGCTGCGCCGAGCAGCTGCTGCAGCGCCTCCCTCGCTGCAGCAGCTGCTGCTGCGCGGCCGCGCGGGCCGCCGCCACCCACACAGTGCTCTCTGTCGCGTTTGCTGCTGCTGTAGCTGCAGCGGCTGCTGCGGCGCGGCCGCGCCCGCCCGCCGCCACCCACTCATTCCTCTCTGTCGCCTTTGCTGCTGCTGCTGCTGCTGCTGCTGCTGCTGCTGCTGCTGTTTGCCCGCTACCTCGCCCCCCCTTCAGGGGCCTCCCAGCCGATGCCTGGGAGCAAGTCCACACAAATCCCCTCTTCGGGGAATGGGCTGCCAACCTTTGCCACGAGGGCCGCCTCAAGGCGGACCGCATCACCATACAGCAGGTCAAGCCAGAGATCTGCATGAGTAAGGCAGCCCCCGCAGCAGCAGCAGCAGCAGCAGCAGCAGCTGCAGCAGCTGCTCACGCAGCTGCTGCAGGTGCTCGTGCAGCTGCAGCACGCGCAGCAGTTGCTGCTGACGCTCGTGCAGTTGCTGCTGATGCAGCTGCTGCAGATGCGGATGCAGCTGCTGTAGGTGCTGATGCAGCTGCTGCAGAGGCTCACGCAGGCTGTTGCAGACGCTCACGCTGCTGCTGCACGCGCAGCAGCAGCAGCTGCTGCAGTTGCTGCAGCAGCAGCGCAGCAGCAACGGCAGTTCAAAGAGCAGCAGGAGCCCCGTAGGAAGCAGCAGTAATGTAAACGCTGCAGCAGGAGCCAGGAAGTGCGGGTCTTGTGCTGTGGAGTGCTGCGGTGGTGCAGATGTAGAGGCGACGACGAGCCAGGGCACGTCAGTGAGTGGTCCAGTGGTCCTGCGGCCCATGCAGTCTGCGATCCTCATCGTGCTGCGGAACTCAGTGACAAATCTGGAACTTTGCGTCTTCTGCAAGCGGCCGGAGCTGGCGACGGGGCTGTCGGAAAGCCTGGGCCTGGTGGAAGGCAACTTCGACGCGGAGGGGAAGCTGGAGGGGCCGTGCGCGGCGCTTCTCGAGAAGCACCTGGGCCTGTCGCTGCACAAAGATGACTGCGTGGACTTGTTGATAGCGGCCCACGGGAGAGTCGTGGGCGATTCGGGAGTTACTTGCATTCCCTCCTCAGCCGCCACGGCGGAGGCGCCTCCGGCTGTGCGGTCCCGGCTGCTCCTCTACCGGAGTGTAGCGACACCCGAAGTGCTGCAGAAGCTTGAACAGGAAGTTGGCAGGACCAAAAGACACGGATATCCTCCAGCCACTGTGGGCTCGGCTCAGGAAGGAGAAGACCTCCTTGGACTTAGGTAGGCAGCTACTGAGCTCCGCAGCGGCAGAAGTTGCCCTCTCGGATGCATTCCATCACATGTTCACGTCTAAGTTTTGGGTCTGTGGTAGTCTTTTTGTTTCTCTGGTTTTTGTCCTTCCATTTTGCGCCCAATTAATGTCTATGTGCGTCCGTGGCGCATCTGCATTTGCTTCTGTCCGCACAAGTCCCGCCTTCGGCATTCATGTTTGTTGCCTGTCTTTGCGCCGATTCGTTTCCCAAATATTGGTTTTGTGGGCAGTTTTCCGTGCCTTTTGTCCGTCACTCCATAGCACTGTTGCATCGGTCTAAGAAACACGCAAAATTGGGGCCTGAGAGTTGTTGAGCAGATTGTTGTACTGCTCGTTCTGACAGAAAGCTTCCCGAATGCTGTGCACTGTCGCCAGCTGCTGGTGTAGCTGCTGCTGCTGAGCCCAGTTCGTGTGTTGCAGCTGCTGCTTGTTTCTGCTGCAGCGTCGTGTACATGGGTGACACGTGGAGGGCGACGTTGGACCCGCGGGCGGTGTTTGCGTTATTCCTTCTCGTGGAATTCCGTTATCACCAACTCAAGCTGCCGAAAGCTCCAAGGTTTGCGGCGCACGACGGCAAAGGGGCAATCTTGGGCGCCCCCCGCAGGGGCGAAGCTGCCAGCAGCACCGCGCTTGGTGCGCCTTCTAAAAAGGCAGCAGCTCAGTTCAGGAAGATCTCTTCGCTCACCCCTCTCTGCACCGGCGTCAACTTGCGTGTTAAAGTTGTGGAGCCGATCAAGCCTGCGGTACGCGCTGGGTGTGAAGGCCCCTTCGGGCTGTGCATGCTCTTTGCTAGCTGCTGTGCTGGCAAGCTATTCAGCTAGCTGGCTAGCGGGCTGTTGAATGCACTTCCTCTTCATTGCTGTTTCGTGCTAAGTTCTGGCAGATGAGATTGGTAGTAGCAGCTTCATTTGAAATGTGGCATGTCTCGGTTGCCCCTCAGCCCGACGTCATCCTCCCGAGGGGTCAAGTCATTAAGAGGGCCACCATGGTGGTAGGGGATGACGAAGCCATGATCACTCTCAAGTGAGCATCCGCAGCTTTAGCTGCTGCTGGCTCTTCTGTGTTTGGACTTTTGCTCCCTGGGGATAAGTTCTGATTGCTTTTGGGGAGCATTCCGCTGCTGTGCGTTGCATAGGGGTCAAGGAACTGAAGTGTCGTATATTGCTTTTATGTCCCGTTTTTTTTCAGCCTGGAAGGTGTTCAGCTTGAACTTCCGGACGTTGTGAACACCCCTCTTTTGATTAGAAACGCAAAAATTCAGATGGAAGAAGGACACATGAGACTAGCAGTAGACAGATGGGGGAAGATCTCGTAAGACAGGCTGATACGTTAGCCATTGGCAGCGCTGGTGTTACTGCTTCGTGGGCGGTTACTGTATTTTGATTAATGAAGTGGAGCAGAGTCCGTCGTTCAATGCGACGCCGCTCGCATCTGTGTTCACCATCGAGGTACTGCTTCTGTTGCTACTGCTGTGGGCTCAGTGACGCTCGGAACGACGACTTCAAAGACTTCAATTTTTCAGTTTGTACTGCTAGAGATATGAGTGAACAAGAGTATGAACTAGTGCACATGCCTGGAAGTGAGCAAGATGCCGCTGAGGGCCCCAGCGGCCGCGCCGGGAGCCCCCCATTCGCAGGCAGGGGAAGGAATGGCATGCGGGGCAGAGGCCGAGGTGGCTTTAGAGGTGGCCGAGGGAGAAGAGGCATATAAGGTGAAGACAGTTGAGAATCTAGCCCATTTTCTGTGCGGGCTGTGACCGTAGGGCTATGGGAAGCTGCTGCGCAGCTTTTTGTGGGCTGCCTGATTGAAGGGGGCCTTGAATTGCGGCCGTTTTTGGGGTGTGTGCAAGTCGGTGCAGGTTTTCTTGTGGCCGTTTGTTTACATGAAAATTGCAAAGCATGCATCTACATGGCGGCGCGCATTTGGGTGTGTACTGAAGGAATGTTAATTCTAGTTCTTTTCATGCATATGTACTTTTAGGGCCCCGCGGTGAGGCAGGGAGCTCATGGGGGGCCCCAGCAACGCCACTTGCTGCTGCAGAGGCGCAGTAACGCGTGGTACACGAAAAGCACCAAGGTCTCCTGCCGTTGCAGCAGTTTTCCTTGCTTCAGCTGTACCTTTTGCAGTAGCTGCAGCAAGAGAGCAGGCGCAGCGGGACCCGTGCGGTTGCTGGGTTGCAGCAAGGACAGTTCGCGCAGCAGAGTGTCTGCTGTGTGAATTGCGGCTGGTTGCCGCAATTCGGTTCGCGCATGCACGTGCAGCTCCGGACTACATACGGCCGGAGCACACACAGAAAGAACGCGATAGTTCGATTTGCTGTGTGCGCCTTCGAGAGCGGCTGTAGAGGACTGCCTCGGTGCGCCTTTGCTGCTATCGAACCAGGGTAACTAAGGCCACGCGCGAACACAACGTGCGCTCATACAATCACGGAACATCTGTATTGTAGAGGCTCATGCATATTCCTGTTTCAACATGCACGTAAACACGTTTAGTCCTTTCTTCTACAGGCACGAGTATCTACAAGAAACAGAGCAGTGGCTGCCTGCAGCTTGCATGAGGCATCTAAACAGCTGAATAGTACTGCCGAGACAAAGGAAGGCCGCACTCATGCGTGGAAGCCGACGTGGGGGATATCAATCTTGTAGAAGGGGCAGCAACTCCCCCCTTGGAATATGGAGTGAATCGCAAGCTGTGAAGTCAGTGTTCAAACAATGACGGCAAAGGGGGTTCCGCGCCGGACACCGGGCCAGCAGCAGTGTAGCAGTGACATCCACTGCCACAGAATTTAGCAAGGGTCCCATAGAAGCCTGAGTCAAGCCCCCGAAACGCAACAGTGTGTGACACTAGTGCATTTGTCACCTCATTCGGCTCGTGCTATTTATTGTGCTGCTGCCGCTGCTACTGCAGCTGCTGCTTCCCTTGCCGGTGCTGCTGTATCGCTGCTGTTGCATCCCCTTCCGTCGGTTCTGCCTTGCCAGTTGCTGTGTGGTGCTGCTGGCTGTACTGCTGCTGGGCCATTGTCACTACTGTCTGTGGTACTGCTGGTGCATTTGGTGCGGTTTACGCTGGTCCAGTGCCCCCGAATGTCAATGTCTCCCTTAAAAGAGACATGGTGCTGCTGCTGGTGCTAGTAATGCCGAGCACGTAAGTGCTCGTTCTCTTATCTTTTTTGCGCTTTCACTGGCGTCGTCCTTCGGCAGTGTAGGTGTCCAGCAAATACCTAGAATACCTAGCTAACTTCTCCTTTTGAGGAGACCCATTCGGCTTTGACTCGTTGAGGTCCAAGGGGGCAGCAAGAAACAAATGAATAGGAGGTAAGGTCGATACACTATACGTGATATACACGTGATATACAGCCGACATCCTAGAGCACAAACCCTGGAAAGCGGACCCTGAATGCTATGCACTTCTTCCATAATGCAATTGAAAAGGAAGTGCCCGCCGAACTAGCTGAATGGGAAAGTTCCAGGAGCCCAAAGACACACTAAGTTCTCCTTTTCCAGACACACCTGTTGACTGCTTTGGGCTTGTGGCCCTACCTAATATTAAATTCAAAATTTCTTACGTTTGCATTCCCCTTGGGTGGAAATGAATCAGTTACACCTTCTAAATTTGTGCAACTGACGAACTATAACAACTGCGCGATAAAACAAATATACCAAAATGAAGATGTACGGAAAAATACAATGGAACGAAGCAGTAATATTGCAGTTGTTGCTGCTGTCGCTGCTGCTGCACCCACCCACCTGCTGTGTACCTAAATACAAACGGGGAAAGCGGTGAACAGCAAGGCTGATTCGAGCTACAACGTAAATCCAGCCAAACTTTTTGTTAATTCCGGTCGCTTTACCTGGGCAGCCGGAGAAAGGCAAAGCAGAGCCCCGCAGAGATGCATATACAGTACGGTGTTACCAGTAAATGCATCAAACCATGAACGCTAAACGGTGAACCCTAAAGCACTAACTCGACAAATTCATATAGTGTCGCAAGGGTTATCTAGCGTTACGCTATCAGCAACCTCATTGCTTTGCGAAACACCTGCATGTGTTTCGCACGGATGTAACCATGGTAGAAGATTAGTGCACCGGTAAGAGGGATCCTTCGCTAACAGTCACACTACACATATATACGTGTAGAATTTTAACAGATGGATGTTACCTTACGGTGTGCTACTTGTATGCTTGCCTAGGAAAAGAGCAGTGAACTGTCCAGCAGCATCTTAAAACAGTATCAGAAAAGGTCCCGAAAGTGTTTAGAGATTGATATGCTGCCTTTTAAGATGCCCTCGTTGTAAGATGGGTCGCCTCCTGGGGCTGGGGCCCCTCAAATGGCTCGGGTCGATGCTGCGCCAGAGACCTTGGCCGATCTCCTGAGAAGAGCAGTGTATCTGCACGGAGAATCCAATAGCCTCCAAAACAAATTTTATATATTGAAGCTGACAAGGCGTTTGCTGAAATATTTCTGTTGCCTCGCTGACGAGATCATCCAGCATGCAAGAGTCTGCGGGTCGATCCTTTCACTGATTTTGAAGAGTATGCGCAGTCTTCCTCCGGTATAGCCGTGTCCCCGCTTTCTAAACGTTGGCAGATACTGCAGATCCGAGTTTGTATTGTGCTTGGGACACCGTCAATGTCAAGTGCTGGCCCGGGGCTCGCTATTAAGCCTGCTGGGGAGCCGCTGTTGCGAACACGTTCCCCAGCCTCTCCGTTGCTACTTGAAACCAATGATTCTGTTTTAAAAGTTGGCAGAACTACACCGCAGGCCATTCGACGCAGTCGTCCCCGTGTGGCATTTCTGACGCTAGTAGCCATTGGGACGATTCTAGGTTTAACGGTGGCAGTGTACTTCTGCAGGCTGAAAAAGAAGAACCACTTCAGCGCGAGAAAATTTCTTCGCAGGCTAGCCGGCCGCGAAGAAGGAGAGGAGCAGAATAGCGAGAGGGACCGTTTCGGACGGGACACTTGCGGCATGATCGACGCTGTAGAGGGTCTGGTGCCAACACACCTCCTCGAGACGTTACCATTCGTTCTAGAAACGCCAGAAGAAGGGACTTCCGATGGTCCACCTAGCAAAAGGCAAAAATACGGTGACTCTTCTTCTTCTGAAGTTGACTCCGAGGAGACCCCGGCTGTGCCTCCGGTCGATGACTGGTGGCTTCAGCCAACGGGCTCCGAAACACAGGAAAAAGTGTCATCGGATCCGGAAAGTCTGTCTTCGGCCACCAGTTCCTCGCCTCCGTCCCAGCCTAAAGACTTTCTCCCCGAATTCGCTTGCTTAGAGCAATTAAGCCCTCTGTTAGATGAAGACATGGAGGCGGTCGTGCAGAAATCAGTACAAGCATTCGTGGATTCTGCGTACGTGGATTCTGTAACTTCTGAGAATGTCAGCTATTTGGTGACTGTGGAGGCACCAGACTCGCTTGCTAATGTCGCGGAACAGTTAGTTTCGAATGAGGCAGCTCTACGCAAGTTGGTTGAGTTGGTGGAAGGCGAACTAGAATTAGCCCTATCACCTGAAAAAGACACTCCTTCGGGGCCGCCCGTCGGTGAATCATCTGCTGACCTTAGCAGCAACGAGAATATCTCCTCACATTCGCCTTCGATTCCACAGCAAATGGAAACTCCAAGCACTTCCGGTGCGGAGCGAGGCCTAGAGCACGCTGCTCACTCTCAAACGCCATCTGGATCAGAGAAACCTGAAGAGGAAGGCAAAACAACACGTGAAACCATGTCAACTGCCAAGGAAGGCTCTGCCCCTCGTGAAGCATCATATGAATTCACGTTGGCAGCGGAATCATCCTCTCCTGGGGATACTTCCGATCTGGAAACCCGTGCTGCGGAGGCCGCACAAGCTGCGGACCCCAAAGAAGTAAGTGCGACGTAGTCTCTGCTCACTGGCTGCTTTAATGCTCAACGCGTCTACGTTTCACTAATAGTTTCGAGCTGCTATCTCCGAGAATAGAGGGCATTTGTGCACGACACTGCCGAGGCGTTTCTTCCCTTTCTGGGTTAGCGAAGCTCAGTGGCTGGCTCTATGTTGCCGTTTTTCGCGCTTTCTTGCGGCTGGAAATGTATTTTTCGGTGGCTTCTCAATGGGCCTTTTTAATTTGGTGCTATGTTGACGGACTGCATTTCTTTTTCGTTTTAGGTCCCTCCAGAAGGCAGCGCCAATCTGCTCGATATATTGCGCAAGCCTCAAAGAGTGCTTCCGTGTCCAGAAGCTAAGGATCATCCGTATTACCGGCTCCCAGCGCCCGCGGCAGCCCATGCAGAAGGTCCGAAGATGGACAGATTTGATGAACATTTTGTTTTCTGTGTGGCGGAACCATCGGCAGGAGCTGCAGCAAAGCTTCTACCCATTCGCCAGATTTTGCTGAAGTCTGAGGTGAATGAAGTGGATGTGAGGCATCTCGTGCATCACGGCGAACAGCTTGTAGCCTATGCTTTCAAGTACTTGACAAAAGACCTGAGAAAAAAATCTATGTATCGCGCGAGGGAGCAATTGTGTCGTCGAGTTCTCGTGGCAGATGCCTTGTGGGGTGTCTGCCAAGTCGTAGGCTCTCCAATGAAAAGGGAGGTTTGGTGGGATACACTCATGGTAAAGATGGCAGGTACCCCACGTGACAGGAACCAGCCGAGAAACGCTCAGAGAAATCCGTTCGTGAGGGACCTCGTTGAGGCATTGCAATCGTATAGAGAGGGAACCCGACCAAAACCAGAGACAGTAGTAAAGCTGAAGCGGGCAATGTTCCAGGCTCCCTGCACTGTGGAGGAGTTTAGAAGCCCCTTGTGGGACCCGTGGAGACAAGACGACAAGTTTTACGGAAAGCCGTCTTAACAAAGGCGCTGCTCTGGGAGGGTGGTTTGCTTCGAAACTTGAGGCAAATGCTCGTTTGGTTGTCGCCGCAAATTTCATCGCTTGTTCCGGTTGTTCCGAGCTTTTATGCGATGGCAGGACGCTATGAATGTCACGAATTAAGATGATCCTGAAACTTTACACGAGGTAATGGAGGGGAAGCGCTGACTGAGTCAATGTGCCTGTGTTTGTGCAAATCAGTGCATCCTCGATAAGTACCTAATTGTTGCGTTGCTTGGAAATTCACAACCTACAAGTACACGTGGGGGCAGCGTCAATTATATTCAATGAGGATTAAAATGCAGGATCGATTGTGCGAACTTTGCTGACGCCTTCACCTTGAACAGTAATTCGGAAGGCGGCGCTTAGTGGTTAAGACTGAGCAGTAGATAGTGTAGCCTAATAATGTTCTTGCTGCACCCTGCGAACATCTCTCCGCGCAGCAGTGCAGGAACGATCAAAAGTATCGTGTGAGCCTAGCGCCGCTTTGAGGCGTTTCGATGTCAAGATTTTATCGTCAGAGATGCAGTATTGCAGTGGCGTGCGCCGAAAAGGCATTGTCGCAAAGAGTTATGTCCACAGCAGGGGGTATATTTGCTTATTTTCCTCTGAAAAGGCACATCATCAAATACGGGCACGCCGAGCAGTCCAGACTTTAGTGGTTTCTGAATATATGTTTTTTCCTCATGCAAGAAGCAATGCGAACTCAGCTACTTCGTTTCATAAGTTGTTTCAGCATACGTGTCCCTAGATCCCCAGTCTCTGCAGCTATCTTATCAAAAACATACTGTAAAATTGCCTTTTGTATCTCCGTAGGGAAAGTATTTAGGAAACCGTGAGCATCAATCAGTAGCAGCGCTATTCATTAGTGGTCTCATTCTACCGTGCTGTGCTGCACCGCCACACTGAGAGCTGGTTCTCCAGTCCTAGAGGCCTCTTGTCAATTGAGTATATTGTTTTTCTGTAGGTGCTGTTTAGAGCAATACACAGGCGCTACGTGTGCTGCTGCTAAGCTCAGTACGACTTCTTCCGGTCGAACGCTTGCTCGGCAAACGATGATCTACTCAGCGCTGTCCCTGTCACCTCTATTGACCTTAACACGAAAGTATTAAGGTCAGTAGTTGCTTTGTTCAAGCTCAGAGTGGGCTGTTTCCTAGGGGACAGTTTGCACGCCAAACTGTCCACTCTGAGCTTGAACAAAGCAACTGCAGCGCGAGCCTTCTGCGAGGCCATTTTGAATCTGTTCCAATACAGTCTTATCAAATGCACATAGGAACAAGCTGGCACAGCTACTGATCAACACGCCCTAGCAACGAAGGACATATTTCGTCACGCGAAACTTGAGTACGTTGACGAGGAAATCTATTTCAAAGACAGCGCCCCTGAACTTTGAACAAATCTACAATCGAGGCCGAGGCGCTTGTGCTATGCTAGAGAGAAGTCTTCGCTGAATTTACGCAGCTCTTTTTTCTTCCTTCACCTCCTCCTTTGTTTTGGGCCGCATCGATGGGAAGAGAATGACCTCTTTTATTGTTATTTGGTCAGAGAGGAACATAGTGAGTCTGTCAATGCCCACACCCCAGCCAGATGTTGGTGGCAAGCCGTACTCCAAAGCCATCAGGAAGTTTTCATCGATGGGACACGCTTCGTCGTCTCCCGCCTCCTTCGCCTGCTCACAACCATGCACAGACCGCACTTGCGGTCATATCCAAGAAGCAGAATGTTGCAGAAGCACACATATTGCCTACACAAGCTCTAGCAGCGTAATTCAAGAAGCACAAACTTCTCAAGGGCGCACCTTGACTTGCTCCATGAAGCATTCACGTTGCTTCTTCGGGTCATTCAGCTCTGTGTACGCATTGCACAGCTCCTTCCCCATTAGGAAAAGTTCAAACCTCTCTGTCAGCTCAGGCTTTGATCGGTGCCACTTCGCCAACGGCGACATAACCTGTGGATGGTCGACGATGAAGGTGGGCCTGAAAGTGCACTGGCTCTCAACAAAATGCGAGCACACTGCATCCAAAGCCTTCGCCGGGGTCACCGGGTTCGGTGGCTGAATATTGTGCTTTTCCATCAAATCCTTTAGACACGCTAGGCATTCAGGCCCATCCAGTGGCCTTGGCAAAGTGACCTTGGCCTGCTTCTCTATCTCTTCAACAAGCGAAAGGCGACGGTACGGCGGCGTGAAATCCAGCTCCACAACGGGGCCGTTTGGACCCTCCGGATGAAATGGAATCTTGTAGCTGCCATGTATAGACATTACCATCTCTGAAATGTACAAAAAGAAAAGATCCGTAGAAAATGCAAGGAATCACTAAGCGGGGAAGTCCCACTTAATTCCTGAGTTTGATGAGAACTAAAAAGCACGTCTTGCTAACCAAAAACTAGGGAATGGGTGCGAAGGCTGTGTCCTTAAGACTAATGGCGACACCTGAAAGCATGTCCTCAGTGAGCTTCATCGTGTCATTGTAGTCCGCATACGCCCAGTAGAATTCGCACGCTGTGAACTCCGGATTGTGCGTCATATCGATGCCTTCGTTTCGAAAATTTTTTCCAATTTCAAACACTTTGTCCATCCCTCCTACAGTAAGCATCTTCAGGTAGAGCTCAGGGGCAACGCGCATGTAAAGGTCCGTGTTCAGATCGTTGTGGTGCGTCACAAATGGCTTCGCGTTTGCGCCACCGAAGACGGGATGCATCATGGGAGTTTCGACTTCAATGAAGCCACGGCGTTCCAAGAAGTCGCGAATAAAGCGTGTTATCTTAGATCTGAGGTCACAACAGATAAACGAAGCAATCGTGTAGACGTAATTGACGGGAAAACAGTGGACCTGATAATCTAAACAAACCGCTAGTGTCAGCCAGCCCCTACAACCGTAGTAAACAACAATCGAAGTGCTCTTGTGGTACCGGATCACAAAGATGCGGTGAGGCTCGTCGTTCACGATCAGATCTACGAATCGATGCCGGTAGCGCGTGTCCAAGTCTTTCAAGCTGTTTCGCTCAGGCAGCATGTGCAAACATGGCGTAAGCAGCTTCATTTCATGAGGGAAAATTGACAGCTCGCCACGTCTGGATTTTCCCGGGTACCCACGAATGCCTGAAAATGGGATCAATACCCTTGAGAATTGCGCAGATTAACGAACCTCCTTGTTGATAAAGATGGCTCAAAGCTACGCTGACACGCTGTGTGTCCTCACCAACGATGTCTCCTCTCCGAAAGGCATTATGTATCTCCACAAAGTCCCCCGTGGACGGGTCATGATCAGCAATGTTCGCCATTACTTGCACCTTGTGGCCGTCCCCCCGTATGTCGTAAAAGCGCAACTTCTGTCCACTCGCCGCCACTCGAGTCAACCGGCCTGTCGAAATCCCACATGAGCACGGGTCTCCACTCTGCATTCGTTGTGATCCACTCTGCATTCGTTGTGAAAACAATTGCATAGTTGCCTTGTCTGCCTCCTATAACTTATGTGGCATCACAAAGCGGCATAGGAGTGGCTTTCAAAAGCCGAACCTGCGACGCAAACCTCCTCCTCCGGCAGATGAGCTCCATCAGCCAAGCCACCGTACTTCTCTTGAAACTCTCCTAGTGTCATGGTGACCTGAAACAAACCCACTAGCGAAACATACCACCACCACCTAGCATGCCTCGGCAGATATACAATTATGTAAAATTGTCTATGCTTTCCAGACATATCGACAAAAATATTCGCAGATGCCCTCTTCACTCCCTCTGAGAGTCCTCCTACACCCTCCAAATCAATAAATAGATTTTTGGGATATGTGGCCAAGCCCACATTGAATTTATGCGGATAGGCCGCATTTTCTTTACGGAGAGACTCGACAAATTTGCAGCGGTTTTCGTAGAAGACACGTGGGTCGAGTTCCTCATGCGCCTTTGTCTCCGCACCGCCTTCTCCTGCTTCCGTAGCTCCTTTTTGCTGTTTCTTTTCCTCGATCTGTTGCGCCTTCCGGAGACGCCTCCTTTCACTGCAGAGCAAAGCATTATGCACGGCGAAAAATGTCTCTAATTTACCCCGCTCAGCCTTGACAGAGGCAGACCTGCACGACTTGATTTGCGAGGCCAGCGGTCTCAAAACTGGGAAGAACGCACTGCAAGCCTTACTTTGCTGAAAGTTTTTTTTCATCTCCTTCTGCAGGAGCTCCGTTGGAAGGTAACGAGCTCATTTGGCTAGCAGACGAACTGACCGAACTGGACAGGGTTGCGGGGTGGCGTGCCGAAAAAATTGGGTTGGGGTTCCAGCAAAAGCAATTTGATGTCCTGGAGCGGGCAGAGAAGCAGCAAGCAGCACGTTCTTGCAGGATTATTTCTACTTTGCTGTACGGGAAGTATGCCTGATTATGTGGAATGGAGCTCAATATTGCAGCGGCGAGGGGCGAACGAGTTAGTACACGTCCACCCTGATGAGCATTGGAGAGCATCTAGACTCTTCAAAGAACGACAAATTTCATTTAAAACAATCAGTGAGGGTTACTGTGACACAGCCCTGCTGCGTCACAAAGATATTAGAAGCCATGTGGGGCCGCTGGTAAAAACTCGATAAGCCGGTGACGACGAATTCAGCACACTGGCTATTTGCCGTCACTTTAAATTATCGTAAATCTCATGTTTTAGTGCTCAGAACCACAACAATGATATTTGAGTGACTATGAAGAGCTTCAATGGTAGAGAGTTGCCTGAACTGTTATGGAGGCACGCCTACAGGGATCGGAGCTGTTCGTTCATAAAGATATACGACTTTGAAGTGCCTGCACTTCTGAAAATATATTGTAAACGTATGCCGAGACTCCTGTAAGGGTCCTGCATTGGAACCAGTGCAACGTATGGAATTACTTCTCCTGGAATCTAACAGCGTGCGGCTCATGCATCAAGTCCAAAAGTTGTTGATTTGCAACGTGAAATTTTCTTCTTGAAGCCCTGCTTTCCGTTTTCTCGGACAAATCCACTTGTTCGCCAATAGATTAGGCCAGTCAACTAGCCGGAAAGGAGTAGGACATTGCTTAAGAATGAAGGAATCGGTAGGAGTCAACTGCGGTTCCACGAACGCCCACATAAATCTTGAAGTCTAATTTTTGGCCCTGCCATGGCTTATTTGTTTGAAGCTAACTAGTTGTTGCCCATAGAGACTTTGGTGGCGGACTTCTGTTGGAGACTATCCGGGAATCTAGCTGGGGAAACCTATTCAATGCGGCTTGAGTGCACTACAGTGGCTAGAGAAGATTTTGGTTGGTCTCTCGGTTTTCGAGGGGCTAGGAGCCCATTGTCATCACCACAGTTGCACGGTTGGGACAAGGGGGAGAAAATGGTACGCCACAGAAGAGACCCCGAAGGGTTTCTCCGTTTAAAGTAAGCCTGTTATATGGGCCAACATCGACAGAGAGTTTCCTCTCTGTGCTTTGTATGGTGTCCCTGTTCTGAAGTGGTAGAGGCGATCCGTCTAGACGAGGGTGGCGACCACAACTGTGTTTCTCTCTTGCGTACTAATCTGGGTGCGAGCAGTGCTTGCACCCGTTATACACTGGAGGTGAATAATATGTTTTTGGAGAGCATTGACACTTACTATTCTATTTTTCTCCTGCAGTCCTCTACCGAGTCGCCACTGGTGTTCGCAGATTACAAGCTTTTATTTGTAACGGAGTTTTGTTTGGCACCTAAATGGGCCCCCAAATATTGTCGATCCACCGCAGTTAGCGCACTCAGCAAAAATCGGCGATGCATAGGGATGAGTGAGCACTGGCAGAAACGCACAAAGACACTGATACAACGCAGACCGACGCTAACTTATGATCTTCTCCAAGTGGTCTGCACTTTTCTTATCACTGTTATCTTCGCCTATTATTGGGTATTTCGATGTCGAATATAAAGAAAATCTCCTGGGAGCCATCATTTGACGACGAATATTTCGTGTATTTTCCAAAGAAGGTGCCCAATATCCACCAGAGTGACTACACAAGTAGAAGATGAATGCCCCAAATAAGCACGGACAAGGAGCGTGTAGGCGCTACTCTCTAGTCCTTGTAGAGCATGGGGAGCTGTAAAAGAAATAAGAATAATACCAAAGGATTCAAGCTGGGCGCCGGCTGCCAGGCAATACCTCAATGGTACACGCTCACGGGGCAATGGCCCGTGCAACAGAATGCTGCTAAAGGCTAAGGAGCTTCCTCATTGTGCCAGCAGCGCGTCTTGGAGCTTGCACCGAATACGGCCAGCCGTGTACCCCGATTTGAAGACAAACATTTACCAAACGCTGCATAAATGCTGCGTGAGTTGCCTTCAACACAATCCTCAACCCCTGTGCTGCTCCGGGGAGGGGAAGAAAACTTGGCTCACCTCACTACACTGCCTTTCAAGAGCGAATTAATCCTTTTTGTTGTGTCGTACTACAGCATCTTTGTCGTTTGCCTAGACTGGTTCATTGCCCAAAAACCTTTTCAATTTTCAGTGCACCCACCCCTGCTGCAGCTAGTGGTGCACAGCGTCCCGCGGGGCCTTACTACGCAGATCAATGCCACAGTTTCCCTTTTTTTGTCTTGATCTGCTTTGCTATCCATGGGGGCAGGCCTATGGAGGGCCCGGGAGGAGTTAAACAGTGAAGAGTTAAGCAGTGACTGACAATCCAAGTACGCGAAATGCCGTCTGTTTCAGTCCTCCGTGATGCCTATACCCGGTAGACCTGCTGTTCTAGGGCTAGGCACCACATGGTTTCCAGGTTATTTGCATAACTCTATGAGGTGAAATCTCAAGTCCAGCCTTACGCGGACGCCTAATTGTGGAAGAGGCCATGACTTGTTTTGTGGGCCACTCTTGGATGCCTGTAAGCTCAAAAGTTCCTAGAAATAAACTGAAACCTTCGGAAGGGAGACTACTCTCGAACTACCCTGCTCATGCGGCTCTTTATTACACGAAGCCAACCGCCGCTTTGAAGAAATCCAGCGATTATCCTTTAAATCGCCTGCCAGGACGGGTTTTCCGAAAACACACATGCACAGAGCACTTTTGACGGAACTCTTTTGAAAAAGAAGCGCGGGAAATGGATCAGTCACCTCGCAATACAAACGGCGCGACCAAGGGGCTTAGCCAATTGTTGCCCGCGTGGTGGTTTGTAGCGGCCTCCCCTGCTAGAGTTTCCTTTCTTATGAAGCTCTGTTTTTAAATTGACCGAAGTTATTTCCCTAAAATTACAGAGTTCAGCCGTGAAAACCAATTGGTTGGCGACGTATTGACGCTGGAAGGCTGCATTGCTGCAGCGAGGCGATGTCTCTGTTGCCCAGCCCTGATCTTGGGCGGGGTTCTTTGCCGTCCAAATGAACGTCATAGTCTTTCAGCGATTCTCTTCATGCAATATAGTTGAAGGATGGTGGAATAAATATCCGTTCTTTGACACCGTGCTCAGTAACGTCGTCGCATCTCATTCAATGACAGGACTTTCCAACATTTTTTCCCTGCTCGTCTGAGTGTGAGATAGCGTGGTGGAGACGGAGAGGGTATCGTGTATCGACAGCTGTTAGTGTTCTCCTTGATGCGCTTTACTAGTTGTCTCGTTGCAGTTCACTTTGAGCCCGAGCGTGAGCCTGGCGAAGCCCCCGTTGTTGAGCTGGTCTCCCCTCTTAGAGAGTTCCCCACTGAGACCTGCTGTGCCTTCTTCGTACATTCAGTTTACGCTGAAGACAGAACCGAGCATAGTAATCCAATATACTAAAGGTCTGCAAGGCGGACGGCTGCAGCGTCAACAACACCCGAGAGCGGCAAAAACGCTACACCGCAACAGGCCAGACGCCACCTTTGTGATGCGGGCACCCGCAGCAGCACGAGCAACACAAGTAGAAGTGACAGCAGCAGCGCCGCCGTAAGCTGCATGCGAAGCAGTGAGGGCAGCAACAACAGCAGGGAGGAGAAGAGCAGAACCGCAGGATGAGCTCAATCATCCACACGCATCCGTCTCCGTGGGCTTCTCACACAGGTCTTGCTAGAGCAGACAAGCATGGGGTACTGCACTGCTTTTCAAGACGCACCCATGTTGAGAATATCACTTCGCGGTCTCCGTGAATTTTCAGACCTGCTCTTGCCTACAGAGGACACGCGAGCAGGTACCACGCGAGTAGCGGTGGCGACGGGAAAGCGGCACCAGCAAGAGTAGCAGCAGAGGCTCCTCCGCCAGCCGACTTGGCTGGGCTGGAGTGAGCGATGTGTCTTTTGGTACTATCCCCCTAATATGCAGGAAGGACTCATGACTTTTCAGGACAGTGGGTCCTCGACTAGGACCCAAGGAGAGTCTCTGGGGGGCCGTGGGCAAGAGGAGCTCAGCGCTCTCACGAGCACTTCAGCTTCCGTACGTAGTGGGGAATCTCCTCTGCCGCGTTTTGAGGCATCTCACGACGGCTGCGAGAGGAGACCCTGGCACTCAGCGTGGGAAACCCCCTACAGAGCTGCTGCAACACCACCTCCGTCGCCGCCTGCTCCTGCAGCTGCGAACTCAGCCAGTGGTGCTGCTACAGCTGCAGGAGGGACGCCAGAGCACGCAGAATCAGAAATTAGAGTGTCTGAAACAGGGGCTCCGCAGTGCGTTTCCCCTCCGCACAGGCGGCTGGGGGACCCGCGGGTCGCTCGAGCTTCCGAAGAGGACAAACGACACGCGCAGCAGCAGTGCAAACTGCAGGAGATGCTGTTGGTCTCCCCGGTATTGCCTCTGGGAGATAGCGACAGCGAGGACCGCTGGCCTCTTAGGCTTGCGAGGGTACCGTCTGTTGAAATGTTGCAGCAGCTCAGAGGAGCAGCAAAGAGAAATCAGAGTCCCATAAAACCTCATAGCCCTGCTGCTGCAAATAGTGCTGCTCCGGCTGAAAATGTCGCAGCTATTGAAGCTACCGCGCCGGAACTTACAACAGCAGCAAATGGAGGCGACGAAGCACGTTCAGTGGTCGCTCCACAGAAAACCAGTGGGAGCAGCACGAGGACGAACGACACCTGTGAGGATTGCGACGTTTCAGATGAAAGCAGCAGCCACAGCAGCAGCAGAAGCAGCAGCAATACGAGCAGGCACGGTAAACCTCAGCGGCCCTCGAAGTTTCCCTATATCCCGGATATTCCATGCACGTTTCTTAGTAGTATTAAGTTTCGAGCCAGCAAGTCTGTGAGCCCTTCTGGTATCTGTGTACGGCGAGGATCTCCGGAAGGAGCAACAGCAAGAACAGAAGCAGCATCAGCAGCAAGCGCAGTGAATGCGGGAGCAAAACGAATGTTTACAGGAGATGACGTACGAATAGACGCCCAGCCACTCGCTGATCGAGGCCCCAACAGTGCGTGCGGGCATTGCTTGATAGCCCACAGAGACAGTGACAGCCGGGTCATTGATAGAAACACGGAGAATCAGAGGAAGGGTGGGAGTGTGCCTTTTCTGGAGGAAGCATCTGCGGAGCTCTTCGCTACCGCTAATCGCCCACAGGAGAAAACTGCCGTAAGCACCGTGATTGCAGACGAGATGCTTCCCCCTGCGAGTACTGGGCTGGACTTGCACGGCGCTTTTCAACAGAAGGAACACAACGGAACGCAAAGGCAAAATGAGCTGCGGTGTATGCTGCAGCAGCATCCGGACGGGCAATGCGAAACTGTGCAAAAACAGGGACAGAACCAACCGCAGCAAGAAACGCATGTGCAGCAGCCGCAGAAGCCTCGGGACTTTGTCCGACGGCTTGCTTTGGGTTTGCTTATGAAACATAGATCCCACGGGAAGGAGCGCACAGCGTGGTTAAGGCGCAAAAGCAGCAGCAGAAGTAACCAATCGGAAACACCGCAACAAACTCAGTTGCAAAACAGGAAGGATGAGAAACAGGAACACCAACAACAGCACCAGCAGCAGGAGCAAGACGACATCGAGTGGGAGTCATGCTGCCTGCTGCAGCCAGCAGACGAGAAGAAGGATAGAGGCGCTGCCCTTAACAGCAGCAGCAGTGGCATGGAATGGGGAGGATCGCGAAGGGCTCCTAGCAGGTTGCAACGTATGGCCTTCTCTATGGGCTGTTTTGGGGAGGCGGCACAGCGCAGAATGGAAATTCAAAGGGAAAACTCCCCTTCCCTTACCCCTTCTCAGTACAAAGCAAGGAGAAAACAGCAGGAGGTGCCGCCAGGTACATTCAGCGCCACGGTGAAGTTTTGTAGAGGGAAGCTCAGAGATGATTGGCATTTACATCAACGTGCTTTGTGACTTTTAGGCTCACCCTCTCTTCAGCGATTTTTCAGCTTTTGGGTTTTTGGGTTGAAAGATGAATAGGGTTTACGTTTTTTGTGATGCTTGTTCTTTTTTCGGCCATCTGTTTGCACAGATGATGGGTCGCTTTTCCCTCGCGGTCTTGCCAACCTCAAAAACACGTGTTTTCTTAACGCGGCTCTCCAAGCACTTGCTGGCATTCCCTGCTTCGTAGCGTCGCTTCAAGCTGGCTTGCCACCAGAGCCAGGCTTTAGTGGAACCCACTGGAAAAGTTCCAGGGAGTGTGACAAGCTTCCCGGAGAAGACGACGGTGCGGTTATTGCTGCGGCAGCTGCGGCCTGTAGTAGCACAACTGCGTCACCACAGAGTGAAGAAGCTCAAGGTCAGCAGCCTCAAGAACTCGAGCAACACCATGGACGGTCACAGGCTTTGCAGCAATGGGAGTCGCTGCAGCGTCAGCGGCCACATTACCAGCATCTACTGCGGCAGCTGCGCCTCCAGCAACAAAGAAGGAGCAAGCATCAGCCAGAGTGTCTCGGATCTCTTGACGAGAACCAGCGACGATTTCTTCTTAGAGAATTCTTCACTTTGCTATGCAGGCTGACGTGAGCTAAGAGTGAAGTCCCCTCTCTGTTGACTTTGTCGTTAAGTGTATATGTCCGGCTACAATTTTGGGGGACTAATGGTAATTTGTTTATATGGTGGATGTGTATGTCCAGGTGCTGTCCCAGCATTCGGCCTCTAGCGAGCGCAGATCAACCCACCGAAGGGTTGGCCGCTCAGAGACCGAGAGAATCAAATTCTGCTGCCACTTGCAAACCAGAGCAGCACCAGCAGCTCCAACAAGTAGTTTCTGTGCAGCCCGGCACCATTCGGCCGGAAAGATTCAGGAAAGCTCTCGTGGCTCCTCTTGCAGGTCTCCTTCTTAATGATTGCAACATGCAGCAGCAACAAGACTGCCATGAGTTCCTTAGGAGCCTCATCGATTTAATTCATGAAATACTCAAAAGTTGCAGATTGGTGGGTTCTTGCGTTATTGCTGCCGTTGGTATCATGGTATCATGGGCTGGAAGCCTGGCAGGTGCACCTGTGAGCGTGCCCTCTTGAGGTATTTTGCCACACGAGTAAACGGTTAAACAGCGTACTACGCGCATTCTTGCCGCACGAGTTAGTTGTTTCTCTTTTGCCTGCTGCAGCAGAGAGAAGAAGCAGCAGCAGCAGAACAGCTGTTGCAGCTACAGGCAGGGTCTCATGGCGATGCTCTAGAGCCTTCGGTTCTGATGACTTCGGGTCCTGTCCGCTCTCCGCCTACCGTTGCTGACGGCAAGCAGAGGAACCTGATGGGGTATGAAACAAAGTCAGGCGATATGAGCCCTGAGAAAGTGGCCAATGGAGCGTCTTTCTGCAAACGCCTGCAGGAACCTTGCAGCAGGCCCAGCTCTTTGTGTTCACCCAGCTTTACGGGTGAGGCAGGAGAGAGTGGAGATCCAGGAGAAGCAGTCAGAGACGGTATGAAGAACGCAGAACTTGCTGAGAAAAAGTGGAGGGAGTACCTCAAAGAGCAAGAGTCCCCCATGGCAGACTTTTTTGCTGGACAGGCAAGAACTTGCGTATCTAAAGCTCACGGTTCTTTTGTTTGAGTTTAGATTAAGGCTAGACAGTTTTCAGAGCATAGACACATGTAGTTAGTGGTCCGGTGTACTTGTATTTTGAATTGTATTTCATTGAATGGCTTGTGGCGAATCACATTTTATTGTTGGGACTGTATGCGCGTTTCTGCTGCGTGTCTGCAGCTTTGCAGCGAAATTCAGTGTGCGTGGTGCAAGCGCTCTTTGTTCATATTCGAGCCAGCGTGGGATTTGTCTTTGCCTCTCCCCTTGATTGCCCAGCGAGTGTCCCTGAACGATTTATTGGAAGACTTCTTTGGCGCTGAGGAGCTCGACTTCAGCTGCAGCAGTTGTCACACCGCTGCTTGCAAGGCACATAGGACCATCAGATACACGCATCCACCCAGAGTTTTATTGGTGCAGATAAAGCGGTTTTCTGCCTCCGGTCAAAAGAGACGGACTCGCGTGGAATTCCCGCTCGATGAACTTGTCATGAAAACGAAGGGGTTCGGCGCACATTGCAGAAGGAATTAACGCGCAAATTAGAATAGTTATATTCTCCTTCCCTTGCAGCTCTATGTACTGAGTTAGTTTTCTACGTATATTGCCTGATTTTAATCAGTGAGTGGTGACTGCGTTCTTTTCTGGGACCACCCCACGCTAACAAGGAATTGAGAGTTTAAAGGTACACTTTGTTCTGTCATGCAGGGGATCTGCCACCTTTCGTTTGATTGCGGTGATTGAACACAACGGCAGCAGTTGTCAGTCGGGCCACTACGTGGCATATGTCCGACGGAAGAGATTCATGCTCCCTGTCGGTCTTTCATCAGCTGCTGGGGCAGCTTCCGGACGTCCTGAGACCCCCCGAAGCTCGGCGTGTTCGCCATCTGAATTTCTCAAGCGCATTGGCCTTCTAAGGAGCATTACAAGCTTCGCCTGCCCCTCTTTGAGGCATCCTACCTGCCCGACCTTGGCTCATGCCTCAGGGTCATCTCCACGAGGGGTTGCGCATGAATCGCCGTTTAGACAGTTGAGATCAGTAATATCCGAAGGAGACGAAGACGGCACAGAGGTAAGTTTACCCATTTTTGTAGACAGCCGCACCTGCCGTATGCTGGTAGGCTTGATTTTCGCTTGGTTCGGCATATGTCGTCAACCCGTGTGTCGTCATCCCCGTGACTGTCTGGCTATCTTTGCCCTGCAGTGGTTTCGCTTCGATGATGGATTGGTTCTCCCCGTATCGGACGGGGAAGTTCTTTCTGCAGAGGCCTACTGCCTCTTTTACAGCAGAATCAACGGTGCAGAAAGACAATGCAGCTCAGAACACAGGGACAGCCCGGCCAGTAAACTTAGGTTCCACTGAACAACCTCGTGGCCGTTTTGTTTTTAGGATCAGTTGCCGCGGCACCTTCCGCATTTGACTCATAAAGAACCAGTGAACTCAGGGATGGGTTGACTTCTTTTGATTCATATGGGGTTAGCAACAGCGCACTTCGGGACCAGGACGCGCTGCATGTAGCGCTGTGTTTTTCGTTGCGCAAGACTGCGGACGTTTGTGTGCTTGTGAGTCCGAGTGATTGAGTTGCCAGTCGGCTTACCAGCTCCTAAATGCTGGTTGCACACGAGTAGAACGCCGCTCTGTTCTTTTGCCTCACACTATTGTTATACTGTATGTATGCGCACAGACGGAAAGCATATTTACTGTGGACATCCGCTCGCACCGCGTACATTTGCACCTTCATTTTGTCTCTAGCCATACGCGCCGTAGCCCAGACGGGTGCTTGCGGCCGTAGTTTAGTTGTGGATTAGTTGTGTCTCGGGGACGAACTTTGCCCGGCCTTTGTCCTCCACTTAGTTGAAATCGCATGAGCTTTCAGAGGGCGAAGCAAAGTATAGTTAACATCAACTAGTTGCAGTGCTTCTAGCATGCACTATGCCTCTATCAAACGGTGGAGGGGCCGGGAGCTCTCGTCTGTTGCGCTCTTGCGAGCAGTGCGGAGGGTCTCGGGAAGCTTCACTCCCAGCGTAAAAAGCAACGAGACTTTGACACTGGAGAAATCTCTAGACAACGACCTTGCTGAAGGAGGCTGTAGAGTGATCAGTGGGCCCTTCTTGTTGAGGATCGGCGTAGACAAGGTGGAAGTCGAGTACCGCAAACAGGAGCAAGAACTCCATGAAGAAGCAGTAGCACTGCCAGACGGTTTTTTATTATCGCCTGAAGGCGAAATGATGCAATATAAACATTGTCAGAGCAGAATATGACTCCCCTTTACCAGTCTCTATGCACGACGTAGTCTGGCCCCACAAGCCTGCCGGTGGAGCGCTAGTACGCGGAAGCCCGGAAGAGTGGCCGTCGCTTATTTTACACTTGATACGTCATGAATAAACTGAGCATATTTTTTATTTTCCTTATCGCGAAGAGAATGACGGGTCATTCATTACGTAGCTTCGGCAGTGTCTCTTCGTTTCCTGTTCTCTATGTTCTAGTGCAACTATTGTAAGTCGGCCTGTAACATTTGTAGCTCTCAGGTATCTCATCCAAGTAGGAGTCTGCCTAGATGACGCATATTTCAATGCCTGATCGTTTGTAACTGGCTCTCCTCCTTTCCCGAGGCTTCCCATTATGCTTTCTTTGAGAGCATAAGGAAGGCGTATGGATACTTGATCACCAATCAGCAGCCGATATTCCCAACATAACTGTGTCGCATCAACACCCTGAAGGCATTCGCCTTAAACGAATAGAGGAGGGAGTAAACGCCGCCCTAGCGGCAATGATTACCTCCAGCGCACCCTCGGCGCATGAAGCAATGCCAACTAATCAAAATCTGGAGCCTCAAACTGGTCCTTCCGAGCCCGTTGACTTAGTAGATAACAATGATGCTATAGAAGAAGAGACCTTGCATTCGTGGTTCCCTGCCACTTGTCCAGGTTTCGAAGCCCGTTGTGGTGATGTAAAAAGGCTCGTAAAGGAAGATCTGGAGGATCCCCACAGAAGGAAGCACCTGGAGTCCTTCAGAAAGTGTATGCAAGAATGGGAAACATATGACCCAGGCGTGAAGAATGAAATGCAGGACGAGACTGCGAGCGCCTTTCTCGCGGATTTGCTTAAGATGAAGCCCAAAACAAGCAGAGAGTTCGATGCTGCTATGCAATCCCTTAGGAAAAAGTACAAGGTTGCGCCAGCTAAAGCGCAGCTGGTGACTGCGTACAATCGTTTCATTGCTGCAGAGGCCAATCTCGAGCAATGCCAAGGGGACGCGTCTCTGGGTTTATGCAACCAGGAAGAAACGGAATTTGGGGGCCCTGCAAACCGTCTGCGCGATCCAATGCTAGAGAGCTTGATGCGAAGAAAAGCCGTGCGTACAAACAGTGGCGTTATTGTGATTACGGTGCTGACGGCACCAGGGCGTTTTTCCTGCCCGCAAGACTGCCACTACTGTCCAAATGAGCCGGGGCAACCGCGATCGTATCTATCAACTGAACCGGCAGTGCTGCGAGCAAACCAAAACGGGTGGAGCCCCCTGAAACAGTTTAAAGACAGAGCAGAGACGCTAAAGCGGAATGGCCATGTCGTTGACAAGATTGAAATTCTTGTTCTTGGAGGCACGTGGAGCGGGTGAGGGCTCATCGCTGTTGCAACTAGACTTAATTTGCGTAACGAGGAGCCTGCGTACTTAGTTGCATGAGCATATACCATGCAATGTATTTTTGCCGCAACTCTAGATATCCCCAAGACTACCAGGAGGAGTTCATCCGCGACATCTACTACGCTGCTAATGTCTTCGGAGCACCAGAGCCAGTTCGGCAACCGTAAGCCGTTTTGTCCCGTTCTTTTCCACCATACAGGATTCACGCCTGTGTCAGCCAAGTTGCAGTTGAGAAGGAATGAATTGTGCGGTGTTGTAAGGTGCGTGGCTGCTGTGCTTTTTTGCTGGATGCAGCCTCTCCTTAGAAGAGGAGCAGAGCCTAAATGAGACAGCGGACTGCCGTATTGTAGGACTAACTTTGGTGCGCTGCCGCCCACAAATAGGTCCAGCAGTGCTGCTAAGGTCATGAGGCGCAGCTTCAGGAAGTTCTTGATTCCACTGTTATGCTGTGAAAATATAACTTCGATTGTAATACTGATTGACTGACAGCTTGAGTGTGCAGGAAACTCGACCTGACTTTATTACACGCTACGAGTTGCGCCGGCTACGACGTTTTGGATGTACTCGTGTCCAGATTGGCGTGCAGCACGTGGATGACAATGTGCTGCAGTACATCAACAGAGGCTGCACTCGCAGGGACGCAATAAAGGCTATCCGAATGCTCAAGGATGCGGGATTCAAGGTGCTTGTTCCACGGCCCGCCCATAGAACCACGCCTTTGCACAGGGTCCACAAGCAGACACGAATAAGCCACTGTATGAAAGCGATTATTAAATTATTCCTTGGGACCTGCGGTGGCGGGCTTGCACTAATTACAGGTGGACGTGCATCTTATGCCAGATCTGCCATCGAGTAACCCAGATTTAGACCGCCAAATGTTTCACTATGCGCTCTGCTCCCCCGATCTCCAAGCAGACCAGTGGAAAATATACCCGTGTGAAGTGACGCCCTTTTCAACGATAGAGGTAAAATTCTTGTGTCACCACACATTTTGCCCGTTGAAGGCGGCAAGGCGGCATATTCTCATTGGTTTTCAGTCAGGCAGTTCAGCGAAGCGTTGAACAAGGTGCAGCAGGAGCAATTTGATCGCCTTAATATAATTGTGTGACTAGGATTGTGAGACAGTTAATAGATTATATAGCCACCACAGTGAACTGCCATTGCCGTCCTGATTGTGCACTGAATGCAGCAATGGTATAAGGAGGGGAAGTTTGTTCCATATGCAGATACAGACGGGGATACCTTATTATCCCTTATTTGTTCTGTCAAGGCAGCAGTACATCCGTGGATTCGACTAAATAGAGTGGTGCGAGACATCCCAAACCAATCTATCATTGGAGGAAACAGCATCACAAATCTCCGGTAGGCTGAGACGTCCAGTGCATTGTTATTCCCCGTGGGCTTATGGTTTAACGCAGATGCATACATAGTAATTGGTGGCATATATTTCGACATATGGACACAATTTGTGCACTAAGTGAGTTTGTAAACTTTGTTTTGAGGGGATACGCGCGTGTGGTCTGTTGTAATTACGCGCGCTTGTCTGTAGATATTCTGTACTGTCATGTCGAGTTGCGCGTAATAAGCAGTCGCGTAGGTTGCGGCTTGCGAGAAGTTATCTGTCGGCAACCGGTGTGTGCTTCAGACAAGAGCTTTCTAGAGAGCTCCAACACCGCCACTTGCGTTGCAGATGCATTCGCTGCCGCGAAGTCAAGGACGCGCAGTTCGATTTGGGGTAAGGCCCAGTCAGTGATCTCATCTTTATTGTCTTCATTAACATCAGTAGAATACGGAAACACAGCACGCGAATAGGCCTAATCGAGGCGTTACTATGAACGATTACATTTTGCTCTCCTGCGGCGTTTGGTACCTCAGCTGTGCCTGTTAGCCGAGCCCACTCTTGGCATTCATCCATGCTCTTGCGGAAGCGTCACGGAGGTTTGCATTTTCATGATTGTCTGCAGTATCGCGGAGCTGTGCATTCGCCGCTACGAAACAAATGGAGGCGTGGAGTATTTTGTGTCTTTTGAGACACCCGATAGGAAGACAATATTTGGATTTCTCCGGCTAAGACTTCGTGCGCGGCGAAGCTCAAGAGACTGTCCTTTCAGCGTATTGAATGGCGCAGCACTGCTGCGAGAGTTGCACGTGTATGGTGAGCCCTTCTTCAACTTTTTCCCCCCGTTTCTGTGAACTTCATGCTGCTTTTCAGTTTTGCTGCCGTCTGGTAGTATATTTCAGTGTATTTGCATGCTCTACCTTCCCCTTGAGAACTTGTATACTGTTTGGCCGCTCCGCGCTCGCCGTTCGATTTGTGTAGTGCACTGCCCTCGAGTCGCCGCTAGCCATGCCACTTCATGCAAGTTTACGAATGCCTATGTCTCGTATTTGTGTGCAGGGTGTTTAGTTCCGCACGGAGAAGCAAAGAGCAGCGGTGACTTAAGACCGCAGCACGCTGGATTTGGCAGACGCTTGATACAAGCAGCAGAAATTTTGGCCTTGGCCAACGGTAAAACTCCCTGTCCATCCTACATGTTATGCTTAGAAGAAATGGGAGGTTTGCAGCATGCGTTGGTGTTCTGCATGCTAATCCACGTACGAGTAACATTTTGATGATGCGAGAATGCGCTCATACTTAAAGCTACATTTTTACTTCGCTGCTAAATCACAGAGGAAAATTGTTGACCCCCACTAGTAAATAGTGAGGCGCCTGACACAGGATGTGGGCGGAGCACTTAACTATGGCTGGTTGGATTTTATCACTGAAGATAGAGTGGGCTGTTTACGGGATATAGGCAGTAATGAGTGACACGGGAAAAGTGCCATATTTTGTGGGTGGACGTTCTTATGGCCTTACAGCAACGACGCTAATATTCCAACGTAAGAAGATATTTGCTGCTACGATTCAGGGTACCACCGCATGGCTGTGATAGCGGGTATCGGCTCGCGGGAGTACTACCGCATGAGTGGCTATCAGGTGGACGATACATACATGGTAAAAGACTTGACAGTTTCGGGTCTCCATGCAGGCCGGGAGGACTTGCTTGCGGATCGGCCCAAGCAGCTCTTGATTGAATGGCAAGACATGCAGCGAGCTGCTGCAACATTGCTCCTTCCGTTGCCACCTAGGGAACCTATAAGAAAGGTTAAGGGTAGAAAAATGGAGCGTAGGAAGTTTCGAGCTAGCAGGAAACCGGCAGTGCAGCCAGAGGTGTCTTCGGCTGACGTTGCAACGCCGTACCAGGAAACGAAGGAGGGAGCAACAGCGTTTCAGACAGAGTACACGACGACCGTTGAGGTTATTGACGTTACTTCGTTGTTGCAAAGGCTACAGAACAGCAAGCCAATACAGTCTGGTTCCATCGAAACGCCTGCCATGTTCGCTGACAGAGACACATTTGCGGAGCACTGCAATATCTTTGCCGCATTGCAGCAGGCAGGGAAGCCCAGTACAAGCAGCAAATCTTCATCTCCATTGTCTCCATTCTCGGCCGCTTTATTATCCATTAGGCAAGAAGCAACTGCAGCGATCAAGACACACCTTTTTTTCGTCGCCACAGTCACGGGCGCGGTGGCTGCAGGGCTTCTATGGTTCGCGGCTAGGAGAAGACATTAGTGGAGTTTTCAGTTGGCCGTCGACTGTGGAAGATCTTTTTTTTCGTCTTTCTTGACTTCCATTTAGTTTACCGCTGTGTACACGCATGTACACCAATAAGGCCTGAGCACCACACACGCAAACGCAACAAACGCATGGGTTATGTGAATGAGTTCTGTAAATTCCGTATACGACTCAAGTTGCATGAGCTAATGGGCTGGCACGTGGGAAGGACATTGTCGCAGGCGTCATTTTTCAATGCAGAGCACGACTTTGAACAAGGCAAAGCGTCTGAACGGCACCTGGAAGCTTCGATATGTTGCTGATGGGAAATAATAGATATCAGGACACTGCGGGCGCGACGCCTCTGCTTGAAGAGTGATATCAGTAAGAAGGCAAGTCGCAACTCCTGCCGAAGCACCGTCATACATTTTTTTATGAGGAAAGGAGCTGCCCTACGTCTTCGCACAGACCTTTCCACTAACAGCTTGGCACAGTTTTAAGTGAAGGGCGGCACCGAAAGGCATCGTCGTGAGTATATGGGCTCGTCGGTAAGTGAATGCACCACGGCGTGGCTTGAAGCGGCGCTTCGATTCACAGCTTGCTTCCGTCCTCGCACACAAACTTCCTAATTACTGAGTGGGGATCGGCATTCAACGGTATTTTCCGTACGTTGTGAATATGAGGTAGAGGGGTAAGCTCCAGGCGTGGAGAGCAAGGCCTTACGCTATTTGCCGGATTCCTGTTTCAAGTGCTCATTTACCGTAAGGCCGCAATGGGCGGTGAGCACTGGGATGAGCCACGCTATCAGCAACAAGCTGTCTTTATTGCTTCGGGCAGTTTTACTGTTGGCAATATCGGAAGGCAGATGATTTTATTCCATATTCCAGATAGGAAGGAAGCGCTCAGTACTAGCGGAGCTACGTCGCGGCTTACTGGCAGCAGCGTTCCTTTCAACCCAGATGCCAGATGCTAGAAGTACTGTGCATAGCATTTGCAAGAGATATCGCTTGTATTGTTCGGCAATTTGTTCCGTCCAGAGCAGCACTGCCGCTACTTCGCACAACGCAGCCTTCCCTAACCTATAGCGAAACAAACGAATGGTGGAAGCTTGTGGCTGTGTAAGTGGCTCATAAAACAACCTAGCGCACTCAGGGCGGAGAGTGAGTCAGCGATCGGGCAAAGGCTTCGATCCCATTACGCGCTATCGGATAACTGGTTCGCAAACCAAGAGGTCACCCGAAGCTTCAATGGCGCATGCGAAGGCATGCATTACTGCTGGCTAACTGTCAACTTTGTGCGTGAGAAACAGCGCCGGCATTCGTTTAGGTGCCAGGTCTTTGGAGCTGGACAGTTGTATTTGCTACGTCGATTACCTCGAGAGACAGCATACTGATCTGATTACAGCTAGTGCTACGAGTAGCAGCTGCTAGTAATGCGTGATAATAGTCGAATATACGTACAGCGTTCATAAACTAAAGCGTCGGGTGTTAAGAGACGTATGAAAACATCCTGCAAATTGGATGTGCGAAGAAATGATACCGGTTTCCGTAGCTTGGTGAGAGGACTTCATTCCGTGCCGCAAATGCCAATCCGACAATCAGCAAAAGTTTACTAGTGAAGTCCACATGAATAAAAATGTCTGGCCTACATAGCGTTATAAAAGGCTGACGAAATGTTGCACAAGCAACAGTCAGTCCACCATAAAAATACCACTAATCTGCTTAATTTGCATAGACCTTTGCAGCCAATGAGTTTGCATAGGCCTAGTGATATGGGACGTTAGGCTCAGATGAACGCTTTAACGGTTTGGCTTGGGCTAAATGATACAATGCGCTGCTCCAGGAATGCCTATTTTCTGCATTCTGCATCGACTGTGGCAGCACGGATCCTCCGTTTACTTCAATATTTACCAACATATTACTGACGTCATCAGTCATGCGGCTTTACCTGTGGTTTTTAGCAGAAGAACGCACTGCTCTTGGCGGCCAAATCGTTACCTTTCAGCATATATGAGAAAATGCGATTTTAACAATCCTTGTAGAACACGAGGAATACCCTGCCCCTCCTCAGCGTCAAGACCTCCTTGCGAAAACCTCCTTACAAGGAAATTAATACTTGGTCCATCACTGAGGGCTTAAAAAAAGTTCATTTTCTTTTCTCCATGGGTCCCATATAGCCCTGGCGAATTCTGTGACAGTGTTGGGAGGGCAGAATATCCACTGCATTAACTCCACTACCTCTTTTGCATCTGGACGTCTTCCTACTCTGTATAATTGAAGCGCAGCAAGGATCCGACGGATAAAGACACATCGAAAAGGGTTTCTAATCGCGTTCATCTGACTCTGCAGAGTTGGGAGATTTGCCATCCTCTTCATTAGATCTCGCCACCAAGTTTCCATTCGCATTGCAGGACCCACGGCTTTACAGATAGACCACAATGCATCTGCTGCAAGAAACCGACGAGCCAGTCTTCCCGAGGCGCGTGATACATTCGTCACCACTATGTCACCTCTCAAGGACTTGTCGGCATAGGCCACAAGTTGTTCGGCAAGGCGTACAAGTAGCTCTGTCTCCCTCTGAGATAGTTCTTTCTTGCGTAGCAAAACCCTTATAGGGCGAAGTTTCGCTGAAAAGCCCCATGTTGGCTTTACAGTTTCAAAAGCATATTGGGTGTTGAATGGCTCGACTTGCACCCCTGGCAGAACTACTGGAAGCTGGTAAAATGGATGATTATCATAATTAGTCGAACGTTCCCTGTCTCTTGCTGCTTCGGGCGAAGAGCTGCTTAGCAGGGTAAGCAGAATGGAGCTGTCTGGGAATAAAAGGTCCTGATGCAAAAAAGCAACAAACAAACGGATACTCTGTGGCTAAGACGAAGAGAGGGAGTCACAATGACGGCTAAGAATCATGGAGCAAAGTGCACCCTTGGGCTCAACTCAGTCACCAGCAAAAAGGACGAGACGAGACACGACGCCAGCAAATTTCAGGCAGACTCCTCTTCAGTATCAACACTAGATCAATTCTGAAACGTAATTCAAAATCAAGACAGCATAAGAGGGAGAGTTGGTAGCACTTCCTACCCGTGTCTGCGTATCTTCTGTGGCTCCCGAGGCAGAAGTTTGAAGAGAATCGCCTCCCATAGGCGTGCGAGGAACAGATACCGACGTGCTTTCAGAATGGACGTCTAATTGGGGAGAGGTTTCCCGTGGGTCCGACTCATCAGGTGACTCCAGCGCATTTGCAGAGTTTTCTCCGCAGTTCGTACCGGTAGCTCCTGCAGCATCCAAATGTTGCTGAGGCGAGGGCATTGGCGAAGGAATGCCACTACCGCCGCTTCCTGCGGTAGACAACTCACTGGCCTGTGATTCAAAATATGTATTCACTGCATCTCCTGAGAGCTCTGGTAGGTCCAAAGAAGCACGTAACCCCCCAAGTATCCAGTGAAGTGTATAATTCTCTATTTGATCCGGATGCGGTCTCGAATTTGAAGTAGTACAAGGTTCCTCCAGATTCGCGGTGTAGCCGCTGTTTGTTGGAGATTCTCCAGACTGCGCATACATTTGTATGTAGCTGCGTAGAGCTTCGTCTGACAAGGAAAGTGGAAATTCTGTACTATCACGATCGGATGAGAGTGCTGCATCTCCGTCCGAGTACGGGAATTTTCTACTGCCAAACGAAAGTGAATCCGTCGGAGCGTCTGATGAGAACCGTATCAATGAGTCCAACTCGCTTATAGGGTCCATCGACCATTCGGCAATTCTCTCTGTTGCTGACAGCTGCATCAATTTACCAGTTTCCACATCGGTGCTTGCCGTTTCTTTTCCCTGCTCACTTGGTGGCTGCTCATTTGACGCAGCAGCGCTCCCCTGAAAGGAAAGAAGAGGGCGATCGATGATATCTAGCCCTACAGGCCTCAGTGCATCGTCCCATCGTTGGCATTGCTCCTCTCCCAATTTATTATTTGCGGAATTCTTGTCTGGGCTTCCGCTGCCTGCAAGCCTGCGGATAGTCGTAGGTGAGCCGCGCTGTTGGTTTTTCTTCAGGTGACAGAAGTACATGGTCATTACTAGGGCCAGAATCAATAGGATGGCTATAATTTTCGGGGCCTTCGTAGGGGGCTTTTGGCATTGAACTGCTGGCGGTATAGACCAAGGAGATTCGTACATGGCCCTTTCGCCTCCAAATCGTGGCATGAATGCGTGGGAGGGAGTTAAATAAAGTGGCTCCGCCTCCCATTGAGTCAGCTGCAAGTCCATACTTGGCATTGGCATAATCACCAGATGCTCCTTCCGAGCTAGAAATCTTCAAACCTGCTAGTTATTGCACTTGGGCCGTTAAATTCTGTGAGCAAAGAAGCCTGCATAGTGTCCGACGAGACTAATTAGCAGCGCTCCCCAGAATGTTCTGTGCGGGGCACACACCCTGAAGAACCCCGTAAATTAAGCTTTCAACGTCCCGTTTTCGTATATTAAAAAGGTCAACATTTCGGAAAATCGACTGATCGCCCTCTCGAGAATTTGGCTTCTGCTGTTAAGTCTGAGTCCCAATGCTTGGTCACCAGGGAGTGCGAGATCATGGTTCTGCCTTCTGTGATCACCCCGCCGAACCGCAAAACTGATTACTATGAGCGATCCTCAGCCACCCGTAGAAAAGATTCTATTCTTATATTTTCGATTTATTGAAACTAAAAAAATCAAAGTGCGTGGTCGGGATGCTCCAGTATTCCTAGAAGTCAAGCTCACGCCGGCTCACTGCAAGTGGTCCGACCCAGCCCCATCACGCCGAACAAGGCCGCTGGCTGGATGGGTCAAGCCTCAATAGCGTGTCTCCGCAGACCTCGTGTCCCTACTTTCAAAACGAATTCTTTTGTCCTCTCATGTTATAGACTGACTGTAGCAACCGGTACTGCCCTCCTTCCAAGGACTTAATTTTGCTATGTTGGCATTACCTTTTCTAGCGCATTCGCGACAAATCAGTGGGACAAAATGCACCGAAGCCGAAAACTTATTGGGGTTATAAAGGCTGGGAAGAGTGCTACCCCTCCAAAGTACTAGAGAGGCTGGTGCGCAGGCCATTGGAGAGCTCCTCGTGCAGCTGACAGCTAGCCAGAGATTCCCGGAGTCAAGCAGGGGCGGTATACTCTGCAACTGTCTAAAAGACAAAACTGTCCTCAAAATACTGTCGGGCAGTGACGATGGGAGCTACAGATGTGGCCTAACATGCCCGTTGAGCCTCTCCCATTTGGTGTAGACATGCAAACGCCAAGGGGGATTAGTGTAAAATTTTGTAGATCTCGTTGATGCTCAAGGAAGCTGTTGAGCCCGTGGTTCCTCTGGGTACCCCGCTTCATCAAAGGCCGCCGCCACCCATACCATTCATAAAGTTGAGCGGGCTTTCCCGATAATAAATGAGAGAACATTGTTCAACAGGAGTCCAAAAATGACTGGACCCTATCTGTGGTCAATTGAAGAGGTGCCTGAGGCGTCGTTAGTGGCGTTCCCTAGATATAACCACAGATTACCAGGCTACTTTACAGACAGCGAATAGTTTTAAGACTTGGATGGAGCCTTCGTAGCGATTCAGCTCGAAGTAAGGTGGTTAATGTGGGTGACGCGCCTGCACAGCTGAGCAGTGCGCGCTCCATAGTTCGCAGATTCACTGCGCCATAATCCAAGAAGAGGGGATCACTACCTACAGCTGCTCACCCTTATCTCAGATTCGTTCGCTGACACGAAACCTCCACTAGTAACCCTCAGGGCTTCAAGTGGGTTGACCTCTGCACACATCGCGTTGCAGCTTCTAGCTCTCCAGCCCTCGCTACGGCTTAATGCGTGTCTGGACGCGTTGACGACGACACGTCGCGTCCTACAGAAAGCGATACTATCTGCAGCATCAACTGTAAAATACAGAAGAATCGCAAGGGGCGTGTTTACGCCCCAGAAAAGAAGGCGGGCATTTATCGAGGAGCAGCAAGAGCAGCAAGACCGCCAGGCAAATGAAATCGGTAGCAGCCCCCAGCAAAGCACACTCGCTACAAATGGCTCGCAGACGCAATGATATCAAGCACGAAGGAGGCCTAATCCTCAGTAACCAAACAGTACGCTGAAGGTTCCGCATATACGCCAGCGCTTTGGTCCACGCTGTCAAGCTGGTCAGCAAGCTGCTACAACTGCTTTAAGAAGACAAACCATGGAGGTATCCGTGTAATGCGAGTGCCGCTTGCCTCTGAGTTTGTACATAGTCGTGAAAGAGTACAGCTTGATACCTCTGTGAAATGTCCTTTGTCCAGTAGCTGTACTACTTTTGTCAAATGCCAGGTGACGGCCCAATGCTGCTATACCAGCAGCACTGCAGAGAGCCCTCTCATCTAATGGTATTTCCTGTCTTTGCCTTCTTACCGTCTCAAATGATGTTGCATTTGGTCCTGGCCCAAGTCATGCACTAGGCTGAGCAGGCTATCTAGTAATAAGTTTCTATCGCGTACGGTCGTTGCATCACTTCTGGCCCTAATCTGGGCAGTTCGTGTATGTCAAGCATTGTGGACATTTTGGCCCATATGAGCCCACTAGCTTGTCCAACCACACGTAAACATGTAGGCAAAAATCCAACATGTACTCCCACTTTAGTTTTAGTTCACCACATGCTAATCGGCAAAGAATCGATACTGCATTGCGTTACTTGTTGCTTATCAGCCGGCAGAACAGAAGTGTTGTGCCATCAAAGGCTCATTGTGCAGAATTGCTGCGCAGAAGACATAAAAATCGAAGGCGATGGTAGAGGCATTCAAAACGTTTTCATATAGATTAACCTTGACCAGCTTTGCCCCCTTCTTTCAACGGGTAGAATCAAAACTTCAGTTCAGACGCGTGGTTTGTTCAAAGGCATGAGTGCATACGATTGCATATCCCTTAAATACACGCTCTGCATGGTTTTGCCCAGGTGACTGGAAAACCGAAGTATTTCATATCCCAGCTGCTATCCCACAGTCACAAAGATGCTCTGTTTGTTCCTTAGTTGCATTTGGCGCCGGTTTTGATATTAACAGCCTATTCCTCCAGGGCAATGCCCTGCTTCATCATCACAAAATTGTTTCACGCAAAAGCCGCATCCTTCAGTCAGCTTTTACGTTTTCACGGAGCAGCGATGACAACAGCAAAGGCTGTACTTCAGGCCGACAGCGTAGAGTAGGACGACTATCCTGAATATTCAGTATGCTTCCCAAACACAGCTATAGTTCCGGCATGCCAGCAACATTTCTGTTCCTATCATCTGGCAGTAAAATTGGCTTAGTAATGGCTAAAATTGTCAAATAATGTCCATTGATGATCACATGACTTAAGTGAGGAATGGCAGGTACTGATGGCATGTGCATTTTGCGAAGGTACAGGGAAAGTGCACAAGTATGTGCTGACAGATGTTTGGTGCAAACTAATGGATGGGATGAGCTCAGATATCAATCAGCCGTATGGTGCTGAGTTGTTCGGCGTATCTCTCGGGTGACTTCAAAAGCTCCCCATTGAAAGAAAGCTGCGTTCTGAGTGTTTCTAACCACGAAGGCGCATGTGTGACCGCATTACCATAACGGACTCGAAAGCACTGTGAAGGGATTCCCCCGGTGAAGAATACTTCAGATGATGGGCCATTTGTTCGGAAGCTTGCATCGTTGTAGTGGGCTTGCCATTCGCTGTCCTTCTCCCTATAAAATATAAAGCAGGCGTAGTAGGCTAATTTTTTCGAACAGGGTGACAGGATTCGCCCTGACGGTGCCTTGTGAGCGCCGATGCACTTGCTGTGCGAATCAATCCAGTGACAGGTTGGGAGAACAAGCGAGTGGAGATGATTTTATTTGGATAATAAAGAGCAGTAAGCTAGTACGCGTGCCGAATATACGACGCTATCAAAGCTTTCCACACGGCTTGCAGCACCAGCCCCGCAATTTGTCATGTTTATGTAGGTGCTCTGGGAATTGGACGACCGACACTGGGAGTACTGCTGGGCATGCTTGTAGCGATCGCCTGTTGCGATCGCCTATATCTAGATATAATACATGAGCCAGCAGCAGACCTACATAAAACTTCGATGTCAAAGCTACCGTTGCCTCTGCATTAGCTGTAGTGAAGCTGAGCAACAGTGCAACGCACATATAGCCGCTCAATTCTTTTTGAGTTAAGCCTCATCCGGTTTTTGCAGCGTGTGAAATACGACTAGTAAAGCACTATCCTAATAAAGTAGACAGAGTTTAATTAGCTGAAATGCATTTCACGCGTTCTGTCGACCTCAAGCTAGCCCCGCCAACACTATCATCAAAGCGTCTGGAAAAAATAAGTTGCATTAGGAAGTGCCTTCAAAGTATCTATCGTCTCTTCTCCACGGATCCCACCTGGGCTTTTTAAATTCACGAGTACTGCGTGCTGGCCGAAATATCGACTGTTTCAGAAGTACTACAGTCTTCGCACTTGGTCTCTTTCCCTTCCTATAAAGATGCATTGCAGCAAGCAGCTTACAAAAAAAGGGATCCTTTGCAATCAGCACCTCCATCTGCAACCGCGCAGTTAAGCCATTTGCCATTTTTTCCAGAAGCTGTGCCCACCACTTTTCCTTCTGCATTGCAGGACCCAAGACACTACAAATACACCACAGTGCATCTGCCACAAGGAACCGACGGCTAAGTGGCTCAATAGCGTGAGACAATTTTGCCGCAGCTATTTTCTTTGTCAGAAACTTTTGAGCATACGAAATGAGGCGTTGACCATATTTTAGGAGCAACTGCATTTCCGTCGCAGACAGTTGCTGCTTGAGTAAGAGCGTCCGAATAGGATGAAGCTTTTCTGCGATTCCAGAGCCTATTCCTGTATATATTAAAGCCCGCTTGACATCTAGTGGAATGAGTTCTACATCTGGATGAGCAGCTGGTAGCCGGTAGTATGGATGCGCCGCATAGTCAGGCCGGCCGAGAGTTGGCGAGCTTGTTGCCATTGGCTGAGCAGGAACAGTGGTGAATTGAAATTGCGGGATAGCCTGAGAATGGAACGGCAAACGCATGCAGAATTTCTGCTTCAGTTGAAGCATCGAGAAGAAATTTCTTACCAAAGCAGCCTTTAGCAGAATGCATATTCAGGCATGCTAGGAATAACGCCGAATCAAGGCGGTTTAAAACGACATCAATACTGTGCGAGCAGATCTCATGCATCCAAGCGAAGAGACGTGCATACAATCGAAGGGCTCTTGAGACTTTACTGGAGCAAAACAAGGAAGTGCAGATTGTTTGTTCGCACTCACTTCACCCTGTCCTGGAAACTGTGCGACTCCCAAAGTGTGCGCAAGGACAGATTGTGTTCCCAAACGCGTGGAGGGCATTAAGGTTGCAGGCCAACTTCCATCAATGGCTCCAGCCCACTTTCCATCGATGGCTCCAGCCCACCTTCCATCGATGGCTCCAGCCCACCTTCCATCAATGGGTCCAGCCCACCTTCCATCAATGGGCCCAGCCCACCTTCCATCAATGGCTCCAGTCCACCTTCCATCGATGGCTCCAAAATCGGCAGTCCTCTGCCGTTTAGCCGGCTGCTGATCAGGCGTTTGCAACGAAGATGCGCTAGCCTCAACAAGTCCCGCATTCATAGCATTGGCGCTTCTTAGAGGTTGTCGACAAGGCGCTGTCGATGTTGAATAGAACATCTGCCCTCTGTCAGGCGCGCTTGTTGTTGCTTGTCGTACTGGCAAGAACGGATCTCCTGTAGTTGCTGGAGGCTCCGGTAAAATCAAATCTTCGTCTAACGTATCAAGAAGTTGGTCAATAAGGGCGCTCTCTTCAGCAGTGAGCTGATCTATGGAAGCTTGAAGGCTGTCAAGATCATTGGGAGCCACTGTGGAGCTACTGCTCGTCCCAGAGACGCTCTCATCCAGATGGCCGGCGCTTGGTGAGTAATCGTTGGACAACTGCAAAAGCGGATATACTCCCTTCATCCCGGTTGAAGCAGACACGTTTTGATCCACAAGAGGAATGTTTGAGCAGTTAAGCGAAGATCCAGGCGTCGAAGCTTCCGTCTCGGCATTAATTAGTGCCTCTAAATTTTCTATCGGGTCCATCAGCCATTCGTCAATTCTTGCTGTCGCCGTTTGCCCATGTGCTGTGTTCAAATGCATCTCAATTCTTTCGTTGTCTGCCCTGTTGCCAAGTGCTGGTCCTTCGTCAGAGTGCATGGCTGGAGGTTTTGAATAGACACGCAACACGTTGACGGTACTTGGTCCGGCTACGCCTGCTGCGTTGTCAACATTGTCGCAAGCCTCTAGGTCAATGCCCAGTAGCATATACTCCTTTTCTGCTAGCCTGCGGGTAAATGATGCTGAGCTAAGCCGGCTCTTGTATTTTAGCCAACAGAAGTACACCGTTGCTATCAAGGCTAGAATTGAAGCAATTATGAAACGATTCCGAATATCCCTGTGAGGTTGTTGGCCCTTACAACTCAGTGAAGGGGATAGGTGAGACCGGTGTTTAAACCTATTTCCACACCATGACATGGTTGCGGGGGAATCTGTTGGATGCACGGATGCAGGAAAATCCTTTAAATGCAACAGTTCCCCGATTAGTTGCTGAGGCGACTCCAGGCGCGTACTTGTCATTTGACAATATCGGAAGGGGCAGTCGACACAAATTGAAATTCCTCAGCTTTACTAGATTTGGCAGGATGGGACAGTGACCCGAAAGCCGATTCAGTGAGTAAGGGCAGGACTGACTGGCAACGCTGCACCTACTGAAGCGAACACTGTCAAAGAAATCTCATTTAAAAAAATCCCCGCGCCTTAGAGACAGGTGGGAAAGATATATAGATGCCAGTGTGAGAAGAAAAACTGGTGAGCTCAGCGTCTTCATGAATATGTTGCCTCTCTGTCACATTCCAGCACGTCGACGAGATTGCAGCAACGAAAATTTGTCATTTGGACCATTATCTCCTGATAAGTCCCGCGTCACCATAATCAGGAGGAAAAAAGTCAAGCTTACGTTGTTTGCATTCTGTAATGAGCGACGAAATGCAATAGGCGGCTCAAGCCACTACTACATGGCCGTTAACATTTAGAATGGCGCACATGGGCAGAAACTGCCTAAACTGTTCACCAAAATGCAATAGAACGGTCAAAAGTTCATGTTCTAAGCAGTGTATGCTTGTAGTGGACCTGCGGTTGCTAGTTGCTGCGTTGCAATTTCAGGCAGGGGTCTTGGGAGCTTGGGTAGACAAAGGTGCGAAATACATGCAATGGCACATTCTCTTCCAATGTGAACGCCACAAAAAAATAAAAACTAAGACTGAATGAAATTTTGGTTGTTTGAAAAGGCCAAGTGTTCGTGTCTAAAGCAGCTTAGTGCGTGACGGTCAGTGCGTCGAGCCCTGCTACGTGCGCCCGCATCGATTTTACTCAGGCCCTAGTCCTATCCTAGACCACGAATTGCTTCCAGAGCGTAACTTAAGACTAAATAAAATATAATGTTGCGATGAGTTCCTGTGATCGCTGAAATTGAACCGCCGCCGCTCTCTGCTACCGCGCTGAGCCATTAGATCACTGGTGGCGTAGACACAGATCGTCCTGTTCGGCGTACAGACTCTACGGAGTCTTAAGGCTTAATCTATCTACAAAAGAACCATTTTAATTTGTGTCTGGGTCGTATTCAATTCTTTTTCAGCCTATTTAGCGTTGCTTCTATGCCCAGTTGTAGTGCCCCTCTTAACACTATGTGAGGAGCCGTCGACACCATCAAGCCCTTCAAAGCCACCTTGTAGATACATTACAAAAGCTTCATACTTGATAACGCAGTTTTATTAACGTGATTTTGCTTCAGCTTGCCTAAAGTGAGAGTGGAGTATGCAAAGAGAAATCTGCCGTGAGGGATAAACACGCGTTTTAATGCTGCCGCCAGATAAAACTTGCTCATGCAGGGAGCGTGCTGACTAGGGACACGCATATTGTAAACTATACATTCAGAGTTGAGTATTTAGAGATTTTTGGTGTTTAGCAGCTGCGGCAATCGGAGGAGCCGCACCGAGAGTGGTTCTAATGCACACTTCACGTTTCAGAGTTGACTCTTCATGATAAACCCGGCGCCTTCACTACTCTCGCGTGCTCGTACCCTGCCTTTTCATTACTCCTGCGTGCTCATACTATAGGACTCAGCTAACAACCAAGTTTAAATTTGTATGGAAGAAGCAGCTCACCATTTGGGATGTCTCGAGCTAAGATTTCTATGGAGGCTATCCATTGGCGGCACACGCCAAGTATTAGGCTGTGCTACTCCACAATTCCTAAAACAATCTTTAGCTAGAAATGGATTGTGTTCAACTTGTACTATGCGTGTGAGCCACTTGCGAAAGCGGTCTAGTATGCTTATGGAGCCTCTAGACTAGAACGTAACAGCCCAGAGCCCTCTAAAGCTCACCATTGTGACTTTGGGAAACGTCCTGAGGTGCCTAGGACAAAGTAGCGCTACGTCCTTGCACTACACTTTTATATGCGAGTCAGGGGGAACTAAGTCCATAGCTGGTGCTATGCAAGACCCCTGAGAAGACCAAAATGGATCTGCCGTGTGGGCCTTGGCTGGGGAAGCAACGTCTGGAGACGATTGGTGCAAGGAGCAATTCTTCAGGCTACTGGAGATTAATATTCGAGAAGACCTATGGAGGCATTGTTCCTAGGCTAGTGTTGCAGCCGCAAATGCGAACCATGCTTACGGATCTGAGGACAGGCTAGTGTTGCAGCCGCAAATGCGAACCATGCATACGGAGGACAAGTGGAGCCCGAATATTGCGTTGAAATGCGTCTGTAGTGAGCCTGGTGCTTGCTGGACTTCGGTTGATGCACGAAGACGTGGCAGGTCTATGAGACAGAGCACGTAGGCTTCAACCGCCCACACAACCCCTGCTTCGATGAGTTGTAGCCTATTCACGGCGGTGACTAAGACTAAATAACCAAACCCTTGATCAAACATTAATGCCTATAATATATTGCATCAGACGCTTCTTTTGCGTGCATGCAGCCCTGCTTCACGCACTCGTGGGCACTGCCTAGATCCTCGTGGCCCATGGGGTCTTACATAGGTGACCAATTTCTGACCTCTAACGGTGCCTTTTTTTATGGCACCACTGTCCTCTTCCCTCCTCCTTGCCATCTCTGCAGTGCTAAGAAAGTAGGATCCTGGCAATTTTCCGTGCTAAATTGAGGCGTTTCCAATGGCTACAGTTTGCTATTGGCATTTAGACGCCATCTCACATTAGTTCTACTGACCACGCTAGCGCACGAGCCCGAACCGCAAGATACCTATCACCGTGTCAGTTATTCCACGTTCCTTTGCCTCGACGTGGCTTGTTTTCCAGCGAACAGCTAAGGGTAGCAAAGCAGCCGCTCGGTTACGTTGCAGAATTGTGAGCAAAGGACTGTGTCCCAGTTATGTTTACGTGGGCGCTTTTCAGGCTGAATCTCGGCAAAAGCACTGCAATGACCTTATGCTTAGTTTGATGCTTGGGTTCTTCATTTAAATGCGATAAGGCAAGAGTCTATCAACCACCTATGTGAACCTCTGGCGTCCAAATGTATTGGAAATCCCCTCTATTAGTGAAGGCGCTATAAAATCACGAACTTTCCGCTAAGTAAGCCCATGAGCACCCTGCCCTTCATAAGTATGAAAGCTCGTAGCAGACTCCTGCACATTTTGCAATTTGCGTCAACCTCAAAAAATGTATTTCAACAGGACTCAAATGAGACCCCGCGGTCAAACCACGGAGTCAAGAAATGTCTCTGAACTGTTTGTCGTCACTTCTCCAGGGGTCCCAGCTAGGTCTTCTAAACTCATCGGTGACGCACGGAAGACGAAGTATTCGCATTTTCAACTCTACAACCTCTCTCGGCGATGGCCGGTTGCCTCTCTTGTATTGTTCCAAAGCAGCAACAACTCGAGCTAAAAACGTAGGCCCATAAGGGCTACTCAGCGAATTTACGTGATCCACTAAAGCTTCATGGCCTGAAATCTTGTCTAAAATTTGATTCCACCATTGCTCTCTGTGCATTGCAGGGCCTACAATGTTACAAACGCACCACAATGCATCTGCCACAAGGAAGCGACGAGCCATTGATTCCGAGAGTCGCCAATTTGATTTCAATGAGATGTTTTTCGTCAAGTACTTTTGAGCATATGCCGTCAGCTGTTCACCATGACGTACAAGTTCTTGCATATCTTTTCCAGAGAGCTGCGGTTTTAGAAATAACTGTCGAATAGGGTCAAGCTTCGCAGCAGCCCCAGCGGCTGGTGCAGCAACTGTTAGAGCGAAATCCGTGTCAAATGGCTCGATTTCCTCCGCTGGACCGGCAATTGGCAGCCGGTAGAACGGATGCTTCTCGTAAGCAGGCTCTTGATGTTCCAGGGCACTCGCGGTTTCCGGCAGAGTCTTGCCAGTGAGTGATGGGCTGGGCTGACACGGACAACAGAAAGGCAAAGAACAGCCATTCTTCAAGCAGAATACAAGAAGCATGCTTTGTTCTGGAAAAGGAACGAACAAAATTCCCAGTGCATCCTTGGGCAAAGGAGAGAATCAGCAAAAACGACATGATAGAACGCAACGACAAAAACAGTGTACACAGCCTGGAGACGCAGCGCTGCATGCTTCTGAAACGCACAAGTGTTGCAGAAGCAAGGCTGCAGTGGCGAAATTTGTTCGCACTCACCTTGGGTAGGAGCTTAGCTTGCTTGGCTTTAGTGCGCTGCGAACTGCAATGACGTTCTGGTCTTCTCTTAGAAGTAGAAGGCGCTGAAAGCTTCAACATGCTTTCACGTGAAACGAACGGGGCTTGATTTGCCGAGGTACCCTGCTGTTCATCGTACAACTGCGATACACCTGCAGAATTTTTCCCGCAGACCTGCCCACATACAGCTTTTGCAACTTTAAGTGGCTTTTGTCGTTGCGGGATCGGTGCTCTAGGAATACCATTGCCTTTGGGTTCAATGGGAAGTAGACGGGTTGGACCTCGCACTGCCGAAGTGAAATTACTGGCTGCAGGCGCTGAAGTCTTGCGATGTTGTAGAGAGTGACTAAGCTTTCCGCGTAATGTGCTGATTAGAGCTATTCTTTTGATACAATGTTTGTTAGAAAGGTCCGAATTGCCATCAGACTCCTGTTTAGTCACTGCAAAGCCGCTGGTCGTCGCAAATGACCCGGAGTTTCGTCGCTTTCTATCAGCGGCCTTCTCACTGCGGGGGGAAGATGAATCCGTAATTGTGTCTCTTGGCGGGGGCGGTGTTGCCTTTAAACCCTCCATAGAGTAAATTGCCGATTCATTAGCTTTCGCTGCCACGCTGCGAACTGTTGTGCTGTCTCGATCCGCATTGGAATCCTCGCTTTGTTTCATTCTTTTTCTTTCTGGCTCTTCATTGAGCATTCTCCTTGACACTTGTTGAGCTGCGGGTGAAGTCTCAGAAGTACCGAACTCCTGTGAGCCCGCTGCAGTGTAGAGCGTCTCGCAGGCATCTATGCCAGCCCTACCTGCCCTTTCCTCTTGATTGTATTCCTTTTCACCACTGGCCAGTCTGCGAATTAGTACATTTGTGCTGGCAAGGTTGTTTTTCTGGAGAATGCACCAATGCACTGCCAAGACCAAAGCTGTAAGTGCCGCGAGCATCTGCAGGACCTTGGGGGAGCGATTAGCTCCTTGAATGGGCCATAATCTGGACTTTTCATTTTTAGTGTTCAGTGCGCCGATGCCAGATGGTGGAGCAGAGTTTTGGGAAGGTGTTACATACAGCAGCTCCATGCTGGGCTGCTGGGTGATCCCTGATTTAGAGCTTGGCATTGGCGCTACCAGTGAACGGTCTTAGCACATGTTGAAATGTTGTGTTGGTCTTTCAGGTACTAAAGGAAAAAACGTAGCCTCCGGGATTAAAACAGGACCAGTTTGCGAAGGACGGAGAAACAGTGTTGATCAGATCCTGCCATGGTTCACCTTGCTCGTCCTGGGAGAGGAGTAAAATACTCCCGCACCGCAACCAAAGAGCAGGATCCAAAATTGTTGCGAGCTTTGAATTCATACTTTGTAGGTGTTCAGTCTCTTTAGCACCCCCCGTGTAATGAATGACACGAAGCAGAGGCTGCCACTCGCCATAGACCGTTGGCTTCTTTGGTTGTTCCCCAAGGATACAACTCCCCCTTGAAAATGTAGCCAGGGATCCCAACCACTTGTGAATGGCATAGATGCCATATCATATTTCTTTTGCCACACGTTACAGAACAGTTCAACACGGAATGTTCTTCCAGCTTGCTCTTTCCCCCGTTCGAGGTGAGGCGGGTAATCTAGACTGTGCAATTTTCAAGCTTTAGTACTAAGGCACTTTTCATCTGTAAAGTTGAAGAAACGAACCTGACGAGGGAAAAGTGCGGCAAACTCGATCGTTTTGTCCTCACATCTGGAAACCTGTAAAGGACATGCGGGATTCTCAGATTGCAAGATCACCGGGTAGCCGACGTCTATAGATCACATAGTAAAGCGACCCACTCTACTACCGAAAGGAGGTTAGAATTAATTCTCCGTTTCACTTCTTCACTCCTTAACAAGCTCTAGAAGTACCTGAAGGCACGCATGTGCACGCTATAAGGCCTTCAGCATTGTTTGTCTCGATGCATGGAGCCAACGCCTATGGTCCAATATGCGTTACGTCTCACGACATTTTTCTGAAGCTCTGACCTAATGTTCAGCAGTACAGTGCATCACTTGCACTACAGTACCACAGGCAGCTTGCCTTCAGGAAGCTACTAAGCTACGTTGCGCAGTCGCCACTAGTTGTTCCAACGTGACGGCTGCCGAGGTTTGTGGAGTTAGAAAGCAGACCCCTTCGCTTGGTCATCAGAAATGAAAATTTCAAACGCTGTTAGGATCATGCAAAGAAAGAGGCAGGCATCCAGGAATCCCCCTCCTAGCCTCCGCACACTGCCGCCCACAGATCATGTGCGGTTCTGAGCTACCAACTTGTGGCGCTGCGTTCATGCACCACTTTTTCAAGTTCAATGTTCAAAAAAATGGTGTAGTAACATTTATTTGCACTAAGCACGCTAATGGTTGTGCGAACCAGCATATAACCAGCATAAGCGTCCCAGAGGGGCAGGCAGCTCGCAGGGCTTGGCCAGTCGACTATACCTGCTCGAAGGCTAACGCTACACATCCTCAAGTTTAAAAAAAATTTCAGAAACACTGGCGATGTTCATGATAAATGACGGTAGGAATGCGCCCAGAGGCACTGGACACTAAACGAGCACGGAAGACAGGTTCATAACCAAGGGAGCCACAAAGGGAAGTCGCATGAGCCGCAAACTGAAAGTGGCCATTCCAAAAAAGCACCCAGAAAGGCCAATCATTGTGAAGATAATTTCTTGCATGGTCACAAAACTGTCGCCCCGTGCCAGACCAGTAGCGAAGCTCGTCTTTCATTTCTATGCATTTGCAACGCTGCAGCTCTCTCACCCATCTGACCCTCCTCATAACTGGCATGTACACGGTAACTTGCACTGCTAACCCTGAATAACCACCAGATATGATGCAACTCAGCAATACAGTCATTCGAAGGCGGTTCTTAGATGAAATTGGAGGAAATCTTGGTGGGCAAAAGACCGCTTGAAGTGCTGTAGCCCTGCCAGCAAACACAAGCGGGTACGGTTCCCGCATTGGGACCGACTGCTGAATTGTGGACAGACTGTGCAGCATGAATATCAGCTAAACAGATTTCAGTAGCAAGAAGCGCATTGAACTCTAACTTGGAACACTGCGCGTCCTCGTACTGTCTCGGCGTGCCTGAGATGAACGTGCCTTCAACACATGTTTCTCTTGGTTCGCTGTGGAACAGGCCACGTGGGAGATCGTAACTCTAGCGGTGTAAGTCACAGAATGTTTTATGTCTGTTACTTTTCTCAAGTTGCAGTAGACTACGTGTCAGCTTTCCTGTAATCTGTTGGCATTTGCCCGAGGAACTGCAACAGTCCTGGTGCGTGCTTAACTGGGATCTCTGCAGAGTTTGCTGAAATGTAGTTACTTCTCACCTCAAACTATGGCGTTCGTACTGCGGCGACGGTATCTTCCTTGGGACATATTCGAGGTGTTAAGGTGGCGCCGCACGGACTTCTTTTGTGAGGTTTCATCAGCTTGCAGTGAGCTTGTTATTAGTGATGAAATATCAACTTGATGCCTAGAAAGCTATTTGAAGAAAGGCTAGTGGCTAAAGAGATGAAATAGAAAGGCGAGGAAGTCGTGTTGTAGCCCGAAGTGCTACATATAAGGCTGTGCATCTCGATTGTACCTGAGAAGGCTGCATCTCCCTCTAAAGCCGGATAATGATTGCGTGCACCGTTTTATCAACAGAGTGAGTATGAAACACAAGGCATTACTTAGGATGGGCCCCCAAAGGATATTGCTCATTGCAGTAGACACAGTAAAACGCCATAGCACGCAACAAACCAAACATCAAATCTATTAATGGTATATGAGTAGTAAAAATGGGCAAAATCTACTCAGACAATCAAGAGGGGATCAGTCATGAAGAAACGGACCAATAATTCACACGTGCCGCTACGTGCAGTGCTGCTTTTCGCTTCGGGAATAAGGGATTTCGGCTTTGGACTAATTTGGATGCATTAATCATCTCACAGGAAGAAGAACCGCTTTAAATGGAACTAATTTTGAAGCACCAAATGGAGACAAAGTACGAGGGATACGTTTATGCGGGAAAGAAGATAGCTCGCAGAAACTAACCGAATCTCAATACACACGGCACACAAAGGTGCTCGTAGAGATGTGATTGCGCAGAGGACAAGCATGCAGCAATACATGAAACTAAAAAGAAACAAAGGAAGTAACAAGTAAGAATGCAATTAATAGGCTCAGTGATGACATGAAAACAATAGCTCTTTAAGGTTAACTCCATGTAGATACGTAATGCGATAATGCGATGTATACGTAAACATACGTATTTACGTATATACGCATGTAAGCGTAGAAACGCAAGAAATCGACGGAAAGATGAGGACTGCAGCAGTCATAATTAAAGTTGAATCAAAACTAGTAGATAAATCATGAGAAAATAAGAAATGAAAGGTCTGACTGACTGGAGAGCCAATTTAGGCGGTCTAACTAGTTGTGTAGACAAGTACACACATTGACAGGTACCCGTGTATACACGCAAATACAGAAGTGGATAGACTAACCGAAGATATGAATAAAGCTGCACCCCTATAGAAGCCAAATAAGTAAACAAACGATTACTTTGATCGGTTTTCGAACAGGCGAATAAAGTAGCACCCATAAAAAAGCCAAATAATAAGTAAACGAATAGTTTGGTCAGTTTGGTCAATTTTTGTACAAATGCTTTCGCATCTGCCCTAACTAGCTTGTCCACTTTATAAATGGGTGAGCAGAATGAGCTTAACTGAACAGCCACACACCTCAGCAACTAGCCCGCAAAGGCGTCTCTTCAGCAACCCACCCCTCCACCCAACTACTGGAGCATATTAACTAACGTAGTACTCGGCTAAGCTTCCAAACTGGAGGCTGATCTGTCAGTTGGACAGCACGTAGATGCAGGTTACAGAACAGAAAGCGACGACTGCAACTGATTCAGCCGAACAAAACGAATGCAACCAAAAAGTGGTTCGCACAAAATCAGCACCACGAAGACTAATGGGAAGGTGAGCCGCAGCGGTAAACACATAGAACTGCTGCTGGTTCTTCTGCAGATAATGGCGGCATTGCTGCTGCTTAGACAGATAAATCTGCGGCGACACATTTCCGCACTACACACTACAGTGAGACCGGAAGCAGGGTGGCACTGCCGGAACTCCTCCCGTCGGCGTGGCACGTGACGCTGGATGCTGCTAGTAGCTGGTTAAATAAAGGGGGCACGCTGCTGCTTCTACTGCTGTTGAGTCTGCAACTGCTTTGTCGTTCTACTGCTGGAGCTGGCAGTTGCAGAAATAGCATGTGGAGAAGCTTGTCAGAGTACACGGCTTGCTGCTGGCGGTATTTTTGTTACTCATTTCGCTGCTTCTGGCAAAGTTGCTTGTGGAGTCGCTGTCGTTGATGCTGCTTTTTGTGGCTGTTGCCACTGTTGCTGTCACCGTTCCCCTGTCAACCCTGTGCCATAAAAGGAGGCTTCACCATTACCGTTGCTTTCATGCGTGTATTACGTTTGGTGTTTCAGGCGTTGGGCTGTTTGCTGGTGATGGGCTACGCCTAACTACGGCGAATCACGCAGTAAATGTACGAAGACTTCGGATCCACGGCTTAGCGTTTAACCGTGAAGGATTTAGAGGCCCTGGACGATGCTTCTTTGGATACAACCGGCTACTGGAGGCTGCTGACGCACTGAAACACGGTTGCTTTTCTAGCTAAGTGTCCTTTATCTTCAATAATTGCATTTTATGGAGAAGTGAATCGCATCAGCGCAATGAGGGGCTGCAGCACCGGCGGCCCCTGCTCGGTTATTTGGAGGTCAGCAGCAGCTGGTATTTCATCAGATCCATAACGGACTCGAAAGTATCTGCAACCACGGCCGTAAAAGACAACAGAACAGCAAAAACAGCAGCGAAGAAACCTGCAGTGCGCGCTGCTGCTGCTGTCCTAGGTTGAGGCCCTGCAGCGATTTAAATCTCAGGTGCATTTATGCATACACTGCACATACAAACGGCACATACATATATACATATTAAACATATACATGAACACATTCCCAAGGGTCCAAATGGCTGCTATGCTTACGGTGAAGCCCAAAGAAGTGTAACACTATGCCCTACAATAGGCTGCCCTCAAAGCACGAACATATTCTTGATGCTGAGGGATCTGAAAAACGCGTCCCGGATGCAATGAGCATCGCTTCAGCTAGAAAATTGTAATAGAATCTAGGGAAGAACCGATATTTTGTAACCAAGGTGCGCTATGGTGAGCCTAAAGTGGCGTCCGTTGAGAAGCAGGCTGGTTGCTGCTGGCAGAAGCACTGCTTGCGGCAACCGTCGGACAGACCAAAGTGTAGGAGGAGAAGCTCATGAAATGGCGCCTATTCAGTGTCAACCATTTCGTTGGGGGAAAATCTCGTGCGCTTACATCAGTATGGGACAGAAGAGGTACGCACGTCCGCACACCAAAGAACCTCCAGCGCGGTCAGTTGCCACTTGTTTCTGTACTGCCGTTGATGTTTCTCTGCAACGCATTGCAGGTGCTTGCTATAGCAGAAAATAGAGGCGAATTAGTCTGAGTTTCACACAGGAACACAAACAGCAACTGCTCCTTGCCTCACTCTTCTCATGAAGCAGCTGCCAGATGACGCCAATGCTTAGGAACGCTGTACACCCCTTCTGTCCCCTACGAGTGCAAGCTCAGTTTCGGACTCTGCCCTTTAATGTTAGGGATGGGACTAGATCTGCGCCTATTTAGCAGCCCCTCCTCCAGAGCTTCTGTTCGGCCGGTGGTTGCCGCTGGCAGTGGCATTAGCTAAAAGTTCCACTCCGACAAAGTTTTAGTACCACATAACTGCCACATATACGTGATCAAGTGTGATGGACACGAGAAAATGTGGACCCTGATGGTGCTGCCGCATTGAAATAACAAAACCCCTGTCCGTAGACCTCAAACGCCTCCCAAATGTTTTCGTTTACAACCGTTCCCCCGTTTCTCACGCAGATACTTTGAAATATGTATTGGTGCTCGTTATGGACTTTATTTTTCGAGTCAGTGATGTGTTTCGTGCGCTGAAATGCTTGGACACGCCCTTATTACTAAACGGACACTGCTGACCAGTTCAACGTGTTCGATATCGTTGTGGAGAACTTCCGCCGAAAAGCTAGCAACTCTCCGTACAGCACACAAAAATAAAGCTAACAACAACAGGAAGGTCCATATTAAGCAGTATTCCACAGGCATGCCCCAGAGCAGCAAGGTGCTGCAGCCATTTTTCACAGCGGCCAGCGGCCGGCAGTGCCTCCCAACAGTCTTGCACCTCTGCATTTCTGCACTTTCCCACCCTACACTATATCAGAAGCCGTGCCCTTTAGGGAAATATACGACTTGGCTGCGGCTGTTTCTAGCCGTATCCCTGCCACAGAAGGTGGAGGGATCCGGCTCCTAACGCAAAAGCCATTCATGGACTGCAGTGATTCGCCCCGCTTCCTCGGTAGCCACAGCAAGGATGTGAGTTCTTGAGGTTAATAGTGGCAAGATTGACCCTACCACTACTTCGACCCTTCAGGGGGGCTTGGACAAGGGTAGGGCGGCAATTTTCCACTAAACCACACCAATGCAGCTGCCCGAGCAGCATCAGCCGCATTACCGCTCTCAGCAGCACAACAGAAGCGGCCATACAACACATGGAAGGAATCCACTGGAAGCTGTCCCAATTACAGCAGAAGACGCCGTCAATAGGACAATGTGAATACGCGTCGCTCAATGGTTAGGGGGAGCAGAGCTCTACTGACTGGACAGGAGTAATGCAGTATCTAAGCAAGAAGAAGGGCAATTTGTCTTTGTATCTTCCCGTGTTCTTGCATACTGCCGCATATTTGTTTCTGCGTCTCTCTTTCTAGCCCAAGCATTTCAGCCTTTTGCACCTGAATCCACAGAAGACGGCAAAAATGACACTTCCCCTCAGGCTCACGCCATTCGGGCTAGAGCAGAAGGGAGTGTACATACAGCAGGACAGGCATGATGAGTACTACGAGCAGCTCCTGTACCCTTGCCACAAAAACAGCATCACGGGTGATTGTTGCTGCGTCAGCGCATTGCTGCTGGGGGATCAGAACGCTGGCAAAAGTGCTTTGCTGTATGCATTCGTTGCTGCTCAAGATCCAAAGTATACCGCTCTTACCTGCCTCCTGCCTATCATTCAGGCGGAATTTGCTAATAGGAGGGAGTTATTCTCGATGCATGATGCTGCCGCTATTGCTTTAGAGATAATCCCTGCTGATGGGCAAGTCAGAACGACCCCAGAGGGAGATGTCCACCAAGGCTACGCTGTATGTCGATGTGGTGACGAACAAGATGAGAAACAGCACTACAGTAGCTTATCTTCAGCTTCAGCATCAAGGGGAACCGAGAGAGCGACTGCAGAAGCAACAACGGCAGAATTGCAGGAAACCGATCCTACAGGGGCAGTAGAAGCACTGCTGTGCCAGTCCCGTGATGAACTTCCCTTCTTGGACTCCGACGTAGCTCGGTCCGCTGCCTTGTTGACTGCTGAAGACTTTGCTTTCTTTTGCAATGAGTTCGGTATTCATCAAGAGCAGCCGCGCGGACTCCGGCTCAAGGTAAACAAGAGTCGCTACGTATTGCTGCATTTTTTGGAATTTGGTGGTGATCATCTGGATCGCATGAATGCTTTCCTGCAATTTCGTAGCTCCTGCAGCTGTGGCAACAACTGCAATAACGATCCCAGCAAATGCCTCAACAAATGTGCCTTCAGCAGCAACTGCAGAGAGTGCGACCAGGCAGCAGCGACTGCCCTGTTGCTGCAGGAACAAGACTGTAAGACGAAAGAAACGGCCGCGAAGGCGCCTTCTGCGCCTGTAACATCACTGAAAGCAGCAGGAGTAAACGGAATGGCATCAGCCAGAGGAGCAGGACAATCGAGGGCGAGAAGTGCCGCTGTCACAGCAGCCCAGGCCAGCCTTTTGGCTCAGTCTCTCCGTGCGTCCTTTTTGCTTGCTGCTGAAGCTCCGGTGGTTCTTTATTTCATAAACTGCAGCACAATGTTTATTGCTCGTAGCGCATCGGGCACACCTGCAACAACTGTCTCTGTTAAACTCAACCCTTCGGCTTTCCTCACTTTGCTGCTACGACTTCATGCCTGTTGTTTTGTTGGAAGTGGAAAGAGATTATTGCACTTCGTTTGCTCCCGCTTGGCATGTCGGTCAGTTGCCGATGTTTCTGCGGGAGGTGAAATTCGGGCAAGTGCAGTAGAAGGGTGTTCAGAAAGCTCAACGGGCTGCTGCTGCAGCGGCTTCGACCAAGAAGAAAATTTTCGCATGGCTTTAGAATCATTGAAAACTTTTGTGTCGCGGCTTTGCTCTGACAATGCTGCAAATGCAGCAGCAGCAGCAGCAGTTGTCTCCGCCAGTGCTGCGGAGACTGTTGAGGCTGTGAGAAGAACTCTCGACCAGCCATTTGAGTCATTGTACTGCCGCTTTCTTGCAGATGCTGGAAGCAGCAACAACAGTAGTAATTGCGAGGGCCAGGGCAGAGTCGCTAGAAATTGTATTAGCTGGGTTCCGTTTGAGGATTGCTGGGGAGTGTCGGCGTGCGCCCGCATTAAGGATGAAGAGGAGGCATTGCAGCGATGTGGTTCGGTCCGCTTCTTGCAGCGATTGTTGAATTTCGTTTGGGATGTCTGCATGACTCTTCCTTTCTGCACCACTTTCGATTTCCGAGATGTATCAGCTGTTCGCATCATAGAAAGGAGGAGCCACCAATACGGGGAAAGGGAGCAGCAGCAGTGCGCAGCTTGGGGTCCATCCTGGCAGTTGTGTGTGGCTTCAGTAGTTCAGTTGCTGGCGCGATTGCTCGCCCTACTAAGTGAAGCCGAAGATCATGCAAAAGAAGAGACGAATAGAAAAGACGAAACAGATAAGGAAGGCGGTAAGTTTGCGACAGCGGATGCACTCCACTCGCGACCTGACAGAGCTACAACCTCGGAATCAGAAACGTCAAAATATGGGAGTGGGGAGCTTGCAGCACCTTCTTGGAAAATGCAGCAGTCACGTCAGCAGCAGTCACAACAGCGTCACGAGGTGCTGGAAGGAGAAAGCGGCCGACAGCTAATTTCTTTGTTCTCCACTTGCGTCCAGCAGCGCAGGCAGCAGCAGCAGAGAATGTATCTGCCCGGCAAAGTATGTATAGACCTGTGGATTTCGTATACTGACTGGCAAGACTTCATCTCTAACTTCGATCCCGTGGAACAGCAGCAGCTGCAGCAGGAACAACAGCAGCGGCACCCCAAGCAGCAGCAGCAGTTCACGGTGTCTTCCACTGGCGAGGTTATGACTACCGGCACACTTGAAAAGGATTCCCTGTTGCTGCTGCCAGCTGCCGCTGCTGTTGCTGCGTTTTCATCGCTAGCGGCGGCATTTGCTTCCTTGGGGTGCTGCCTTCCTTGCTGTGCAGATGGGGGCCCCTGGGGACCCCTTGCGGTGCAGCTGACTGTATGCTTTGAAGCCACAGAAGCCCCCGTCGCGTTGCTTGTGCTCCCTGAAGTGCTTCATGAACATTTCGTTGCGATTCAGCAGCAAACACAGCTGCGGAAGCAACAGGAAGTTCGTCTGCACCAGAAGGAACTTTTGGAGACGAGCGGGGGTGCTTGTCTTGCAGCAGTACGGTTGCCGTTCCATCCGGCAGTCGCTCGGCTGGTTGACAATGTATTGAGCTATTGCGTCAGAGAGCCACTTCCTGCAGACTTCTGGGAGGCCGGAGCAGGCGCTGCTGGAGCAGCTGCCGCTGTAGCAGGAGCTGCGGCGACTGCAGCGACCGCTGCTCAAGTTGGACACACAGTGCTTACGTTGGCTCGCCAGCGTGTTGGGGAGGCACTACATGCAGCAGCGGAAAGCGTACAGGTACTGCTGCATCAGCTGCAGCAAGTTACGCATCGAGGAAAGAATGATGAGGCATCATTTGAAGACCCCCTCGTGAACTCTCTGCAAGTGCTGTTGCACCTTGCTGGAGATGCAGTGCTTATAGAGCAGATAACGAAAGCCACTGAACCAACAAGAAGCTATGGCCAGCAAAGTCAACTGCAACAAGGCAGCAACGGCCAGGGCACTTCCCAGTTCCACGCAGAAGGCCCCTTCTTCTCTCAGCAACAAATATTTTGGATAGTAAACTTGCAGGCCCCAGCAGCAGCCTCATCGGCAGCCAAAGCGGGAAATAGTACACCGGGAGGTGAAACTACTATCGAGAGGGACCGCTACGATGCGCAGGCAGTCGACAAACGGGCTTTGCTGGATCCTACACTGAAGCGTTTAAATGGAATGCTGGCTGCTTCTGGCTTGGTGGTGTTGTCATGTCGGAACAAGCAGTCTTGTTCCTCTGACGTTCCTAACCTCAAACCCTAGACCCTAAAAGTTTTAACCGTTAATCTTAGCTCCTCGATAGCTGCTAAGGTCACAAACAAGGACGTTGGCCGGCATCCTGCTTCGGGTACGTTCCTCTGCCTGCCAGGGCATCCCTTCAAGCATGCTTTGAGTGACTCGTCGCCGATGTGCCTGCGACTGGCAACTGATTTTGTAGGGACCTTCACAAGAAATCCTCACGAGACTGCTCTCCCCGATTGGCCAGCCGCAGTGATGAAAGACGCCTGCTGTTTTTTTTGAAGCTTGGCGCGGTGTTTTGCGCAGCAGCACGTGTTGAGGTAGGGAAAGAGGACTTTGACCCTGTTTTTGCTGCCCTCCTGAAGTACCATACTTCCCTACACCACAGCCTGCAATGCCCCGCAGAACCCCGGGCTCTCAACAGGTTAAACGTAAAATGTACGTAGGCGGCACTAGTAACGATTCCTTCTTCCTGCTGCCATTACATAAGTGTTTTGGTGCTGCTGACGCAGTAGTAGATGTCGCAGTGCCCCTATTTCCACGCAGTGCCTCGTTAGGAGAATAGAAGTGCAGCTGCACTGCATTCTCAGCCACGGCCAGGGACGGCAGGAGGGCACTACGTTAAGCTACCTGTTCAGTTCTCCAGCGTAGAAGTTAGTGCTGGGCTGGCAAACTCAAATACAGCTCATGACGGACGAAGTCTGAACGGTTAAGCAAAGGGCAAGCACTGACGCCTCATTGTATTGCTGCGTGAAGCACTACCACCAACACAGTTGGCTTAAGGTTCCGCGCGGCATGCTAATGCTCAGCAGATGTCATGCTTCCAGGGCTGCACCTAGTACTGATGAAGAGCCTCTAACCCTAGGGTTGCCTCATTTATCCGTCCGCTGTGAGCCAGTTCACTCATGGTGCTTTCGTGACGGCAGTGTGGCTTGGCCCAAATGATGCAATGGAGCGATCACGTGATTAGCAATGCTGCACGCAGCGTGTACGCTGTAAATATACAGTAGACCCTGTGGGTCTACGCAAAATAAAGATAAACAACGAATAGCATGGCACCTGGAACCGCAGCAGCCACAGGACCCATGCAAACAACCCACGGCATGCGTAGCGGCGGGCCCCCAAGGGTTGGGGTCAAGGCTTAAAGAGGCGAGGAAACTATCTTAGTTTTGTTTAATTTGTTCGTCACAGTTTACGATTCCGGGTGTAGTGGAGAATATATCTTCACTTTGCGTGCACGTACACCCGATGACGCAGGAGGTGCGGGGTATCCTTGCCTCGCATTCTCTTGTCGTTTTCTTCTCTCATCCAGTTTCCTCTTGAATTCTGATATTTTCTTCGACACAACTGCGGAAACTCAAGTCAATCATACCAGGTCTTTTCCTGGAATCTGAACTGCCAGAAGCGCTTCCATTCCGCGCCTCCGGAGTTGATTAACCCTTACTGAGCTCCTCGGCTTATAGAGAAAGGGCGTGGAACTAGTACCAGGCAATCGCCTGCCCGTCCACGGGACTCTTGAGCCTAGAGTTCAGGGACTGCTTTTTTGACTATGTATGAAGGATCCGCTTCTCCTCAGGGTGCTGAGGGTGGCGGCAGTCAGAATGTAGGGCCCCAAGGGGGCCACCAGGAAGATTCATCTGAGGCTGTCCCTGAACAGAGCGTGTGGACACCTGATGGGGAAACAGAGCCTGCAGATCCCCCAGCAGGCGCTGGGAATGCTGCATCCCCTTCTTCAGGGGCTTCTGGTGCTGCGGGAGTGGCTGGACACCACAAATCGGATGCCACACAAACAGATTACGATAAGCAAAGAAATGGAAACTCAGGAGATAGCAGAGAAACACTGTAAGCATTTTGTGTCTCAAGAGTTCCATTTCCCAGATTGAGTACTACACATGGAGCATCCTGGAGTTACGTGCTAGACCTTCGGCTTCAAGATCACCGGTTTTGTCCCCAAATGTTCAAGGCTTGTTTGTGCAGGAGTTTCTTTGTTGGGGGCTTGCAGCCGGAAGTAACCCGTGAGGAACTTCTGCAGTATCTCTCAGGGTTCGTCACGGTAGATGAGATTGACATAAAGTTGGACCCTGCTACAGGTGGGTAGATCATGCGGGCTGAAAGTTAAGTACGCAACATTTTTCTTTGTATCAGGTCACTGCTGATGTCCCATGTTTAGGGATTTGCAAATGCGTGCAGGAAAGAACAGAGGATATGCTTTCATATCAGTTCGTCCGCCCTTGGATACAGAAGCGTTCCTAACTGCAGAACACATCATCAGGGATAAACAGGTCGATATCAGGTGATCTACGATGCGTTTGCTTTTACGGGATTTAGGTTGTAGGACCCGCGCTAGCTGGTGTTATCAAGCGAGTGCACTTGCAGGCTTTGCTTCTAAGGGCATCCTTTTATACCCACACTTTGGGAGGTGTAGAAATGAGCTTGCCGAGTTTGTGTTTTGTGGAGCAGGGAGTTGAGCAGCAAGCCAGCTCCAGAGCGGCAGCCAGAGCGCCCGCCTGAGCGGCGTCTGAGCTGCAGCAGCGCTAATAGGCACAAGATATTTATAGGCGGCATAACCTCCTCCATCACGGAAGGTTTGCTTCGAATCTTTAGAACGTTATGATAAATCTTAGAGAGCTCATGCAGCTGCCTGTCAACTTCAGTATTCGGGATATGCAGTGGCTACGGCATAGGCGTTTGTCTTTCGATTTTTGCGTACTCTGCCCGCAGAGATTCTGCAGCAGCATTTCGAGCAGTTCGGATCAATTGAAAAGGTTAGTGTTTTTCCTTTCCTTGTGCATGTCTCTGCTGCTTTCATTTCCTTTTATAGAATTCCGCAGCATCAATACCTGGTCTTGTTTTGCGCTTTCTTTCCCCGTCTCCACAGATGTCTTCTAGGGGGTTGTTTGTAGTTTGCTCCACGCAGCCTTAAGTCCGGCTTGAACTGTGCAGACATGTCTGTACTCCACTGCCTGTCCCTGTGGGGCTTTACGTATTGTACGGCTGCTGTGGGTGCTGCGGAGTGCATTTGGGTGTTCGTATCTGTTGGCGGCTGGTGCATGGTAGAATTTCACGAGTTGGGGTGTGTGCTTAGGCGACAATAATTCGAGATGGCTCAGGGAAGAGCCGAGGATTCGGCTTCGTACAGTTTACCTCCGTGGACTCCGTTGCAGTTGCGGTTGGAGCTTCCCCCCATCAACTGGACGCCGACAACAGAGTGAGTGTATATAAGGACAGCTCAGTGCCCTGCCGTGTCTTGACACATCTTCACAGCGCAGGTTGCCGCTGTGTGAAGGCCAACTTGGCTTAAGTGGTTCTCACTCGGAGCCATGCGCATGCGTGACTGAGTGGTTGCCTGTGTCTGTGGCTTCTTCTACAAACACAAGGTGAAGTGGCATATTGATGAGTGTAGCGGAGTAAACTGTTTATCTAATTGCGCAGGCGTGCGTTTCGTTTTACGGGTGAGTTCTGTAGGTAGACGCCCAGCCTGCTCAAGACAGAGGCGCCCGCCGTTTGCCAGGCGGCCGCTACCCAACTTCCCCCTACTATGAGCAGGGGTACTACGGCTATGGGAGCTACGGAGCTGCAGCTGGGCCCTATGGCTACCATGCCGCCGCTGCCTATTCCCCAATGTACACTCCAAACCCGTATGGTACCTATGCGGGCTATGGCGGTTACTATGGAGGAGGCTATGGAGACGCTTATGGATGTGCCGAAGGCGGTTACAACGCCATTAGAAGAGGTGAAGTAACAGCAGATGCTCGCTGCTTCGAATTTTGCTGCTACAGCCACTACTTGCGTTGCAGAAGCATGCTGTGCTGGAGATGCCTCCTTGCGTAGTGGAGGTAGGCATAATTTGAATCCAGTTAAATGCTACTAACGCATGCTACTGCTGCAGGGGATGAAGGGCAATCCGGAGGATCTTCCCGCTCAGCGAGGGGCGCCCCCTATTGACTGATGGAGTTGAGACTGAGGCTGAAGGTACTACTTAATGAAAAATTGTTGTACGAAAAGAGACTGCAGGAAGAAGGGAACTCCACGACCTTCCAAGTGGCTCAGGCACCACACGTCAGTACAGGACCTTGGCTGAGACAAATATTGCACGCCAAGAATCGACACAAATTAATCATCTGTATGTCGTGCATGTCCAATGGAGTGTCGCCTGATCGGTGGTGCGTGTGCTGGGAGTTTCGGCACTCCAAACACCGGGTTGATGCACATGCATGCGAAAGTGCGAGTGCATATGTATAAATGTATGTGCATATTGTTACATATACATGTGTATGCACACGCCAGGGATTATTTTGCTTTGGGGGCAGAGGGACCTTCTGCGGGTGGCAAAAGTTGTGCAGTTTACCACTGTTGCAGCACGTGCAACCACTTGAGAATGAAAACGGCTGGCTGTGCGCCCTCGTCTTCGTTTTGCGAGGTTGCTAGGCCGCCTTTCCTGGTTCCGGTAACTCCGAGGTTTGTTTCCTCTAAGCGCAGTTCTCTTTCCGTTGTAGTGCAGTCGCAGTTAAAGGAGGCTCCCTTGGTAGCAGTGGCGTAATGCCGAACGGAAAGTGTGTTGTCTTTTTTTGGAGTGTCCGTACATTAAAGTTCAGTTTAAGCGACAGCCATATGGTCACGAGGCGAAAACGAAGAGAGGCGTTCTCCCGTTCGGCAGCTGTTTTCTATGTAAACTGTAGAAATGAACTATTTAATTTACGAGAATAGATACCTCTTCCTCTGGTGTGCCGCCAGGTGGAAGGTTATGTGATCCCTCATGTGCTGCACGCCCTGATGAGAAGCTTCGAGCCTAATACGCATGCGTATGAATTCCTGGCTCTACAGCTAGTATGTGTCGGCAGCCAATGTGAGCAGTGCTCTAAACGCGCTTTGGAACAGCGGCAACGAGGACAGGCACACTGCTGTTCAATGCCAAAAGAAGAGCGTCCACACAGCGCAAGCAAAGGCTCGCCCTGATAATGCTAAGAGGGCATGTCGACGGTCTAGCTGCTACATACGAAACAAAGGGGAACACTAATCCCGTCAAAACTGGACTAGTGCTACGGTCCCAGCAGACAGCGCAAAAAGGTAGCCTCAGGCGGGGCATCGCTCCCGTCGAGCCAAAATACCCGTAAGCAGCTGCTCACGGCTACATTTTTCTGCGCCATCCAACATCGGTGCACACCAAAAAAGGTGAGTCCACCCTGTTTTCTACATTGTTTACCGCAGAGCGTGGCACCCCTTACTGCAGGGCCGCCTCAGCGAAAGCAATGGCAGCATCCACGGCACGTTTCAAGCCGTTTACTGTTCCGTTCTTAGCAGCTCCTACGCATCTCTCCTTGCCACCTCCCTTGCCGCCCAGCTCCTTTAGCGCCTCATTAAGCCACTGCGAGGACACTATGGGAGAGCCCTTTGGACTGAAGCAAATGCAGGAGGAGCCCCGACTCTCCAGCCCAGTCAGCAGCAGAAAAGGCAACGAAGGGGCGGCAGACTGCAGCGCCTGATGAAACGAAAGCCACAGGAACACGACAAACAGAAAATAGCAAACCGCTGGAAATCCCCCTCGAAATCTTGACATCAAGTCAACAATGTGTCCGCATGCATATCTGCCATTGTTCTGACATGCAAGCAAACACTGAACTCGCGCATTTGCATAGTGCACCTTTGCGGCTTCATCGAGTGCCTTCCCGTCTCCCTGCAGCTGCTCCAGGTTAAGAACAATGAACTTCTTCCCTTCCGCAGCAGCTGCTGCTTCCTGCCCAGATAGCTTCCCCACGCGCAGCAACTCCTTTGCGCGAAACTTGCTTAGTTCCAGCTATCGCAAGGCCATCACGCAAAACACGACAAAGCAAAACTGTGTATGCTGATGCTGAGCCAAAAATGCCCAACAGACTCGGGGTCTCGCCAACGGGACTCCTGTGGCAACTCCATTACCCCTGGCAATATATACACTGCGCTAAATGGTTGCAAATTTCTCTACTGCGTATGCAAATTGCTCATTTGTCTCTTTGAAATCTGGAGCTTCTAGGCCATAACGTCAAATGGCTGGAATGCATTGCCTTCGGGCCTCTACATTGCTCTTGGACGCACCCCAAGCTTTTGTTTGTGTTCAAGCTCCGCCAACAGCCGTCGCCTGCTCAGTAGGGGAATCATTTTGTTGCTTTCTACAAAAGCTCTTGCCTGCTGTACCTCCTTTTCAAAGAAGGGGAAGGCTGGGGAGGCCGACTCGAGGTTCGACAGGGACAACTGAAAAAACGTTCGCACAGCGATTTCGCTCCTCGGGTACGTCACATTTGCAGTGAGAAGCACTTGCGGAAGCAAACTCTACAACAAATTGTAGCAGTCAGCTCATAGCTTCTGGCTTACGCAGACATCTCTAAGTTCACTGCGAGCGCTAATTGCAGCCTCTCCCGCAACTGCTACTACTCTTCTGACGCCCTTCGCAATGCTCTCCTCAGATATCACGACGAAGTCCTGCACCTCAAAACAATCGCTGCCAGACGAGCTGTCTGCAACCCGATGCATTCACGCATCAACTAACCTGCCCAAGACCATGCAACAGTTAATTAGGGGCAAATATGTCCACCGGTGCACAAGCATACAAAAGCATGCTTGCAAATGCACTTCAAACCTGTTTGAACACTAATAAGAGCGCATGTGCCTGCCTGTACAGCACGGTCAGGGCGAAGCACTGGACAAATGCTACGGCGCCGGCCGACAGACCGACTGGTGTACATCTCCATACGAGCTGCGCTGTGCGGAGACAATTCGGAGACCCGCCCCATCATCATCCCTCCGTGCACAGTTCCCTGGGCATTACCTCAAGCTGAGCGGCGTTGCTGAGGTGCGTTCCTCCACAAAGTTCCACGCTGGAGCTCACTTTGTCGGCCCCCTGTGTCTCCTGTATTTTTTGCAGTTCTTTTGTGTCCGGACCAATAGTCACAACGCGCACTGGATCCGGGTATGCCTCACCAAAAACTGCGCACAGCGCTGGGAGCTCCATGGCAGTTTTGAGTGGCAACACCGCCGTATTTACTGGCAAAGAGGAAGCAATCTGAAACAATATCAAATACACAGGGCCTCACAACAAACATCCATACACAAATAAACACTGGCCTAAGGAAAGACGGACGGGGCAACTCGTCAGGATATCTGGAGATTCCACAGATCATCTAGAGCTCACGAAGCGACCGCGCAGTTGCACTCTGGGTTCACCTTCTGAGAAGTGCGGCGCTCAAACCACCCGTTACATCTAAGTATGTAGTTTGCTAGCACCAAATTCTGCACCAGCGTAACGTCAAGGCTAGAATGTTTCGCATACCGCTCTCTGCACGTAAAGCTCGACCGCTTCAATCTGCTGGTTTGTTAGTGGAGCATCCCAGTCAAAGTCAAACCGAAGCCTCTTTTCTTCCACGAGAGACCCCTTCTGTTTGATAACTCTTTTTTCCGCTTCTATAAAAGCGTTCTCGGAGCGTTTCCCACTCTCGCCTTTGCTGTTCTCCTGTAGCAATGCCTGCCTAAGTGCCGCTGCCAGTAAGTGGGTGCCGGTATGGTGCTGGGCCAGACCGAGACGCCGCGCGTAGTTCACGTGAGGTGTAAGCACGTCTCCCACCTGCAGACAGCCACCCTCACGTACCACTTAGATATGGGGGGAAATGCTTGCGTAATTCAGATTCACGAGCAGAGCAGCAAAACTGCCTTCCCACGCGTCGCGCGGCGCTGGCTAATCGTTTTGAAATTACCTTCAATGCTCCTCCTCCAAGCAACGTTCCGAGATGCAGAACGTAGCTGCCACTCTTCTGTGTGTCTCTAACTTTAAAGTGATGCCCGTTAAACTCCAGAAAGCCTTCGTCTCCAAGCTGTCCACCCTGCTCCGCGTAAAATGGAGTCTTGTCGAGTACAAGAGCTACAACAGTACCGTTCTCAGCAGCCACTTCCTGAGAGCCCAATGCGGCAATGATTAAGCCAAAGGAACGGAATACGGTGAACACGCCACATCACAACCGCTATTTACGACGTGCTCTAGTTTGTTGTGCCTTAGTTTGGAATCACCCTAAGGCCCAACCGGTGAGTCTTACGGCAAAGCTTGTTCCATCCCATATGGCTTGTAGCTTGCAAGTGCATGGTGGTGTCGTTTCAGAATCCTGGAAAATATACAACAGAATCGGGGCTCAAGAAGTGGCGGACCAAATGCGTCATGAGTACGAGCATCGCAGACTTCCTCTTACTCAAGGAAAAAGCAAAGTGAAGGTTTTTGTGGGAATGACGTGTACAACATCGCACACATTGAAGAGTCGTCAACTGCAAAGAACGCCCGTTAATATGTGCAAGGAAAAGGCAGGAAATACCAGGGGAGGAAACATCTAGCCGGCTGATGGTCTAGTTGTAACCGGCCGTCCCTGCACTCATACCAGGCGTTCTCCTCGCCTTCTACAAGTGTTTTATTTACATGTTCTGGGACACAAGGAACGCACTATTTCTAAGAAATACACGGCCAATCTCCTTGCCGATTCTCAGGCGGCTCCAACGTACCGCGTTGTAGTGCCGCTGGGAGATATTCCAATGGTACTTGAACGAGTCATCAGTCGGAAGAACTCCTTGCAACTCTAGCTTGTGATGTTGGTCAGGTGGAAGGCGGCCGACAGCGGCACCACCACCGGCCTTGAATCCCATGTTTTCTGAGGCTAGACGGTGCTCCTCGAACCTGCAAGTCAAAACGGTATGGCGAGGAACAGCAACATACACGAACGCACGGCACGGAAACGAAACTATCACTAAGACACAACGCGGAAGAAGATATGTCGGCGGGCATAGTACAACAGAAGCAGTTCGACGCTCGCCCAAAGCAGGAAAGTGCCTTTGGCTCCAAGAACCAATAACACTGCATGTGCGCTTGCACATTAGTTACTGAAAGCTAGTCAACTAGTCATTGCCGGCTTGTCTGTACAAAGGCATGGATGCACAAAGCATTGTGCTAATGAACGCCTGTGTCCAGGCTAATGCTGCACGAAGCCAATTACTGCATGCTAACTTCATCTGGAATTCCTCTGCGTCGACCTCTCGACCCTCCTCCTCCGCCATCAGCTGAGTCAGGTCCAGTGGAAACCCATAAGTTGTATAAAGAGTAAATGCTTCTGAGCCGGGGAACTTGCCACTTGGTGGGAGTGAGGACATGACCTTCTTGAAACGATCCACCCCCTAAAAAAACCATCCTCATAATGCTTCTATTCATCAATACTCGATACCCACTAATGGCTGTTCGATGCACGATGCACGAGAAAAAAAGGTGGGAAAAGAAAGTGAAAGGCACGAGGTAGATGCCCGGTACTCGTTGGCCGTGCCTTCCGATTCAGCGAAAACGACTTCCGCACGCAACACGCTATCACAGAGTCATTCTGCCGTAAACATATAGTTGCTTTTTTGATTCCAAGGAATACCTTATCGAGCGTCCTAGTAAACTGTTGTTCCTCTTTAAGAAGCACGGAATGGACGCGATCTTGTGACCGTAATAGCTCCGGAAAAACAGTGCCAAGGGATGCGCAAACGCAGGCTGCAAGCTGTGGGAAACTCCCGTCTGAAAGGAAAATCACGTTCCACTCGCGACAAAAACCGCTAAAAAAATAAATTTGGAAGCAAGACACACAAGTAAGCGCGGGGACGTAAAAAGGAATGCAGTCGCACACGGAGTAGTGACAAAGAGAGCCTTTGACGGTGACTGTTTGTGGCTTCACTAGGGGCTTACAAGCCTTAAGTAGCTCAACCCAGTGTCATCTTACCCGGCAGCTGTAGCGTTTGCTTGGCGAACCTGACCGCTCGTCTAAGAATTCTTCTTAGGACATAGCCTCTACCCTCGTTAGACGGCTCGGCACCGTCAGTGATGGCCACAGTCAGGCAGCGGATATGGTCTGCCAACACCCGGTAGGCAGTATCGATTTTGTCCTTGTCGGCCGCACCGACCTGCGAGAAACAGCCAATCACATGGAGGTCGTATGCGGTTGGAATGAACTGCTGCGTCTTAGTGTCTTTCACCGTGTTTGTACACCTGCAAAAGCGCTGGGATACGCTGCCAAAATCATATCCTGGATGCTCGCTGACGAGCAGCAGTTGAAAACTATTAGGCCTCCGCCTGCTGAGACATAACGATGCACTGAAGGAAGCATGTACCAATACATGACCGCAAATACTAAATTAAAAAGACACGAACATGCGGTTTTGTACAGCCAAACGCCTTCACACTCAAAAGTAACGTCCAACACACTCCATCGCTGGAAGACGAGCCATATTCATACATACGGTGAGCGGAACGCAGCGAAACCAAGTAAGAGGCAGGAGCACAGTTCGCGAAGTACGGGGGTTTCGCCTGGCCAGTCGGACAGAAACGACGGCAGGTGAACAGCACATCCTCACCTTTCCATCGTACTTCGGAAGTTTAGGGTTAAATGAATGAATGCGTTCGAAAATTGGCAAGAAAAGGTCAGTGTCATAGTTAGATTGCTTTCCCTGCAGAACTGAGACGAGACGCTCCAGCCCCATCCCTGCAAGCCTCGAAGACACATTACACGGGCATCCAGCATGACGCAGAAGCACCGAACCAACTAGACCAGGCATTGTCAGATTCCAAGAATTCTGGGTGGCAGTGTGCGATACCCGTATCGACGCATGGGGCGGGAAGGGGTGTTAGCGTTTGCTGGTTTTCTCTGTTGAATTGCATGAAAACCAAATTCCATATTTCCAGCACAGAGGGATCGTCCATATTTACCAAACTTGCAGCATTGCGTCCACCTGCATTGCAAGAACAAAAATGCGTCGGCGATTTGTTATCTAACGGTAACAGCTGTCTAGCTGTTTGAATGGTTTAAAGTATGTTTCCATGGCTTCATACGTACCAATTCTGTCGTAATGAATTTCCGTGCATGGGCCACATGGTCCGACATCTGCCATTTCCCAGAAATTCTCTTTCGCGCCAAAAGGTAGTACTCTGAACAGTAAAGCGTCCAAAAAATGTGAAAGGGATGCGGAGACCATCAGATAGCCAAAAGCAGCAAGAAGGCGGAGGATGCGTAACTTCACAAAGAAATTATTTGCGTAAGCACAATAATGGAGTGCCCATGCATGAAAAGGCCAGGAGTCCACCCGCAGCTGGGCGCATGCAGGCATATGCAAGAAGATTTGAGAAAATATCCTCAGAAGCGCTATTTCTCAGGAAATCAGCTGCCCATGGATCGACACCAGACTTCATGAATCGTTCGCGAAAACTAGAGAAGATGCCCACCTATCTTCTGGCAAGTACTTCAACCAGAACTTCTTCGCATCCAAATCCGGAGGGCAACTGGGGCATTTTGAATCACCCCCGAAGTACGTCGCGTACAGTCTCTCGCAGTAAGCACATCCGCAAAATTACGCTGAGCTGAAAAATCTAACAAATGATTACTGCAGCGCGCACAGACCGCGGAGAAGGCTGCATTCCGCTGTTAAACAGTAAAGTCGAAAACCTAACGCAAGTACTACGTTGTGTTGCTGTGTGAAGGGATCAGGACACAAATACACAGTTACAAGGATATCTTGCATGGAACACGACAAGCAATATGTCCTTATCTGCTCTTCCGTTTCTGTACTGCCGGCCGTTCGCACACACCAGGGAGTGAAGCTTCCTACAAATAAAGTTCACTAAATCTGGTAGCATTTGTCTACGTTACCTGTCTTTGGGAAGTCTGTAAACTTCAGTTAGCAACTTCCACGCCCACTCAATGGCTTCTTCCTTGAAATAGTCCCCAAAGCTCCAGTTGCCAAGCATCTCAAAAAAAGTATGGTGGTACTCGTCTTTCCCCACATCTTCCAGGTCGTTGTGCTTACCGCCAGCTCGGATGCATTTCTGAGTATCCACTACACGACGCAGTTTCCCTGGATAAAGCAAGCACAGCCAGCGATTCCACTTCGTCCACTACATAGCGGCTATTTTCGTTCAGGTGGGCATCTTCCACAGCGGTGAATGCGCACTATAGCCGCAAAGAGCCAAAAGCGCATGAATCAAATGGGCGAACCAAGCAGAGAACTTAGCTACGACAACACACTGAAATTCATCAAGTCTAGTCGTGTAAGTGGTGCAATAACGTGACGGCACTTGTGCACAACAGAAGCGAGAAAAAAAACAGATGTAGCGAGGAATGGATTGGAGGGGGAAACCTGCATATAAGGATGTTCCAACAAGCACTTATGCGACTTGAAACAAAGCAACACCAAAGGCGAAGTAGCATCAGAGTCTGTCTGCTCTAGCAGCTGTCAGAACAGTTCGTCGTACCGAGCGGGGAATTTTTGTCCACTTGCCCCAAAAATATCGGCTTGAACTGATTCATGCCTGGAACAGAGGAGCAAGGATGAACACCCAGAAAAACAAGATCCTACCGGCACGCGAAATCGTGTACACACGGCTGGAACAGACAGTGCATCAAGGAGACAGGTATACGGAGGACACAGCTGCATACGTCCTTGAGAAATGAAAAAGACAGTTGGCACTGCATATACAGAGGAGACAACGGGACTGTTACCCAAGCGCCCACACTACCCACCACTCTCCCCAAGCACACGTTCAGACATTGCAGTCCCATAAGCAAACAACGCCTACGTTTCAGTGATTAGCGAGAGAAATGCGCGCTTGCTCACAAAGAAAGCAGTATACCTGTCGAGATGTACGGGCATGTCATGCAGAAAAAAACGTGCAAAACTGCAGAGCTCCAGTTATTCTTAAGTACAGCATGTACACACGCACCCAGCCAAACCGGGAATATTAAGCCACTACACGTGAAGTCGCCGCACTCTCAGGCTGCCTGGAAAGGCGCAGCTCTGGAAGAAACGGCTTCACACCTTACCAGCGTTAATGAACAGCAGGGTATTGTCCCCATGAGGCACCACGGGGGAAGAGGCATATCTCTTGTGCTTCACGTGCTCAAAGAAGGAAATGTAGAGCTCCCGCACGTCTGCGGACGGCCAACCCTTCTCGCTCGCACGCTTGGCCATACCATGTAGCTGCTCCATCGTGGGCACAGCACTGCTGGCATTCGGTGTGGTCGCCGCCATCGCTGCTTGGTGTCGTTGTCTCGTGCCACTGTACAGACGAACTGCTCCACTCCGCGGTCGAGAAGGCGTCAAGAAAAGCTGCACGCCACCGACAGGCTCACGGAATAATGTACTTGCGTGTGACCCCGGACAGATGAGTAGATGAACTCTCGAATACCGACCTATACGAGAGCAGGTAGAGACAGAGCTTGCCGTGGAAACCGCGAAAGTGCGTCGCGTGCGTACTGCCGACACACCGGTGAGAGAGCCTGAAGAAGCTACAAGTGGATACCACCGAAATGATGCCCACTGCTGCATAAACAACAAAGTTGTGAGACAAATGGCCAGAAGAAAACGGAACCCCACGGTGCCGACTGCGGGGCTCATGCGTCGCTGCTTGGAGTGCTGAACAACAGGCTGCGCAAAAATTATGTCAAAAGTGTCAGACTGTGCACAATTCGTGGTACTCCAAGCATTAACCATTTAAAAAGATGTGGCTTCTCACGCCCTCTCTGTAAAGCATGCGCTCATCGTTTGGGGCTTACTGTGCACAAGGAGACAGCCTGCTTCATTGAGAGGGACAACCTCCATTCCCGTTGTGATCCCTAGTAGCTTTGTTTGTGTATTAAGAGTCAATTATAGTGAAATTTATTGCTATATTCATGCGAGTCACACCTGCCAGTAGTAGTAGTTTACTTCTGGATGTTGGGTAAGCAAAACGCCATCCCGAACGTAAATATCTTCACTCTTTGAAATTTAGCCTGCTCTTACGAATTTGTTTTTGAACTGGTGGCTTGCGCCTTCAGGGGCAACCGCCGATACTTTCCTGCTTTGGATGCATCGCTCGCAGATCTTTGATGTGTGCAAAGTCCGTTTCGATCATCAGAGAACTTGTGTATCTTTGATTTGTGCAACATCTGCTTCGGTTATTAGATGACTGATGTATGAAGGGATTATATTTCTACATGAGAAACCGTAACACAGAGAGAACTCTCGTTTTGTCTTTTGAATATGGTCGAGTGCAACGCTAATACTTTGAAGCAGCGTCCAGATTTTTTGTACGACTTATTTCCCACTTTTTTGCTCGTACCTCAAGTTGGTGGCTTTCTGACTGCGCTTTTAACTACAGCTTTAGCTTGTTAGTTTTCTAGCTTCATTTAGTGTGAGCCATACGTCGTGGTAGCAAGTTGCATGTTTCAAGTCACCTTGACTCCCACTTTTCAATAGTTTCAACAGCCCAATTTGACAACGAGGAATCGAAACATGGGCTTTTGACCGATGGAGAACCAAACGTAAGCATGTTAGCTCGACCGCTTACCACCTCAATTCATGGGACCATCCCCGGCGCTCCAAGAGGAGCGCTAGGTGGTCGCTGGTACACGGCTTCAGCATCAACGGAAACAGGAATTCCTCGCGTTCGCAGTATTATTTCAGAAACCGTTGGTACCGTATACCTGGATACAGATATGTCATTTTCCTTAGTGGGCCTTGTTCTTTGGGATGGCGACGCACTTGAAGGAGACGGCAGAACCAACGGAGTTCCCAACACACGCTTTGTCGTCATCTAGTGACTTTCTCTACTGAAGAACTCTACGAGATTTCATACCTCCCCATCGTTTTACGCTACACGCTTCTCGTTTCATTTGCTGGATGCTGTCCTTGCTGAGGGCACCGCAGTGCCAACGTATGCTGAAGTCCATTCTAGGTCTTGTCATGGAATTATGATTGCTAGTAAAAATTTTAAGAGACTCTATGCGAGAACCCGCTGGACTCCTGAGGTCAAATTTTCCACTTTGCGCCACTTGAGTCCGACGAAACAAGTGAAAACTAGAGTTATGAACCACCACAGATGGCAGACGGCAAACAGCAAATTATTGGGTAGTTTTTGCTCCGCCATCGAGGATGAGTAGTCAAGACATAGGATATGAGGCGAGGCTTAAGACATTTGGCCATTCGAGGGACACAGCTTCAACGAGGGATACTGTCTGCCGAAGAAGCTAGGACGCATCGAAACATCGAAAAGTACCAGTGCAAGTATCACCCCAGCGCTCAGAGTGCTCAACAACTTCCTTCACATAGTGGCCCGTGCAGCTGTACGGCACAAAGAGTTGCCCCAGTGTTGTCAGTGTGTACAGATGCATCGCGCCTAGGCCGGTTCAGGCTCCCAGCCATCGTCTCACCCTTGAACTCTTGCTTAGGGGAACTGTTTTTCTGTGCCGCACTCTAAGGATTGGATCCCTTTGGCATGTACCTTTCATTGCTCACGCAGCTCCGTTCCTACCATCCACCCAATCATGACCGCGTTTCCCAGCAATGAAGCTGAGCTCCACTGGACTATCCCGGAACTAGGGTGTCCGCTCTCTATATAACGATCTCATAAACTACACTCTGTGTACGCTGGCCTTAGACCCTCACGAGATGCAGGTAAGCACAGCGAGTGCCTTCATTAGGGGCTCCATGCTCTGCAGAGTAATGATTAGATGCCTGAGAAGACGTTCAGTAAGACGCGGAAACTTGCAGACACCAGGAAGAGATGCTGCTTCTCGCTTTTTGCCTGAGGAATTAAGCGAACTTGCGCGTTCACGCATGTCTAAAAGCTTTTCACAATACGTGACATACTGCTTTCAGTTGCTACCACTCGCATCTAACCCCCTTAAAGCTTTGCTGTGAGTATTGCTTCCCTTTGATACATTAAGTTGGAGAATGGGAAATTTGGCGGCCTCGCAGAAATTTACTAAAGCGATGCTCACAATAAAAAGCACTCGCTTTGTGCAATATTTACTCCGCATAACGTGTATGCATCTATTTTCAAAAGTAACTCCCTTGGCTGGTATTTTGCGAGTTTGTCACCAGAAAGGCATTACTGTGAAAGGTTTTGCAATACTGCCAGTCATCTAGCTTCTAAGTGCTTGGGCAGTTTTACACGGCAAGCGTGCGATAGCATTTCTCATATCATTTACCTGAATTTCACACAGGGTTAGCCGCTAGCTAAGCCATCCTCACAATGTCGGTGAAAATGAAAGTGTGTATAGTAAAGTGGTCAAAACTAACAAAAACCGCTATTGCGGCCAGTATTATAGTGCTTTGGCAAGGGGCTTGCCGTGGGATACTTGGTGAACTCGAGCAGCTATGAACCCGACAAATGGAGCGCGGTAGCTACACTGAAAACGGCTCAGAAATTGAGCTATGGCGATGCAGATTCGGCAATAAAGATAGAGGCCATGCATCTGGGAGAAAATAAGCGAGGCCATCGATGAAGCTGCGGCATCACGAAGTGCACGGGAAATGGCGAGGCCAATGCACCGGAGTCTCAGTGGGGTTTTATTGTCTGCATGGGCTTCAAAAATTCTTTAAAATGTAGAACACATGAATATTTCAGCCTGTTGAGGGCTAAAAAGTGTAGGAATTAAACTATAGTCATGAGAAGCAGTTTGTCGCAGCCGTGGCGAAGGCTCAGAGCGCTGCACTAAGTTGTTTCGCAGGAACCATCTTCAATGGTTGCATTACTTAGTGTTATAAAGACAAAACCTGAATATCTTCATCCGCGTTGAAGCAATCTAACTGGAATAGTCACTTTTTCTCAACCTAAAATGAAGCAGAAGTCTGGTGGCTTTCTCGTATAAAATAAGGAGCGACAAAGTTAGCTCTGTTTTTGCCGATAGAGAACTGAGAAGTTCCGGATAAACTGATGATATTTCGGTGAGAAAATAGGGATACACGTCTCAAAATTCAGGCTTTGGCTGCGGTGAGGTTTTGCAATGTTCAGCGGACCCCGTGGTTGAATTTGAAAGGTTTATGGTTCCTATGGTGGCAAGCAGGCGTTTTGATTTCTTTCCGTAGGCGTCTTTAACCCAAACGCCTTGCAACCAGCACTTACCTCTCCCGCACTTGTTGGCTAGGATCTATGCTGAACAGCGATGCAAACCTATCCATTAAATTCAGGCGCTGTAGCACTCCTTATATGCCTACCTGTTTCCTTGTTTCATCAACTTTAACTGCCCTCTTTCTGTATGGACGCCTCTCTGCCGAATGTCCGTCTGCCTGTACGTGTGTCTGTTCAAATGTCTTTGTATGCTTATGGCCAGCTCTGGTGACAGGTAACAATGCATAACGCACACATCAGTCGGTTTCTCAGATGTATATATCTTCATGCCCGGATGCACTCGACGTATCTTGCTTGCTTGTCTGAAGCCCCAAGAGCACACATATTTGTCCTGTACGTAGTTCATGTAAAATTTTCCGCCGCTTGGCCAGCGGCTATTCCAACGAAAGGTTTGGAAAACTACTAAGGCATAACGACAGCTTATATGCTGTTCTGCGAGTTACTACTATTGCTAGCAACGCTCTTCCATCTATAGAAGGGAGAGAGCTGTGGGCTCGAGAATATCGATTGTATCCAAGCTTTCACTGTGAACTTATCCTCACAATGAAGACCACCCCGGGGAGGTGTACAATATGTTTGGTAGCAGTAGGCATACAGTGTAATCTCTGGGGTCGAGTATCTTGGGCCTTAGTCTTAAAGTCCTACAGGATATTGCTCAAGCTCTGTCGACTCTGCGTTGCAGACTTTGCGGTTTCTAAATTATACAATAGTTATTTTCATATTGTTATTCCATATGTATTATATATGAGTATTCAATAAGGGCGTAGTTAGCGCAGTTCGTACACATGAGGATGCTTAATCCTCAAACCTGTTGAAAGCAGAGCCATTAATAGTGAAAGGTAAATCTCAAAGGTTGAAAGCACTGAACATTGAATTGAAACCTGAAGTTTGGACTCTTTTTGCCGAGCATTAGAGATGCGTTTGTTGTACAAGAAGAACAAAAAGGGTCGAAATAAATAGGCAGAGATACAGTGAAACAGAGACTGCATCACGGGAAACGGTGGCAGTCGGAGGCAAGATTGGATAAAGTCAGATGCAGTCACGTAAACACGGATGAAAGCGCACTTGACAGCACGGCGTTATCAATGAAAAGAAAGGCAGCTGCGCGTTTGCGCCCCCTCCCGAGCCCCTGTTGGGCCTCTGATTTTTCTTTGCCTGCCTTGCTAGTCATTGGTGAGTATTCACCCCAGAACTCGGCTATCGTGATTTTAAATTAGTTCTCCCCTACTTTCTTCTTCTTGAAGTCCTTCACCGACATCGCGGGTTTTAAAGGACCTTATATCCAACTGGCTTATATCATATAAACTGCTTCTTAGACACAAATGGCAACGTATAGACCACTGAAAGGGCATAGAGGTTTCCTCAGCGGACTCTAATCTCTACAATTGCGCAGAGCCATGCATGCCCTTGCAGTAGTAGCTTAACGAGTACTCGCAGGCAGAAGCTACAAAATGCAGCATTGGCGCAGCATTAAGAGCTTCTTTACTTGTAGCATCTGCACTTCTACAAGCAGAAGAAAACATATACAGCGGCACAGGTAAAATGATGTTGTTGGAAGCACAGATAGTGCTAGGTTTGCCTCTAGGTAAAGAACAACAGTACACTCAGCAGAAGTAGCAGCAGCTGCTGCCTCAGCAGTCAAGCATCGCGGACCTTTTACCGCTGCTGAACCTAGAAACTGAAAAGGTTTCCTGCTGGAGGCACCCCGGTGCAATCAGCGACATGAAGTGCAGGGGTAACAAGATCAGTGACGGCAGTAAACTGTACCGAGAGAAAGATAGAGTTGAGCCACAGTAGGAATGGCCGGAAGTGCCGCACCTGCACCTCCTAAAGGCAGCCTACTAGCAGAAATTATGGCAACAGCAAGGTAGCTGCAGGAGCAGTCCTTCTAGCAGCAGCGCTGTCACCATGTCACTAGTGCACAAACTTCCCACGTCCCCCACCAGTAGAGACTTTGCTGGGGAGTTGGTCTTCACCAACTAACCGTCGTACGAATTGACATCAAATATTACTTGGCAGGGAGGCACACTCACTCAGAAAATAAAGCAGCACAGGGATGCCTTCTATGCTTCCTTGTTAGGGGACTCTGCACTGTACGTGTGCAGAAAGTTGACAAGCGTTCATACGCAGAAGCTCCTGAAAAAACGTGCGTCTTCTGTGGCCAGCATTGATATGGCTTCCACTCGTACTGTTCTCTTAATTTACCGTTGCTGGTGCAGCTGCATGCACCGTTCTGGTGCCCATTATAGGGCTATTATTGAAACATTCCGAGCTATTAAGGGTGGCTTTGGGACAAAATAGCCCCTTCAGCTTCTCGAATGCTGCATATTGTGGTGGTTAAAAAATTATAGCCAGCTGAAAGCCGCTAATTTGGGGAAAATGAACTAGGCTTCAGCTACTGAGGAGTTAATCTTTCTCCATGATGGTGATGGGACAAGACGGTGTTTGGGTACATGGAGGCAGAGGTAAAGCTTACGATGAGGGCCTACTTTTAGAAGTTGTTAAATATGAATTATTCATTAAAGCAATTATTTTCTTGATCTAGGTCCAAGGATTTGCGTTTGGCGGCTACACAAACGCTTAGCTTACCATCGCGCCACTGCACCTTCAGAATTTAAACTTTATACTCAGCACCAAGCGGCTAAGGTTTCCTGAATGATGCAGCTATAACTGTGCTTTATCAATTTTGGTATTCTTCTGTTTTCTCCCTTTACTTTCTTGAGCGCTATTGCTTGCCACAGGTGGACCCTCCTGACATATGCAGAGTCAGATCATCGAAACCCATCTGCTCCCTGTTCGGCCAACCATCACGCGTAGAACGCAAACCCCAGCTCTAACTCTCTTGATTTTGCATCGCCGTCCATTCATAAGGGGAGAGAAACAATTTTCCCCCACCAATGTGGTTTAAACTGATTCAAAGATCGACGAGTTGCCTCCAAACTGGCTAGCGGGCTCCGTAGGTTTCGGGAGACGTAGAAACAGTGTTCCAAAACCTAAAATCTAGAGACTTATGCTCCGCACTCGAATTATTCTGCGTCTGCTATGCTGTGTATATCCTGTCTTGATCCGCAGGTGCCTATCCCTGAAGCGTGTGTCTGAATTCCCAGCAGCGTTTAAATTTGACCCCTCAAAGCAAAACTCTGAAAAGATGGATAGGGGCACACTCGTGCGCAAGGCGACTGTAGAGATACAGCGCCGTCCAGCTCGACAAGGCACTGTCACGTTGAAGCCAAACTCCTCGATGCAGAAGACACGAAGCTTTGCTGACCCGCGATCGATCCCACAAATTCTTAAACAGATCTACGTTGTAAGGCCCTGCAATTCGCATAAAGCCACCAAGTAATTTTGCTTCATGGTCGAACGATCAGGACCGAAAGCAGAGGGTCTGAGAATGAGTTTACGCTCTTGCAGTCCGAGCTTAAAGTTTAGGGTCCAAGTTTCAGGGCAGAGGTACCCCGGGTTTGTGCTCAGCCTGAAGAGTATGACGAGGCTTCTTCTGTGCTGATTTGCAACTTCCCGGGGAGTGTCTCTGCTGCCGCATGTCGGAACTTTTGCGGATGGTTTGGAGCCGTTGTTCGGGTGGAGAGAACATCCAGTGTCTCAGGAGAAGCCAATTTCGTTGTTGTCTTTTCAAACCCAGAGCCTGCCGTTGTGAGTTCTTCACTTATTTATTCTTCTTTTTTTGGATTCATTTGTTGAATCACATCAGCCTATCTATTCGCATGCCCCTGCATGTACCAAATGAATTTCCCTGCTCCTGCTCATTTGTCTGCAGACTGCATACAACTGCCATCAAACCTTTACACCTGTGTGCGCGCACTTCTTTAGATTTGATAAGAACAGAGTCCAAGTCGTAGAAATATTTGCCAATAGATTTGCCGTGGGATGCGTAGTGGGCACGTTGCATGATCTCTGCTACAGATTCGTAATGGACCTCCTGGGTTAATTGTGCCTTTGTTGCTTTGTGCTAAGGCATTGAAGTCAGCGGGGGAGTTGATGTTTACGGATGGGAAAACGCCTCTTTTCTGCAGAGCCGTTGACACAAAGCCATCCATTTGGACGTCTCTGACTGCGCTGTGGGGAGGCAATCAACAGGTACTGAATACGGTCCAGCTACAGTAGACTTATAAGCACAACCACGCAAATTCTGATGATGCGTTCGAGTGGCACTTCGGCCATGACTTTAGCTTAGTTGTGTTGAGCACACTTCTGTGCCAATTTCCATTGTGTGAATTGCCTCGACCTTCGCAGTTCGGGTTTTCCACCCCAATGAATTATCAATCAGCCGTTCCTGTTTTTCTACCGTATGACGTGTCTTGCTTGTTCTGCTGTGGCTACAGTTGTTGCCTGTGAAGGGTTGCTACTTTTGTTATTGTCTTTGAAGAGTTGTTAATTCTCATGCTGTTGCTCTCTATTCTGCACCAGGCCTCTCGTTATTCTGGTTATTTTCTGTTATTGCTGCTACCTTTCTATGCTGAATGTTTTTGATTTTTTCTCCGAATCTACTTCTATGCACAGTGAAAGCAAACAGAAAACGTGTTCGTCTGCGCGAAAAAGTCCTGGTGAACTAAATAGCAAGAGTTAAGCCCAAAAACGTCAAGATTTCAAATTGAGGAGTATGGAGACTCTTAATGCTTCTGAAAACGTCATGATGAATGTGGGCAGCATGCAGCCGTCCGCACTGGGAGCAGCGCACTTCACCCATGTGACATGAGCTGGGACTAACGGACTTGTAAGCATGTCCCTAATTGCTTGGCTGATGCATCGCAAGCTGCTCCAAGATAAAGCGCCAGGGACCATCAGGCACATTTGCAGAGGGGTCACATAGGAACGTTGGGTCTCGAATTTGGCTCTCTCACCACCCCTTCCAATCTGTCACGCAAGTGTCGCCTGTGTAGATGCATTTGTCTCTATGCGTTAGAACTAGACGAAGGCATGGTGCCTGATATGCATCATGACCTTACCTTTTCAACACAGAACTTGAAACAGAGGTCTTGAGCCTTTCAATGCGTTCGCATGACTGTGCCAAATAATGGAGACGATCTGTGTACCCTCTGAAGCTGGCTACTGAAAACGAAGTAGTTCTTGCCAAAGAGTTATTCGGCCTACTGATGCTTCCACATATACTTCTTGATCTTACGTCGCACTTCGGGGCTTCTCTGGAGTTGCGGATTCCGTGCACCGGTTCTCCTTACACACATTTTAAATCGATCATTGACCATAATTATCAATTTTAGCTTGATAGAAGCACGAGCTTTTCTGGAGAAAGATTCATTGCCTTGACTTTGCAAGAGACTAGAAAGCTATGGCTGAACTGTGTTTGGCCACATTGTGCAGCCCACATAACTAACGCATGGCGGAGTTGTGGAACGTGAAGCCTCCACTTACTTTGCAGTGGCCCCTGCAGTCACAGCATCGTAGTCACTGCTTACTGCCCTTGTATAGTTACAGAACAGCATTCTACGTATTTGCTCAGCGGTGTTTCTCAAGCATAACTCATTAACTGCTTCCTTCTTCATGCTTACGATTGCTAGAGGTATTGGCTGCGCGGGGAACAGCTTTGCTGTCCTCGCATGCACGAATGACTTTTACTCCGACTTTTTTGCGAACGTGCTCCACTTGATTGCTACTTTAAGCGAGAGCAGTAAAAAAATTACGTAATGGAGTCTTCGCGTAGGCTTTCGAGCTTGTGAAGAATAAGCAGACAAAAACTTCCACAACAAGTGTTCACCAATCAGGATAGACAGAATACTCTGACTCCTGACTCATCTCGGTCCTGGAAAAGAAATCAAATGTGCTTTCAGCAGCAGCACAATCAGCAAATATATTCCTCATGCGTGAGGTCGCAGACTTGGACTGCAATATCGGTAAATTTGTAGGATCCGAAGAGTAGATGTGCTGATTGCTGGATACTGACCAGTGTTCCACGATGAAGGAGCTCATTGCGAAATTGCCTGCAATTGCTTTCACTTTTCTCGGGCGTGGACCTGCATACTCTTGCGGGAATAAGACTCTTCAACGCTAAGCATGCTGCCTCTAAATCACTGCTGAGCATACTTGTTTACTGAGAATTTTGCTGAAGCTGGCACCGCTTCACACACGTAGTTGCATCTTCGCAGTATATGCAGCACATAGTGTTGCATCATTTGCACAGTGTCGGTTGAACGCAACATATGGCGCTACATCATTTGTTCAATTCAGACTGATCGCACGTGTTACCAGCAGTAGTCGCACGCTTCGAATGCTTTGCGCATAGCGGACGGTACCTCGTTACCACGAAAAACAAGTCACCCGCTGTATTGAACGTATCGTGCGTTTGAGGAGGGTAGCGCATAAAGAAACATCAAAAAACATTCGTAGCAGAGACTAATAATGGCCACTCATGTTAACACTCATAAAGACCAGCTCAGCTAGTGAATGAAAGTTCAAGTACAAGTAGATGGCCGGAAAACTCTGTCGATGAGACAAACAAGAGAAAACTCTAAGCGCCTCAGGGCCCAAACCATCGGCCAGTACACTCAGTATTGTACCTGTAACGGCTCATCACTTAACAAGGATATTGGTTTTTTTCGCATTATTTCCAGTATGAGAAATTAAAAAAGCATGCAGGCGCTGCCGCCCTGTAGAGATCCAACAGCGCACCTGCAGCCTATCGTTGTCGCCACGACGGTGATGCCGAACTCCTATCATAGCAATTTTATCTCCAGGGTTGACTTGCGCTGGTCAGTGCGATGCAGCGCAGCTTTCTTTTTGGTGAAAATATTGCCTAGCGAGATGAGCCTAGCTAGCTAAGTGTCACTCCTCTGCTTCCTGACCGCGAGTGACTTTTGGCATTACTCAAGTGGACTTGCTGTTGTACCATCGTATTTGCTCAGTTTCAATGTCCTTTCTCCAATCATCCCATACTGGGCGTTTGAAATTGGAGTGTACACAAGGCATTTGGAATATTTTTGTTTTGAGCTCTACCACTGCTCGTGCAGTCGGCCGTTCACCAGTCTTGTAAATTGATAACGCGCAAAGAGCCTTGGTTGTGAAATCCATCCATGCTTCAAATGGCATCATAGAAGCGTAGTCGTCATAGAGCGGTGCTGCTGCCATCCTTTCCATTATCATGGGCCACCACTTTTCTTTCTGCATTGCAGGCCCGAGTATCTCACAAGCACACCACAGGGCATCTGCCACGAGAAGCCGACGTGACAAAGGTCCCACCGCCTCAGAACATCGGCTTTTGGCTATTGGATCTAGCATTGTCGTAGTAGCAAGGCTCAGGAGGTCGGAACTCATTTCCATCAGAAGCCTCACATCGTCTGAAGACAACGTTTTCCTCTGGAAGATCCCTCGAATTATTGCAAGCTTTCCAGGAAGCCCTCGGCGACAACCTCGAAGCTTAATCGCAAATTCCCAATCAAAAGGTTTTGGTTTCACTCCTTCTTTCAGAACTGGTATTTTGTAGAAAGCATGGCTAGCGAGAAATTCGTCATCCAAATATTGAGTTGTCAGGTCATCATCTGTATATGTCTCAGATTCATTGTCGGAGGAAGTGTCGACCTGTCAGAAAAATCAGCTCAAGACGCAGACCATAGATCAGCATTACGCTTGAAGAGTCCAATGTGCATTGGCAGGATGTACTGCTGCACAGCTCACGCGCTAAATAATGTGCCCGAAGAGAGGAGCTAGCAAACGCTACAGAGTGCACTATGAAATTCTATGATCTTGCCTGTGCATATTCGTCGTCTTGATGGGCCAAGCTTTCACTGGGTGATTCGGCAGCTGTAGGACGTCCCTGCCCAGCACCAGCTGCTGAAGTAGAGCTAAGAAAAGTGTCGAGCACGTTCTCATTGAGGGCACCTAGCGGATCAAACTCAGCGCGTGGCCCTGCGGAGGTCAAAAGCTCTTCAATGACAGAATCTACAAATTTATCCTCGTCAAGATTGTGTGAATGGCTGGTTCCTGGTCGTGCCTCAAGAGACCATGGTAAAACTTCATGAGTGCGCGGAGTTTCACCGACTGAGAATCTAGGTGTCGGAGTCTGTCTTGGTAAAGGCAGCGACGACGCAGAACCTCTACTTTCAGGGGGATATTGCGCTACGTCCAAGGGGCTTTCCGAAGGCGCAGTGTTTGGTGCATAATGCAGCAAGGTTTCCAAATTTGCAAGTGGATCCGCTGTCCACTCGCTGATTCTAGCTCTTTTAGCAAGATGCTGCTGTCCTTCTCCCACTCCAAAAATATTTGTGAACACGCCTTCTGCTGCTCCGGGTGATATTGTTTGTATTTCCGTTGCTTCCTCATACGCACGTTTCTCGCCCCGTTCAATCTGACCTCGATCATCTCCTGGTGGCCTAGCTATCGTCCATGAACTAGTTAATGTCTCAAATCCTTCACATAAAGGCGTCACTGAAGGTTGTCTTGACTTGTCCTGCTCATCTGGTGGGCGAGAAGCCGATAATAGACGGCTTGTAATCCGTGATTTGTATTTATTTGCGTTCTTGAGCTTGCAGGCGTACATCGCGAACACCATAGCTACCAGTAGTGCAGAGGCAACCAAGCTCATGTAGTTCCCAGACCATAGCATCGACCTGGCTGGATGCGACGTGAAGCGGTAAAGGCTATGTGTAGCATCCTTGGGTTCTACTATTGATGTGAAGTGCCCGGGCGGATCGATCGGATTTGAGGCCGCCGGTATGGGCTCTCCTAGCCCAGACTTACAATCGACTGACATTACAGTGAAAGGATGTCCAAGAACATGATGAAAGATCACGTTTTGGCCGGTTTTTCTGCAAGATTTCAGTGGCGCCGTGAAATATGCTGGCCGACACCCTCCGTTGAAGCTTCGCAAATGCTGTCTTCAAGCAGTCAAATACACCAAAACCAATTGACATATGGAGAAAAATACTTTAGGAACAACATTTAAATTCTCTTCTAGTGCTCTTTTTAGGTTGTCTATTGATGGAGGAGAAGACGAACAGGTTCGTATGGCAGCTCGAATAGACCTTGAAATTTACGTGTACAGACTGGTACAGAGCCACATCCATGATATGTGGCTTGAAAAAAAGCGTGTCTTTCAAATTACATAAGGGAAAGTTCTGATCCGCACAACTCAGTTCCTTTGGGAGCATGTTAACGAAACTTGATCGACAGTGCCTGCATCTACCGGGGCGCAGGCAGGGTAGGGCCAAGGCTGAAAAGCTGCTTTAAAGCTGATTTATCTGTTGCAAATTAAAGCAGTATCCTCAACGTGGCAGATATACAGCAGAATTTAGTAGAAATGGGATTTGAGATCGACACCCTCAAACGGCTCCGGAAGCAGTGGACCATCGTTTTGCCTGCCTCTTTTGCAGGAGTTTCAAATTCTCCTATATCTGACACTATATCTGACACATTTCGTATTGAATATATATGCCCATGCTGAATAGAAATCATGTCGTGTTTTCAGTTTGGGGCATTTAGGCCTGTTTGTGAAATGTAGGGTTCTTGCGTGTTGCTACAGGTATGGATTTAGCACACTACTGACCAAATGCGAAATCTTTCAGAATATTAACTATTTCGTCTGAGTTGCTAAGAATGAGAGGCTCTTTTTGATCGGGGCGGCCTTTCACACTGAGCTGCAGTGCCTGCGGCACCGAACAGTGTTCTGCAACACTTACGTTGCCCTGCATAACACTTATGCTCAAAAAACTGTGGCATATAATAAAGTGAAACTATTGAAAATATTGCTCAAAAAATTTTGCTCGCTGCGAAAGTTTGAACGGATGTCTACCAGTCAGCACATCGATCAAGTGTACGGTTTGCGCTGAGAAAATAGTAGGAAATGCACATTACTGTCGTTAGAGGAGGAATAAACTAGCTTTTGCTTTATAAAGCAGCAGGTGTAGGCTTGTGCGTAAATATATCTCCTCTGGGCGCCAGTAGGAGAGCAAGCTGGCGTGGCGATAGCGTTACTGCCCCATCTCTTCGGGCGACACGTCGTATCCTGTGCTGGGTCCTGCAAACCAGTAGGAGTTAGGACTACATTTTCGTATGTTCCAAATGCAGCACTGATAACAATGCTGATTGATAATTCAGACCACAAAGACAGGGTGAGAAAAGCCGAATCATGCAGCCTTTAAACATAAAGCACACGCGGCGTCAAATATTTAGCTTAATCGAAATTTTTGCATTTTGTCATCAAACATTTGAGGTTCCCGACTGAAATATAGACATCAGCCAACTGTATAGTTCATGTTCGCTTCAAGCACTGCGACCGCATTTAACCAGTCAAAACAGTAACCCTATTGCATTCTCCTTTGTACTTAATCTATGCATGAGAAAACGCTGAACCTGTAGCAAATGTTTCAGGCACTTTTACAGGGGGAATCGGCTGAATATCAATAAGCAGATGGCAATACTCATGAGAAGAAAAGACTGTCCAAGCTTCCGCTCTATGTTTCCATGCTAGACAAAAGGGCCGCCAGAAGTACTCTCAAACAAGCAATGGAAAACTAAAAATTTATGGAAACCTTACTGACCCTAAGCAACCTTTACATGGGCTCCAGATGAGCTAAAGTAGGACAGAAGCGCATTGCTTGACTCAAAGATGATTTTTTCTTTTCATTTAATCGGCTGGCATCATAGTGGAAGAAAAAATCTTTGAACTTCTGAACGCTTATATCAGTCGCTTGTTCGCTCCGCGGAAGCTGGTTGATTGTGTGGAACTCAAAGAAAAGAGGACTGAACCTAAATCGATGTTGATGGCATCTACAGCGCGGGAAAATCTAGAGAGGAAGCGAACTTACGAACTTTCACAATAGAACTTTATGGAATTGTAGTGCACCAGCACTACAATCGGGCTTGCTGGTGACCTATAGAAGATAGCTATCTGGTGACCTACAAGAGGTCATAACACTGAACGAGGACAGGAACCCCTTACTAGGATCGAAGTAAGCCAATTTGTCGGCGAATTAGCGTGTATACACTAGACGTGCCTGAAAGCACCCGGAGATTGGGGCTGGCGATAGCGCCGGCACCGATGCAGGCCTCCTCCCCACAGGCCATAGGAGGCGAGAACCCCGAGTGAGGTGGATTTTCAAGAGAACAGATTTTGAAGAAAACTAAAAATGACCATATTTCGTTATAGTTGGACTACTGCTTCAAGGAAATACGCCGAAGGTAGACGATTATCATAGGCACCTACTCGAGGGGGCAGGTAGCAGCGTAGTCGCAGCAGTAGGTGCTGTGCACCAAATTTGGGGGCTGTTCCGGGATTCGAATCTTTGTTCTTTCCGGACTTGGGAGTAGAAATACTATGTTTCAATGACTCGCACCTAGATATCTTCGCTCGATAAGGGAGGCATCTCCGCAACGGACGCGTTATGGGCCCCATACAGCAGGAGACTTCTACAATGTCAGTAT